TAAAACCAAAAGGGTTGCCGTGAAAATTCAGGCCAATCGTGCGCACATACAGTGGGTTGTGTATGTGTGTGGAAAACCTGTTGGACAACGGTTATGGTTGGTATATAAACCTATATAACACATATTATATACCTATCCGTATAGGTATATAATATGTGTTATATACCTGTATAGATGCACGCTGTGTGTATATAAGAGACCGTACACCGAGCGTTTTGATTTCTAGGTCAGACCGACGACCAGAGCAGCTGACAATGCGCGCGTTCTGACCGAAAGCAAGGAGGATTCGGCTCCTTCGCCTTTACCTTCTTGTATATTCTTCCTCTTGACACGCTAGCCGGTGTGTGCAGAGATTGCTTGCGTTGAAACTAAAAATAAAAAAATAAAACCACTTCCTATTTACAATATATATACAATATACAATACATATACAATTTATACACGGACCGAACCAGACTGGGGAAACACATGTACGGCTATTTTGTTGTAATTGTTAATTTATTATTTAGCGTCTCCGCGAGAGTAGACCTGCGCGTTTGGAAACTCAAATATAATAGTTTTCAAACACACACACACATCTCCGACGTGCAAAAAATAATTGTACATTATATTATGTACAATAATTAATTATCGTTGTCGCCGTGGCCTCGAGACTTTTCTCCATTGATCAAGTCACTGGCCATTGCACCGCTGTCGATAAAACGTGCACACACGCACACCAAAACATAGTTAACTCATTTTTTTTTTTTTTTAAACCGGTATAAACTTGGTCTTTGGGATTCACCGTCAACCGTGTGTGTGTGTGTGTGTGTAAAGCAAACTGGAAGCGACGCGACCGACTCAACAGATAGTACCTAATGCCGGTGTACACCCACCTGTTGTAATGAGATACATATTAAGCGCCGAGGAGGAGACGACAAGTAGCACAAACCTACCGCTACTCCGAAACAAAAATATATTAACCAAAGCCGTATTGAGACAGCTGATATCGTCGGCCTAATGCCCCTGATATGACTGACTACAGATTTTCCACAAAAAAATTCGCTAAAAAGTGAAATAAAGATAAAAGTTTCTTACCGAAGTCAAAAGGAATGCGTTTTTATATTACCTTTCGGTTAAGTATTTTGGATCCATAAACTGGCTGAAGGTACTTGACGGAATCGCGGTTCAGCGGCTTAAACACAAAAATAAATCTTCGGACCGTGTGTTTAGACGAAATCACGTGGGAATGGAGAATTCGGAGAAAAACCAAGAGCCGTATGAAATGCCCGGCAAACTAATTAGGGAAACTACAAAAAAAAAGGAGACTCCTATGGGCAGCACATGGGGAAAGGAGAGAGCTACATTTGGGGCGACCTAAGATGGGACGACCGAGTGAAGAAGGATGTCGATGGAGCCGGATACTGATTGGCATGTTTTGGCGATGGATGGACACAAAGTGACAAGAACCGTGTATGAACTTAACGGTCGAATACAAACAAGAAGAATTCAACCAACAATTTAGGGTTATTGAAATCGGGTTTATTATAATATCTGGATATTATTTCAGCTGGTACCTGCCAAATACAAATCACCATTCTTATCACAATATTATCTTTCATCAGCGAGTTCCTATTAATAAAATGCATTACCTACCACGTTGATCACTACTTTTATATTTTCCTTCCTTATCAGTATTATGACTATCAAATTGTTTTATCTCTCCTTAATCCCTTTCCTTATATTTTGTTCTCATCGCCTCCCTTTATTTCCTTTAATACTAATATTGTAGAACAAAATAATACAAAATCGACAATAAACCTAGATATAATAGTAGGTCGGTGTAGCGTTTGAAAGATGAAAGTTTGGAAACATTATATTTTATTCAAATACAAATAAACTGGTAGAAGTAATGATTCATCTTAATTTGAATTATTAAAAGTGTTAAAATGTAAATATTTTTTTATTTGCGATTCAAGTAAAAATTATTCGAATCAGGTTTTGGTTGGACTAAATATCTAATATGATAGTCATATGCTTTGAGTTCAATTTTTGAAAGTTAAAACTAGATAAAACAAAAATAATTTTTTAGGTCGCTTGTTTCTGAAATCAGTTTTCATAATATTATCTTTACATACCAAAAAACGCAATTAGAGTAAAAAAAAAAAAAAACAATTTATACTTAAAATTTGAAGAAAAAAAAACATTTTTTGCAAGAATCAGTGTAGCCAGACATCAAAACTATAATTTAAAATTATCCTACGCTGCCAACACTGATTTCATACTACAAGAACCCGTGTAATTGGTAAGATGTCGTTGGGTTTTAAAAGAAAACAGTCACTTATTCCATATGGCTATATTATATTTTAATATTCTTAAAATTTAAACGGTATATTATATGCTTGACTTGTAAATATATAGTTAGCGATAATAACGGCCGTGTTCGAATTGGCACGAAAATCACTTGTCTCTATTGTTTTTTTTCCATTCGCTTTTGCTTTACAGTCATTCAATGACTTGACTTTAATAACGCGACGGCCGTTCGTGTGAATCTAAAATATAATATAATACCTATATACATATAGCCGTACACTAGTAATATATTATATACTATCTACAATATGTGGTGAGCACATCAAGAGTTCCCTCTGGAAGTCACGCGGGTATGTATAATATATCTATGTACTTACTTGTTATTAAAATCAATCATTTAAGTACGTCCTAGTAGTAGATATATTATGACGTGTCATCGCAAATTTTATTATAAATCAAACTGGGTACAGGTTACATAACGCTTTAGATCGCGTAATGTGTTTAGTATCCTTGCAAGACGTACAATATGGCCATTACATAATATTTTACTTTTGCGCCTCTAATTTAATTGAATAATACAGTAATATTGTGATTTTAATCCAGTACCGCTTTTGGGAAGTTAAAAATAAAGTTTTATATTATATGAGATCCCTGTAACCGGGTAAATACCGGAACGTACCACAGATACCGGGATTTTAAAACCGGGTTTTTGCATAGACAATTATATTATGTTGGCTGCACTGTATTAGTAATAAAAACATATTTATATTTTTATAAAAGTAATTCTACAGGACTAGCCTTTTATAATATTATGTTACAACCTATACTTAAAAAATTTACAATAATAAAATGTGCAATTCAAATTTGTATATAATTCAAAAACCAACTGCTAATTTTTTCAAGAAAAACAATCAACAAACGACATTAAATTGTACATTTGAGTTCATATTCTAAGCAAAAGCAACTAGAGTATCTTTGGTGAGTTAATTTTTTAAAATTTGATTGTATTTCTATTAAAAACAAGAAATTTAAAATACGTTTTGTTGGTAACGGTACTAATATTTTACCAAAACGACAAATCGTTATTAAACTGAACGCTTAAAAGATGATTCTTATATTGAATCGATTAGGTTATGAATGATATTTCCAATTATTGAATAAATAATCTTGAAACATAATTATAAATGTGAAACGAAATTAAATGTATTTTATGTTACCAATTAAAGTATTTAATTATTTTATAAAGTTATCTTATAATAGAATTTATGATTTAGCATCTTAGGCATACAACAATACCTTTACTGACTTATGAATGATGAACTGGCAAAATTATTGAGTATAATTTATTTGAATTGTTTATGCGATTTAGAAATTGATTTACAGTTATTTACAACATTTTTTTCATAGCTATTTTTACTTATTATAATAATAATAATAATATATATTTATTTATTTAAAAAACATAGTTTTTTTCCCCATTAATATACCTTTCCGTTGAAATACAACTGTTATGTTTTTAACTACATTTTATTGACAAAAAAATGAAGATAAGTCCTTATATATTTATTGTTTATTATAATATTGTTATTTGCTCAACAACATAATAAAATGTGTACTATATTTTTTATACTACTGTTGATATTATTTAGGTAATGGCCGTTCATAGGCTAAACTCTACATTTGGTTGTTAAGTATGCAAACCAAACTGTCGGAAACGGCCATACAAGTAAAAAGTTTCAGGCTGATTAAATAAAAACACAAGTATGTCGTTTTATACTTTATAAACTGACTAGGTACACATATTTATGGGCAAAAAACATAAGGTGGGCACTAAAGTAGGTATGAACCATGGCTTCACATACCTATCTTAAATACACATTGTTTTCATTGATGTAGTCCAAATATAATATTATAATAGTACATTGTAATACGAATGAACAGCTAAGAAGCTACCTACATGTTTTTGTTTTTTTAATATAGATTTACCATAATATTTATCACCGTGTACGTTGTTCTTTAAGTACTTACATATTATATTTCATTATATTCTCTTCTTCTTTTTAATTCAGAGAAAAATAACATTAAAAACTATTTAAACAGACAACCGTGTCTGTATTGGTCGTTTAATCTTAAATTCTGTTGTAACATTTAAAATGGCGCCTTAATGTAGGTAGGTATTAATTATCAATTTGCCAGACGTTATACTTAAGATCATCAAACCTTTTTTCAAAAATGTGTATGCTCATTTATGATGTGTGTGAATTAATTTGGGTATGTACAGTATGCTATACTGACCACTTTAGTTGTCCAAGACCAACAACCGATGAACTGTCTGGTGTTAAAAAAGTGTTAGTTAATTTGCCAACAATATTACACAAAAATGCCTTTCAATGTGGATATTTTGAGTTTATACTTTATTTAATTAAAATTATACACGATAAAAAAACCATAAATATTTGACACTCCGCTATAGTTATTATAATATATATTATATAGATACATTTGGTTATAAAGTTGAGATTACTCGACAATCTCGTACGTAAATTTAAAGCTGTTCAAAATTAATTACACAGAAAATCCATTGAGTATACATATTATATACATGACAGCTAAAATTAAAAAAAAAAAAAAATTTACATCAAAATAGTAGATATACAGATGAATAATAATACAACGGTTATTACGAAAGATTTCAAAACAAAATTTTGTTAATAGTTGTAGAATTTTCCGATGCGCAGCAAAATAGTTTACAAAAGCGAAGAAAGTTCCTTTCGAACTAATTTATGTTACCTTTTTATAATTATTATCATTTTAAATAATTATCAATAATATTATTTGTATATATAAATATTTATAATTTTATACACACAATAGGAGATTTATAATATATATATTTAGATATATAATATATTGTATAGTTATAATAACAGAAACTACAAACTCTACGCGTAAATGGAATAATAATATATTATAATACAAATTTGTTTTTGGTTTATTTTTTCCATTTTTTTTTTATTATTTTTTTTAGAAGTTTTTATAATTTTTATTTGTTTTATTTAAATTTACGTAAATTCTCGTTTAAGAATTAAAAAAGTTATAAAACGCATTGTTTTGATGCATGGACGACGCGTCGTTTGTGTATTTGCCGTCGGCTACGGGATTTCCGTTTTGTTCATCGACCATTGGTGACTGTCTACAAGCGTCCGCGTAAGACGCCATACCGCTGGCTCCTTGGAACTGCGACGGCAAAACGGGCTGGCGATCGCCGTCGACGGGCAACAGTACGCTGCCGTCGGGCTGTTGCTGAGGCTGTCTTTTGTACAGAGGCATGCGGTCAAACTGATCGATGCACATCAATTGTTGTTGGCTGAGAGTCATTTGCTGGGACAAAGATTTGTAAACGTCGTCGTCGGCGCTTCCATTTTCACCTATTGATTGGGCTATCTTGAAACATAACATAATCATATTAATAACATCATTTTTAAACCAAACACATTTTGTAATTTTCCTAAAACGGCTTCGACAACTTTTACCTGCATTTGATTGCCCAAACCGTTGATTTGCTGTTTCTGTGGTTGTGGTTGCTGTTGTTGTTGTTGCTGATGCTGTTGTTGTTGTTGCTGCTGCTGTTGTTGTTGCTGCTGTTGTTGTTGTTGCTGCTGTTGTTGTTGCTGCTGCTGTTGTTGTTGCTGCATTAGAACGTTGAACATGTCCTCGGGCATTCTGTTGCCCAGTTCCGACGGCGGCATATTCATTTGCACGGGTACTGCAGACTGTTGTTGAACGATGGGTTTTTTACACGATTGCGATCGCAACAACTCGATAAATCTAAAAAAAAAATAAACAACATTAAATCATCTTTTCCTGCCTTTCGGACCAAACCTAACACGACTCACTTTTGTGCCATCGAAGCGCCGCCATTGTCCGTAATGAACTTCATCCATTCCAATTGTCTCGTTTGGGAACTAGCCATTTCCTCTATACTCACACCTTGCGGTAACATGGCCTAGAAATAAGAAATAATTTATTATTGTCCAAGATTGACAATCAAATTTTTATAATACATTTTATGTAAATTGTTTGTTAAATTTGTGTAGTTAAAATTACCTCAAGTATCGACCGATCGCTAGCGCGTTGTGTCTGCGGTTGATGTTGTTGTTGTTGCATCGTAATTGCTTCATTATGTTTGTTGTTCACGTCTACTACAGTTCTCACGTACGGTTGAACCAGAGACGGATGTTGCATTGGAAATGGTGGTATCGGAGAAATATTAATTTTGTTAAAAGACTCATGAAATCCCATTAGACTAGGGTTCGGCACAATCATATTTGGAGACGGAAGATTAACGGGAGCGATTCCGGCGTTTTGTACAAACTGGAAGTCGGTGTGACCGTTCTGCACCATGTGCACGAGTCCGGGAGGATTTCTGGGTGGTAGTAAGCCCGGCGGAGGTCGTACTTCTTCTTCGTGCAGCTTTTGTATCGGTTGCTGTAACATTGGTCTGTGGAATAGGTTTTGAGGGGGTGCCAATGGCCCCAGAGGCCACATTTGGGTGGGATTTATGATCGGCTGTCTGAGCGATATAAAAGTTGGCGGCGGAGGCTGAGCAATGGAAGGTATGTACAAAGGGATTGGAAATATTGGCGAAGAATACAGCGGAGGCGGCTGGCTGAACCTCAACGGAGGCGGAGGAACAGCGGCGTTGAACGATGTCAACGACTGTGGAATTTTTATGTACGACTCTTGTTGGTATCGTCTAGGAACGAATTCCGGTGCCAAAGGGTTGAGCACGTACGATTTCTTGAGTTCAAGGTTGTCGAGTAAGTTTCGTAAGTTCATCCAAGTGATACCGTTCAGACTGTGATTGTCCTCGCATATTTGAATGAACCGCTCCCAAACTTTTCTGCATCGTCCGACGGAACAAAGAGCAACAGGATCGCCGACCACGGCCACGAGACTCTGGGCCCGAGTAATGGCAGTGTTCAACAACTTAGAATTTGACAAAAATCCATAGTCCATATCGTCCATTCCGAGCTTGCCCGAGTCATTGTTCGACTTTTCTCCTCCGCTGACGTTATTTGAAACGCAAGTTCGCCGTGTTCGCACCGTGCTCAAAAATATCGCCCTGAATTGTTTTCCTAATAAATTGACAAAAATGTTGTATAAACATTTTTTCTTCTACCCTGGAGAGCGACGTCTCTGTGACTTACCTTGAACGTTCAAAACCCTCTCGACGGATATGCCGCCCATTCGACGTTTACGCAGCTCCGACCTTATCCTGAAAACTTGATCGGAGTAGGGCGTCATTATGCCGATGGAATGTTCGTCGAACGGTGCCCACGCCGTTGGCCAGTTCTTTCTCAGTTCACACACGCGCTCCACGACTTCGTACACTTCGGCATTGTTGTAGAACGCCGTCGAGTTGCTGTCTTGTATGTCTTCACCGCGAGTCGTGAAGAACGTCAGCGGATACAGTTTATCGTGCCGCGGCTGATTACCCTTGCTCACAAGTTTTTGTTCGTAAAACAATTCGGACGTAAACTGAAGAATAAGAAAAAAAGTTATATTATAATACGTTAAACAATTTCAATTCGGTAACAATATGTACATGTATAATAGCCTCATGAGCCCTGTAGTTTTCGCACAACAATATTTTACAAGCGAACAATCCTGGATAATGGTCGTACAGTCTTTCCAGCAGCGATACGTGTAAATTGCGTTCTTTTGCAAATTTTGAAAATATTTCTGGACTCAACTAAAATTTAAATATATATATTGTATTATTTTACAACAGAAGTGTTTGTTTTATTTTGTCCCGAAAATAAAATAGAAAATACTAACCTGCATATGATCTCCAGCCAACACGATACGTGTGTCTGTGTTGGCCAAAGCCAACGGCATTATCGCTTCGCATTCCATTGCTTGTGCGGCTTCGTCCAACAGAATATGAGTAAAATGTCCTGTTACGATAAATCAATAGATTGGTTCAACAAAAGTTTGACAAACAATTTATTTATATAAATAAAATTCTTCACCTTTTTTTAAACCGATTGATGACAAAAACATGGAAATGCTCAAAGTCACTACTATGACTCGATAATTTAATATTTCTTCAAGCGTCGGTAGTCTAAATGCATTGTTTTCATCCAAAATACAATACTAGATAACAAAAAAAAAAATTATTCCATGTGTGTGTTATCAAACAGCGATCATAATCGATAATAATTTCAACGTTGTAGAGGAACAAGTCTTGGACGTTATTATTTTTTTAAATAACAGTTTTCCGTATTGCAATAGCTAATATCTATATTATAGTTTTCGTTATAAATCTAATGAGCGGTAATTTAAGAAGATTTATTTTTATTTTTAACTTAATGACTAAAATTTAGAATGTTAGCGACACTGAATTATATACGATAAAACAACAAATTAAATCTTACTTTTTGGACCGTGCTGTGTACTGTCGACACCCATCGTTTGTGGTAGTATATTCTCAATGGTTTGGCCTCGGGATGTCCTTCTTCGACGTGTGGATGCAGATAGTCTTTAATATACAAATCCGCAGCACTATTGGAATGGGTGCACACCAAAATTCTCGTGTTGTCTTGGAACAACGTCTGTTTGATCGCTTGGGCTAAGGTATACGTTTTACCCGTGCCAAACGGACCTGAATAATAATAATAAGAATTCGTTAATATGCATCGGGTCGATAATTAATGTCAACGAACCAATTATGAGTATCGGAGGCAAGCTGATGTTGGTAGGAGTCGTGATGGCTATGACCGCCTCTCTTTGTTTGACGTTGAGTTTTTTGTCGATTATATCGATCCACTGTCGCTTTGGACTCCACGGTATGATCGGTTCCAGGAAGGTGTCGGGAAAAATAATTTTAAAATCGGCAATGTGGTCGATAGCGTAATGCCATTCGCAGTAAGGTATACGATTCAGCTGGAACTGCACGTCGAATTTCACACTTGTACTGGCCTTGAGGTTGAGACTTGTCACCGAATTGGCCGACAATCTGAGGTAGATAACATTTTTGCCCTTGTCTTCGATTTGCGCCTCATGAACTGTACGCTTTTTTTCTGTCGACTTCGAACCTATAAATAAAATAAATACATTTTTACAATTTGTACATGACCAACGGTGTAGTCGTAAAGCAGACACACAGAGTATGCTTTTGATTTTTGACCATATTATGTAACATTACTTACCTTTTGACGGGGAAAGGTACACAGTGGTGCAATTGTTTAATATCAATCGTCCGGCGGACGTATCTTCAGAAACGTCAGTTCCGAGTTGCAATAGAGCAAACAACTCATTGTTGTGGGAATATTTGGCCGTACTGGCTCCGACGCCGCTAGGAGATAACAGATAACAGCTGGCCAATTGCAATTTCGCAGTTAAATTATACCGAGCCACCTTGTTAAACAAATTTCGGTTCATGTTAAATAAATAAATATGATTATTGCGCTTATTCATGGCGATCGGATCGATTAGAATGAGTTTATTTTAATAACATACTTGTTCGTAACGAGCCAACTCTTCAACGTACAACAACTCGTGAATTCTCGCTCTGTAATTGTTTCTCGTGAGTTTTTTCTCAGAAATAGTGGTGTGTGTCAATGAAAACGTCGACGGACACGGTGCCGGATAACTGGATAACAATTTCTGTTCCCTTTCTTTATCCTCCTTGACCGGAACCGGCCCAATCAACGTGCTGAATTCAACAATTTTCGAATTTGACGCACTCCATCGTTCCATCGATGACAGTACAATTTCTCGGTGGATTTCTTTGACTTTACCGCAATCCGTTACGGGTATAACGTCAACGCAGAGATGCTTCACCAACACTGGGCCGAGACCCAAATCGAAAACAACAGACTGCCTGAATGTTCCGTAAATGTTGGTGGAAAAAAATACTTTGACCTGGTGTTTGAACTTGGAAGACAACGATTGGGAGACAGGATGCTGTGCTTGCGACACCCATTCCTGGTTGTTGGGGTGTTCCATGTCGAATTCAATTTTCTGTAATCCATTGTCGACCAAAATGTTGGTAAGCGAAAAATGGTTACGATACGTGTCTTGGAGTAGAGCGACGGCCTGTAGAGGCGACAGCGTTTCCAATGTAAACGTCCATTCGCGGCTACTAGTCTTAGACTCAACAGTAGTGACCAGATCACAGTCGTGAGTCTCTACGACGTTCTCTAAACTCTCACGCATGACTTTTTCAGGATTTGTCGCTTGCACCCACCTGTGTATTTAATTAAATATAGACATTTTTTTTAAAAAAATTGTTGCTGTTAAATACAATTTTTACTTGTACACACCTTTCCAACAGCTGTTCGGTGTACGACTTGCCGTACAATTTATTTTCCTTTGCTCGTTTCAATTTCATTCTTCGATAATCGAATCTTTCCTTCCACTCGGTCAACTCGTCTATGCCGTGTGCTTCGACACACTGAGCTCCATCTTTGCAGGAACCTTCGGCTCCATCGCCGTCCATAAACGCTTCACATAACCTAAAATATAAACCATAGATATTGTATTTTGTTCGAAAAGGTAAATAGTTTTCCAACGCTATATATTCGTACGTATAACTTTCAGACGAGTGCCCTCTTGGAGGCGGTCTCCACTTCCAGTCGCGTCCTTCATCCGACATAATAACTGTCTGATGGAATTCAGTGGCGCAATGAGCTCGCAACTGATTTTCTAAATCGAACGATAAGCCACAATATGTACATGAATACCTCGTAATGGATTTTTTTGAAAATTTAATTTCCATTTGTTTGTCTTCACCTATAATAAAAATTATCAATAACAAGATTCAAATGAATTACCTATAAATTGTTTTAAACGTTAATAATAACGGGATATTATATTTAGTACTTTTTCATAGTCCATTATATAACAACACAAAAAAAAAAAGACTATAAAAATTGTCACTCACTAGATTCATCAAAGTCTTCGGTGCCTTTTGACGTACCATAACCGACAACAACATTGTGATTTATTGGTTCGGAAAACAGTACCCCATTTTCATGACCTAAAATATAAGTAAATCGCATTAACGTCAATGGTCGAATCAATACAAAACCATCGTGGCGAGTAAGTCATAAGTATGCCAACACTAACCGTTACCGTTGAATCGTTGATAGAGTCTACCGCCGTTGTGGAGACCAATTTCGTTGGTGTTGATGTGTATGCTATCTAGAAACTGCTGAGCCCTATTTCCGTCGTCCACCAACTCGACTGGGTGTTTTCTGTTTCTCCTGCTTTGCTCCCTTTCGCCCGTCGCGATCCACGAGTCCAAATCGCCAAACAGCAGGTCCTCGTTGATCTGATTGAACTGCTCTTCCAGCGACTGCGCCGGATGGGGCGTGACCTTCGGCGGTTCCGTGCACACGCACTGTATGGTGTCAATCATGCGCTTGGCCTCGGCGTTGTTCTCGGCGCGCAACATCCATTCGAACGCTACGTTCTCGGCTTCGGCGAACCTCCTCAACGCGAACAGCGCGTTGACCAGGTTGCGGCGGACGCGCGTGCTGTACGCCTCCTCCTCAGTGGTCAACATGGTCAATATGGTGTGGCAGTCGATGACGACGGCCTCGAACTTTTTCATTTCCAGATTGCACTGCGACCGGCCTAACAGGTAGCCGACGAGGCGGTCGGACGGCAGGCTCTTGGCCAGGGCGCCGTCCAGCAGCTGGTCGAAGCAAAAGAACGCGTTGTTCCATTGCTTGAGGTTCAAGTACTCGATGGCCCTGTGCTCGATCTCGCCGAAATTGATCTCCATGTATGCACCTCTCGTCGGGCGTCTGCTGGGCGTTCACTGCGGTCGCCGCAGTTACGTGATCATTATTGTCGCAACGGTACAGTTGTCGTCGAGTCGCACCGCGCTCAGTCATTGAACGCTCGGCCGAACATGTTTTCACTCAGACGCAACAAAAACGACGTAAACAATAAGGAAACTCTTCCATCTCGGCTATCACGGCTCGAATTTTAGTTAATCTTATCATTAATTTTCTTTGCAATTTTATTGTTATTGACGTTTTCCCAAAATCCAAGGAAATTCTAACATCACACACACACACACACACGCACACGCACACGATACTGTTGTATTATATTGTTAATAATATATTTATTTACCTTCACGGCCGCGGCGACTCCTCGTGCACCGCATTCGTGCTCTCGTTGCCAACATTCGACGTGTGCGGTGTTACCGCCAATTTGCCATTTGTTACACACGATAAGCGACTGCTGTTGCGCTGATACGACAACATAAGTAAACACAGGTATGCCGGCAACTTGTGATAACAGAGAAAATGGCCGCCGGTTTTCCCGGGACGACCGGCTAGCGCGTTGTTTAGGAATTGATAGCACAAGTCGTGCCGGCACACCTCTTTGCTTTTTGAAAGGTTATTTTTATTTTTTTTTTACTGAAAAAGTGTTTTCCGAACCGTCTTTGCTTTTTTTCTTTTTAAATGCAGAGAAATTTAAAACTCGCCATAAGTATCGATTGTACCTGAACGTATAACAAATTATACTTAATCGTTATATTTTTTTTTTTAATTGTAATTACAAAATATTCTACGAAAATGCTCGATCTCGTCGTTGGCGATTACGATCAAGCGGAGTTCGATCGATCACCGATAAATTATGTGGACTTGTCGTCTGCGTACCATCTGACAAATATCAATTACAGAAGACAGTTCGCACACATCTACGCCTATAGATTGGTGGAAATGAGAGAGATCCTTGCCGAGAAAGTACAACAAAAATGGGGTAAACAAACATTTCTGCAATATATTACTTACCTATACGAACTGACCGTCTGGTTCTTTTTGCCATTGTTTGTAGTTTATAAAAATAATTTTGAGTTTTTGTTTACAAAAAAAAAAAAATCCAGTACAGTGGGGTCGGGGCATAGTGGGTACGGAGAGGTCACAGGTCTACAGATTTTATTATAACTGAAAGTGATAAAATCACTTTTAAATAAACGCTTCGATGCGAATCTGTGGATAGTATGTTCGAACCCGTTATAGCGGTTTAGAAGATATCGTGGGACCAGCAATAATGTACTTAAAATTTAATATTTAGTCTTGTGCAGGGTGGATACGATAAGGGTTGTCTATAAAAATGTACAGTCATAGTTACCCATATATATCGTAATTAACAATATAATGAAAATATTTTCATTACCTGTTGACTGTTGATTCACTCACACATAGCAACGTAGAAACTGATTACGGCCAAAGTGTAAATTTACCCAATTTTTGGGGTTTTTCCTTAATAAAAAAATTGCGTCATTGCGGACTGATTATTTGAATTTTTAATGTTGTATTTTGTAAAAAAAAAAACTACCAAATTGTTTTGTTTAATAGTTTTTTCCTGTTGCGGATTAAGAGTAAACATTTGCAATAAACCCAAAATGTTGTTTTAAAAAAAACCTAAATAGGCAAAATTTTTAATTTTATAAATTTAAAGTTTGAAGTCTGTAAATTTCGCAAGCTCCAATATCAAATTCAAAATTGACTAAAAACTACAAATTGGCCACATATAAAAAAGGGGGTTCCGGTAAAAAGTTAATTTGTTCACAAAATTTGATATTTGTTTATAGTTTATATTAGTAATAGTTATTTCTTGTATATTTGTTTTTCTAGGTGAAAAGTCTGTTATTTATAAACTATCGGAGTTGCATGACAAAGTCAATGAAGAATGCATAATTATAGGCACGTTATTCAAACATCAAGAATTAAAACCTAGTATCTTAAAAGAGATAAGCGAAGAAGTAAAAAACTAATTGGATTAATACTGGTGATAAATATATTTTATTAAAAAAAAATTTATATGTTTACACGTAAATATTTTAGCACAATCTGATACCACAACCAGTGAGAACCCATTTTGTTTCCGACAAAGACGAAGTGATCATCGAAGACGAACTGCAGAGAATACCTTTGGCGCTTGATAAATTGCACGATAACATGTTGTCCGTAGACAATATTATGACCGGTTGTATTGTTGCGTTAAAAGGTATGCCGCAGGAAGGAGGGAAATTTTGTGTGCTCGAATATTGTTGGCCTACGCCTTCGATCCCGGCTAAAATAAACAACCAAACATCTGGAGATGAAAAGTTTGTAATACTAAAATATAGTAATCGAACCGCTTTTATATTCAAAAATGTTCCAACTTAATAAACTGGTGGTCACTGTTCTTAATCGATTCGAAAGCAGTCTTAACCAAACAAAAATGATAGTGTTTTCACACATTCAACATTTTACATTGTCTGATGTTTAATTATCAATGTTTCAAGATCACAGTTAAGAACCGAAAAGAAATGTGATTAATTAGTAATGTTAAAATTCAAATCAAATAAAAAGGCCTAGGTTAAAAAAATTTCTCGAGTGTTAAAATTATTAAAATTTAAGTTAATTTAAGCAAATCTGTAAAATAAATTATATTTTGATTAATTGACTTTATCCAATAACTTTTTGTTGAAGAATTAATGTTTTGTATGAGAAAACAATAAATCTCATAATAAACCTTTTTTTTTTTAGCTATTTAAATCACTTTTTCAGTCATCTGGACTAAAGGTAGATCTAGAATGAAGCTAGTTTTAAAAAAATCTACACATATTCGAATTTTTTAAATAAAAATAATGCTTTTGTAACACTAGTCATTGTGGAAGACCTTTATTTTTTTTTTAATATTCAAATAAATTTGAACATTTTTGATATTACCGATTCTGTCGACTCTAATATATAATGAACTGTACTCAATCAACTAATTTATATTACTTACGGGTTTAGATTTTTGATACTGATTAGTGGTTTGGAATTGGCCACAAGCGTAGACACGCACTTTCACGTACAATTATTCGTAGACTGGGTAACTGGTTTGTTGGGCGACAAAGGAACAAATGAAAAAGCTTCCAAAGTTGTTCAAGTGTTAATAGCCGGTAAATAGTCGTTACTAATTATACTATTGTGCGTAAAACAAAAATAATTGTAACTTTGTCGTCAATAGGAAACAGTATAAGGAGTACGCCGATGAAAAAACCTAACTATAGAGACAAAATCGACGATTTCCCCAAAGATATCCAAGCCATCAAGCAACTGGACGATATACTGTTACAACTTGCCGTAAGAATGATTTTCCATTTTTTAAATAGTTGATATATAAAAAATGTACGTTTCAGTCGTCCGTCGATGTACAAATCATGCCCGGCGAGTTTGATCCCAGCGACAGAACGTTACCACAACAGGCATTCCACAAATGTTTATTCCCAAAAGTAACCTATTTTCATTATTTTTTTTATAGAACTATAATTTATAAATGGTAGTTCTTTTTTAGACTTCCGAGTATTCGAGTCTTCATCGAGTTACAAATCCTAACAAGTTTGAAATCGAAGGTAATCTCATCATGGGCTCTTCCGGTCAGACCGTCCAAGACGTTCAAAGGTTTTCCAATTTAGAAGACCCTCTAGACATAATGGGAAAAATATTAGAATGGGGACATCAAATACCGTCTGCACCAGACACTCTTCGTAATTACGCTTTAATATTTATTCTTAACGAGTGGCGGATAAGATTGACCGTTGTGTGATATAAATATCTATTAGCTTAATTGCACTATAATTTATCGCACTACCTTGTTTTTAACTGCCACGAGTCGCTGTTGACTTATCGTTCAATTTGTATTGGGTAATTTAAAATGACAATTAATAAATTTTAAATCACATGCAAACTTTATTTTTCAGCGTGTTATCCGTTTGAAGGCCAAGACCCATTTATAATAAAAGACATGCCGAACGTGTTCTTTGTATCAAATCAACCTTCGTACCAAACGTCGCTCAAAGAAAACAGCAGTGGTATGTTTTTACAATTAACAAAACAGCTTAGAAGAGTAAAAAATTATCATTATCAAAACTAGATAACTTACCATCAAACCGTTTTTATTTTCCTAGGTACGACTACGAGGCTTATCTGCGTACCTTCGTTTTCAACGACTCAAACGTGCGTGTTATTAAACCTGACCACTTTGGAGTGTCAGCCATTATCGTTCAAAACATTTGCACCATAATATTATATCGAAAAATATGTGTACATGTATTATATTCTTTAAGTAGAAATAAGATTTACAAGTTTAATGTATTTATAATAGTATTGATCTGTCGCCACTGCTCGCATTCAACACCGATTGGATCTCTTCGGCAGTGAATATGTTAAACTTCAACAAAGTAGCCAATAACTGGTTACGCGAACAGCCGATAAATTTGTGACTCAAAAACAACGGGAATCCTCTGTACTTGTCGCCCATCGTGTACAAAGGCACTCTAACCGTACCGAGCACCTGTACATTAAATGTAATTCAATCATCATCGTGTATTATAATCTGAATAAATAAACTTTAATAATATTATATTTAATTTTTTTTTTTTACCTCACCGCCGTAGTCGTGTGCCAGCAACGCTCTTTTTTCTATTTCGACGAGTTCGTCAACGGTGACTTTGAATTTGTAGAAATGAAGAACTAATTGTTTTTTTTCACTCCAATGCGAGACAACGTAATCGTCGTTGGTAATTTTATGTGTTGCGGTGTCAAAATTCATTTCCTCTACTAGTTCTCGGTTGACTGCGGTCACAGAATCTTCGCCTTGGTCGAGTAGTCCGCCGGGAAAACCAAAATATCCATCGTACCGAAGTTGCATCTGAAAAAAATAAAAAATAATTTTACAATTTTTTTTTTTTTTTTTTCGAAACATTAAATCTCCACTCACGAGAACAGCCGCGCGAATTTTGTAAATGCCAAAAACTTTCTCACTGTTTTCTGCGTAGACCATACAATGAGCGGCGTTCGTTAAGCTCTTGTATTTTGTTTCGTTGATTTTGTCCTCGGGCAAACGAACAAACTCGTTTGGTTCGGCTTCTCTTCCCAAGTCTTCGTCGACCCCAAGCCAGCCCCAAGTGCCGTCTCCGGTCGAAGTAGAAGTCATATTGATATTTGTCGCTGAAATAATAATACAGAGACGGCAAAAAAAAAATGGTGGTAGTGTTGTGTTAAAAATAAATTTTAATTACTCGGCGATTATTTTAACTCGACTTTTATCTTATCTACAACTCGTGTGCATAATCCGTCCAAAAGACAAAAGTAATTACATAAAATACTAATTATTGCCTCATACAAATAAAAAAACCACCTGTGATTAATAGTTAATATTTTATACACCAGGAAGTGTGTCGCAATATAAAATACCTACGGTGTTAATCTTTATAATAAAAATAATTAGTAAACGGGAACGGTTTTTGATGAACAAGATTGGTTTGTACGGTTCTGGGCTCATTCTGTCTGGAAACTTTATGTATATCATTTTAACAGTAGTGTGTGTAATCATTTAATTTAGTCGCCGTGTGTTATTTATGCTAATTCCACTCGCTTTCACTCTTTACATTATATGCTATATATTAGTGTATAATATTTCATAATTTTAAACGGTTAAAAATATAAAAGCTAGGTTTTATTTTCGTTTTACCGTTTTCTATTACAGTGTTGTGCAAATTGTAATCTGATTAATTGAATACTATTAATAATATTATAATCAGTAATCATAGTGTTAGATTAATGTAATCATAATCAGAAAAATTAATTCTGTAGGTATGATTACTGTAATCATGAAATTATTAATGATTATATTTTTTTAACCGCCTTAGGCTCAGCGGTGCAGCTAGGGTAAGGGGCTGGGGGCTTAGGCCCTTGATTAAAGTTTAGCTCCCCCCCCCTAAAAAGATATTCCTTGTCAACTTGTATTTTTTGTCGTTTAAAAATTGAAATTATTAATAAACGTTATTAAAACTGTTAAGGTTTTTTCGAGTAAAACTAAATAATTATACAAATTAAAAAACGAATAGAAATGATTTTATTTTTTTTATACTCCAAAAAATAAAATACCCGTTGGCTAACGAAATATTTAGAAAAAGCAGTTAAAAAATTAATTTTTCCATTTTACATGTAATATATTTTAGAGAAAGCCTAGGGCGGTTAAACAAGTTTTTTTTTAATAATTTCATGATTACAATTATTGTAATCGATTAAGCCCAACACCGTTTTCTAATGAGATTCCAACATTACTCCTTCGATTATTTTATTATAGTAAATTGATAATCGATTAATTATCGGCTTACCAATTTGTTTGTCTTCAGTTTCAAAGAAACTATTTTTCTGCAATCCAGAATAATATTCTAGAACAATTATTATAATTAATGTATTAGTTTTCAATTGTTCGGCGGTGTTGACGGATCACAATAATTATAGCAATTAGAAATAATGCCATAAAAGTCGAATACTAGTTCAAAAGTATAATCGAATATACTCAATGGATAACATTGTAGCAGACTTGGGGATTATTTAAATACATTTTTAGTTTAATCATTTATCGTTTAACGGCTTTAATTAATAAACGCAATTGACAAATAAAATTGTTTTTTTTTATCTGGACGAATTGAAACAACAAAGAAAACATAAACAATAATAATGATTTTAAATAATTTTTTATTTTAAAACGGCAATAAGAAATTGATTTCAATAGAAAAACTATTTGTTGATCTACTAAAAAAAACAAAAAAATTGTATTTAAAATAATTCGTCAGACTACAATAAAACATGTATATGTGTTTTAATATACATACATTTATGCTCCTTTTTTAAAATCCTAATTTTAACATTATTATCATTAAAAATATGATTTATTGATAGACCAACAATAACCTGATGGTGTCTGGCTGTAGAGCTTATTGGACGATTTACAGTACGGTTTGTAAGTCGCAGCCAGACTATGTATTTTTCGAATTCTCAAACTACAACGTTTGGTCAATATTTCTAGACTATTTAAAGCGTATCTGAAATTTAAACAAGAAAAATCAGTTAAATATTGTTTGCGATTAATTTTCAACGCAAACAACATTTTCTAGTCGCAAATGTTATGTGTCAAATAAATAGCATATTAATTTTTGTTAATCGTTTTTTAATTCACTTTAGTGAACACATAATTAATTAGCAAAATGAGGCAGTCAATAGCCGATCGTTGATAATAAAGAAAAATAATTGTAAAAAACATTTGAAAACGGACGGTCAAAAAATTAGACTAATCTAATAAAAAAAAATGTATTAATTATATAAACAAATAAAATAATTCTACTATTCTTTAATAAATATTTAAGTACAAAATTGAACTCTACGTTTTACGGTTACCTAAACGTATGAAAATTAAACATGGAAACGACAAGGCAGAAAAGAAACAGTTCAACGTTCCATAATTGAATACTTCACGTACATTCAACCAGTATAGCTCTGGAAAGAAATAAACCAATTGTTTTTAAAATAATAATAATTTTTTTTTTTTTTATGGTATATAGTAATTATTTATAATAATAAGAAATGTATCGTCTAATTAGCCTGTCGTTCAATACATCATCACTATAGTACATTAGTACCGATAACTTAAGGAAGTAAGTATGTGACTAATACATTTGTTGTTACTTGATACATATATTAATACAAAATAATAACGTTAGTTAGGAGAGATCTTAAGGAAGGGAGAATTTTGGAGAAACAAAAAAAAAAACATTTAAAACCAATTACATAAATATTTTATTGATATTGAAAATAAAAAATGTATATTATATGCATCTGTTTTATAGAATATACATTACTGTAATTAATAATAATATAAATAATAATATAAATTATAAGCAGAATTTTTTACTTAAATATACAAATGGTTTTGTTCTATTTTTGGTATTTTAAGTAGAAATATATTCTTGGAAATTTAGGCTAATTTAATTTTTTTTTTTTATTAAAGAAGTGCAAGTAATGATAAGAGTTACTGGTACAATTAAAAAAAATTGTAAGAATAAAACTGATTTTATAGAACACGTGTTCGAATAATTATTAATGAATAAACCTAACTATAAAGCCAAATTCATAGAAAAAAGGAAAGAAACAGTATACATTGCAGTATTGTTCTAATAAAATGATTTTAATAATTGGTTGATTTTTTCTTGGAGTTCGTCCTTTTTTCTTTTCAATCCATTGTCTGTGTCGACAAATTGGTTTCTTCCTACTTTGCCCGGAATAAGCTTATCGACGTACAGAGATTGAACTTGCCCAAAAATGTCTTTCAAATTTTTTTCCACCTTTTGTGCCTCGTTCAATTTATCGGCTAACTCGTTCGATTCTCCCTTTAACTTATTCGCCAATTCGTTAATACTACTTGACTCGTTCTTGTAATCCGCTTGAATCAGTTTTATAACTGCGTTGTACGCGTTGACGTCTTTGGAATGTTTCAATTTATTTAAACTGTCTTCCCACGACGCATACACAGATGCTCTCTTCTCAACGTGTTGGATAATAGCGTTGACCAAACCGGATACACGTTGGCGAGTTTCGCTGTGCTCGTCTTTGGCAATAGAAAAGTCCAGACGTACCCAAATGATTACGGTGAGGAATAAAATAAAAATAGCAGCGATGACAATTAACGGCTCGTGGAACATGAATACTTTTGGGAATTTGTATTTCAGTTCGAAATCCTTAATGTGACTTTCTACGACGTTCGACATTTGCACTTTCAGCATGGGTCTTCCGATAGTGTCCAAGTAAGTGTAATGCAGACCGTCCGGCAAACGAGACGTCGGGTAAGGCGTTTGCAGCTCTACGTCCGATGAGCCTTCGGGAAGAATAATGCATACTGTTACATCTTCGATTATCATGTTGTCGTACAGATGATCTATTAAACGCATTTTCAAAATGTAATCGTCGCCATTGCTAGACAAGTATTCGTAAGCCGGTACATTGTAGCCGATAGTGTAATGAGTTTTCCATCCGCCGAAGAGAGGGAATCTAGGACGAATGTCTAATTCAACAGAATCCAAAAGCGTTCTTTGATTCGAGGTAGATATATTACCGATAACGTCTCGGTAATATACACTGCTTGCCGAAGCCGGAAGAGACATTTTAAAAGATTTCACACTGGCTATACCATTGGTGGTTTCACGTTGATAATCATAACGAGAGAACGAACCTTTCAATTTTGCACCGTGATGGACGAGATCGATTACTTCCGTAACGGCTATATTTCCCCAATGAGATATTTCGATGGTTCTCGTCAGTTTAGTAACTTTTAAAAACGGACTGTTGTTATCGTAATGAATATTGATTTGAGAATACGAAAAAGGTTCCAATGGTCCGTGAGTGCCATAAATAATATCACCCGAACTTTGCGTCACTGGATTCAAATTAGTATACTCTTCCACACGTCTTGTTCCTGTCTGATACTTAATGGAAGACTTCAAACTTTTGTAGGGCGAGTAAAAAAATGCATTTCCATAAAACATCATTAGTTGTCTATCCTTCTGAGTTATTTCTTCGGGATGTGGATTCAAAGCATTAATCAATATGTATTGGACCACAATTGGAGTTCGGCCTTTAGACCTCAACGGACGAGATGCATTAAAATCGATTTGATAAAATTGTTTGTCATGATGTCCGGTGACTGTCACAGGTTTGACAGTCAAACCCAAACGATTTGACTCGGATACTTGACGGGCAGATACATAAGAAATATGACTTTTAAAAGATGGTTCGAATGCATATAAAATGGAATTAACTGGTTTATCGCCGTTGTTTTCCAAAGACAACCGACATTCTCCTTTTACCAATTGGCTACTAATATCTACGATGCATTCGACGTTATTTAAATATATCTTGGGGTTTATTTCAATTGAATGAGATGCGGAAAAAGTAATCGCCACCAAGAGCAAGTGGAGCGAGATCATTTTATTTACGAACCTGAGACCCAATACTGCGTTTGAAAATGTTCAGGTTTTTCGTTTGTCAAAGATGGATTTTACCTGAAACATTAAAACAAAGCAGCCAAGTTGGTAAAATGTGTGTATTGATTTAAAATTACAAATTTTTTTTACAATTAATTTATATACATATTATGATTTATGGTATATTATAATTTTCAATTTAGTTTCGTTCCTTCGTGTTTTTGAGTCTTATCTTTAATCGTATACTTGGCGAATGTTTTCAATGGATCAAATGGTTCCCAACGACTGGCTGGAAAGATGTGTTTATTTCTTTCGTACCAACTTCTCAACAACACTTTTCCGGCATGGGAATCTTCTTTTTCCAAACTAGCATCGCTCACCATTCGAATGTCGTCGTGAACACCGAAAGTAAATAACGGTCCGCTCTTACCTCTCGCTTTGGCAACGATGAAATCATAAAACGAATAATGATGAGGTAATATAAGGTCTTCTTTGACGTACATCAACTGATCGGCCATAATAGTTTTCAATTCTCCAAACTCGCGACGCAATAGCTCCATTGCTTTTTGTAGAAACTGGTATATTGTGTTACCCTTTTTCATAACAATTGTTCGTCTATGCCCAGAACCGTCCCAGTAACTGAACGTTATACTGATTTCTTCTTCTTTTAAACATTTTTGTTTGTCAGACCACTCTTGCCTGAGTGATTCGCGCAAACAATTTTCTTCAGTTTCCCTAGCTCGATCTGGCAAAAAACTAGTGTCGACGTCGGGGTTCTTTTTAATTTTTTTCGGTAACGGTTCTGAAGTCGAAGGCTGATCAACAACTTGTTGTGGTTGTTGTTGTTGTTGTTCTTCTTCTTCTTCTTCTGCTGCATCATCTTCGCTTTCCACCTCTTCTTCTTCATCTCCGATAAACGATAAAGCCTGTATCTTTCGTTGCTGTTGTCTCTTCTCTTCCAGTTTGGCTTCCAGCTGACGTTGCTTTTCGAATTCTACTTCTTTTTCTTTTTGCGCCAATTTCATGACTCTCTCTTGAACGATCGTCTCTTGTTTGGCTTTCATCTCGTCGAGCGTCACCAAACCAATGGTGGAACTCTTGAGCTGTGCCTCGACGGCGTCGTAATGTTTGGCGAACTTGTTTTCAATGTTGGACAGTTTCATGTCTTCTTCGATTTTCTTCTTGCGCAGTTCAGTTTCGGCTTGGGCCAGCTCCCGCTTTTTCATCAATTGCATGGCGCGGCCGGCTTCGCTGGCGGCACCCTTGTAGTGTGCCATCGTTGATAATAATTAATACTGTTTTTTTTTGACGACAAAGACAAAAGTTCCGGCTCTCCACACGAACAAAACAAGCTAGGTAGATATGTGGGTACTAGGTAGGTAGGTGTATACGGTAAATAATGGGTTTGACAATAATGTGTGTTATTACTTACATGCAAACGGATTTGGACTCGAAGGCAACTGCTTTCAACATGATTCGAACGCAATATTATTATTTGTTACGATTGATTATTTTTTAATAATAGTAAACAAGAATATCCGACCTTTGCTGGTGGCTGTGTCGAGTTAGTCCACGCACGAGTAACGACAGCACGAAAATATCAAAAACCATGTATGTGTACGGCGGAACGCCGAAAACGTCATACAAAATGAATTAACAATTGTAACAAACCGAAGTTACCAACGTTACCGCGTTAGGTTAACCGGCGTTGAAGTTACAAACAAATAGTTGGAACCGAAAAAAAAAAATTGTCAACACAGACGAGATAATGGCGGCGCAATCGTTGAGAACCCATTTTTTGTTGCGCAACATATTATTATTATTATTTGTTTTGGTTGAATTGAAATATAGGATTTTCGAACGATGATACCTTTTGCGATTGTCAATGTTTATCTACAGCCACTGTAATAATTGTTCTGGTGCAGCTAGTTTTTGCGTTTTACCTGTGTTGTTTATTTGATTTTTTTCTACACAACACCGTGAACCGCAATATTGTTTTGTTTGGTTTTTTAATTTTATCCATTTCGTCTCATTCCGTGTACCGTAAATTTAAAAATAAAAATGGCTACGTTGTTTGGCGTATCGTTGAATCCGTTTTCGACACCAGTAGGCGAGAAAATCGGTAAGAACAAAAACATCTATTTGTTTTTTACATATATACATATATATTAAATTTATCAATTATATTGACTTTAAAACGTTTTGCCAAATTACAAATATTCGACGCCGGAAAATACGTGTAATATGAGTCATCGTCGAATTATGTGTGGGCAATTTTCGAGAATATTTATTTATTTTAAAAATTAACTCGGACGAGTTCTCAGTGTTTAAAAGCTCAACGACAATAAAATATAACAATCGGTAGTGTAGGAAAAATATAATCCTCGAGATCGTGTTTCTAAAAAAAAATTCATTAGTCTAACATATGTTTGTCGATATTGATCGTTAACTGACTATTCCAATCTAATCAGATTTTAAAATTTCATCCGTCTTCACGACATAGTTACATTTTTTTATTTTAAACAATAGCTACTTTTACTCGTTGTTTCAACGAAGACAAATTTGAGCGTGTAATCTTTGAACTCTGTGAAGTACCCTTTTAAAGAGACTTGTTATCTATGTCAAATAGTAAAACTATAGGTTTGCCTTTATTTACAAATTGATACTAACACATATTATATTAATATTATCGCCATGTTGTTTTAATTCTTTATTTTTATTAGAAACAAAACCTTCAATGCGATACAAAATATTTATAAAAATACACTTTTACACAATATATTTTACCATTATTATTATCACGTACGTTAAATATTAATATTTATAACTTTGCTAATTTCAGAATTAGCCACCGATGGAGGTTTGGCTTCAGAAAATTGGTCGTTAAATATGGAGATATGCGATATGATCAACGATACAGAAGAAGGCCCCAAAGACGCAGTGAAGGCAATACGTAAAAGATTATCGCAAAACGCTGGCAAAAATCACAAAATCATCATGTACACTCTTACGGTAAGATAATATGTACATTTAGTTTGAATGGTGAATAGTTGGTTATTCCCCAATTAGCATTATGTACAAATAATTTTAATTAAATCAATGTTGTTGCAGGTTTTAGAAACGTGTGTGAAAAACTGCGGTAAACGATTTCACATTCTCGTATGTAATAAAGAATTTGCTCAAGAACTGATTAAATTAATCGGTATGTTTATTTGCGCATTACTTATAAATTACAAGTATATCACTTCAATACTTTAAACATTAGGGCCTAAAAACGATCCACCGTCGATTGTGCAAGATAAAGTCTTGAGTCTTATTCAAAGTTGGGCCGACGCGTTTCGCCATCAACCAGAACTTCAAGGTGTTTATCAAGTGTATCGGGAACTTCGTCAGAAAGGAATTGAATTTCCCATGACTAATCTCGACACTATGGCTCCTATACATACACCGCATAAAGTAAGTCGTCTTGCTTGAATAAACTATCGGCTTAAGTGTCCATATGAATAAAATATATCTTTTGTTATATAATTAGAGTTATTCTGAAGAACCGAGTGCAGTAGTAGCGAGTACATTCCCAAGTGAACCGACCAATGATCAATCACTTAGGCCGGAACAGTTCTATAAATTGAATTCTGATTTGGAACTAGTTCGCGGCAATATGACTGTATTGAACGAAATGCTGACTGAGCTACAACCCGGAAAAGAAGATGCGTCGGACGTGCAATTATTAACTGTGAGTAGTCTTAATTTATTGATATTAATAGCCTTTAGTTAGTCTTAAATCATGAAAAAATAATTATTGCCGCCTTTTTCACTCTTCTATACAGTTTTGGTATTATTATTAGTGGCGTTAAAATAAATAGCCAAAATCTTCGCTTTACTGCTGTTGCATGAATTTTTTTATTATCTTTAATCGAGTAAAATAATATATTTTACACATTTTAGGATCTCTACACCACTTGTAAAGCAATGCAAGAAAGAATCGTTGAACTACTCGCTAAATTATCAGACGGAGAACTTACCGAACAGCTGTTGTTGGTCAATGACGATTTAAATAACTTATTTTTACGGTTCGTAAAATAACATTAACGTCGTGATGTCATTTAAAGAGGCAAATTAATTTTGACGGATATACTTATTTCTAATTTGTTACAGGTACAGTCGATACGAAAAGAACCGAGACGCTGGTGGCAGTGTTGTGGACGGTGGTTCTTCAATAAAAACCACAGATTTACTTCAAGATTTCATAGATCAGCCTGTTGCGACTACATCAAATCAGTTCTCAAAATTAAGTAAGTTTATAATATAGAAACAAGTCCTGTTGTATATTTCTCTAGTTCACATTAAAAAAAAAAAAAAATTGTAAGTTTTCATTAAATAACGAAAACAAAAAATTATTTTAACATTATGAATTAAATTGATATAGCTAGATTTATTATTATTATTATATTGTTATTGATTTTGGTGTTACTAAAATGTTTTAATATTTTAGGTCTGGGTACCGAGACGTTAAAACCTAATCCACCCGCAGACTTACTGACTAGTATACAATCGGATGACTTTGATATGTTCGCTCAGTCTAGATCTGCGTCGTACGAAAACACCAAAATCGGGTAAGTTTAGCCCGTCGTTCTATCATGTGCGCAAGTGTAAAATGGGTCTTAATTTTAAGTTAACTGTTGATTTTTCGCATAACTATAACGTGTTTTATTAAACATTTTTAGTGGAAGTAGTTACGATGCAAATTTAATGCCGGATCAAGTCGACAGTTTAGCCTCGTTGACACAAGCTCGATCCCAAAACGTAACGACAAAAGATGTAAGTTTGTTTTCAATTTTTTGAAATTGACGTAACCGCCCTTTATTTACTACGATAATTCTATACGTAATCGATAGATTATTTTCCTTGTTATCACATAAAAAGCAATTATTATTATGTTTGTAACACGTGTGTGTGTGTATGTGTTGTGTGGGCTCCGACTTTAGGATCGTGCACACGAAGAAGTCATCAGGGTAAGAGCGAATTGTTTATAGAATGACAATATACCCTAATCGTACTTACTTAACGTCACAAGCTTGTTGCACATTGATCAATTATTGTCGACTTGCTATTAACGTTCGATTTTTATTTCTCTTAGGTTATGTTTATGCATCTGTTTTGTTATTACATCAATTTGCATGTTAGTTTTAAGTGCCCAAAGATAATATAACATTTTCACATTAATTAAGTAAATTTTTGCGCACACCATACAAGTAAACAACAATAATAATCAGTGTCGGTGTTGACAATTACTAAAATATTTAACGCTCAAATTGTTATCGAAAAGATTTAATTGTGTTTAGTATATTCACACACTCAGTTTACGTTAACAATGAATAATATAATGCCGAGGCTCCTTAAACAATATTTCTAATCAATTGTAACTAACTACATTTCAATTTTTAAGATTTATCTTTTTTATGTTAAACAAAAAACAACTTTGAACAATATTACGACTGTTTGCTTAAACGTAGATATTTGTAGAGCAAGAAAAAAATGGTTTTTTTTTAATTTAATTACAAATATTTTGTATTATCAAATTTTATCTTTCCTCGTTATCATCATAAGTTCAAAAAGTAATTTTAAAAGAATGTTCAAAGCACTTTTTTATTTTTATAATATTTATTTGTCAGACATCATTAGAAAAATTTTCAATGGTTTTTAAATTAAAAAAAAATCTGGTTTCCATTAAAAATTTCAAAACAAAATTTATCTTGAATAGTTGATAAGTACATTTAAATATTTAAAAAAAACTATAGAATTACTATTGTTCTATAAAAAATAACGTGTAATACAAAAACTGGCATTAGGTGTAAAAATTAAATTTGAGTTAAAATGATAACAAAAATAATTCCAGAAAATAATGTTCAAGGTACATCTTGTAATATTTCTTTTACAAGATAGATTTTTAGGTCTATTTTTCAAGAAGCGCTTGGACGATAATTTTAAAAATCATTGAAACTTAAAACTTATCTAGTAATAGTATTTTCTAAAAATAGGTGTTTTGATCTTTGTTTTATTTATTTTTTTAATTTGATTCTTGTACAATTATGTTTTGTATGTAAAAACTATTAATTATTAACCAACAAAAATAAATTTACTATTGCATTTTTATTTCTTGTCTTGTTTGAGTTAATATTGTAACAATTTCTTTTGTAGTAATAATATATTGATTTTACAAATAGCTTATACTAATATGTAAATTTTACAATTTCACAGATGCACAGTGAACAAGACTTTGACGAAATAGCCGCTTGGCTCAACGAGAATGTAAGTAAAGCGTACCTTTGATCGGTTCAAAACAAACAAAACCCGCGTATTTTTCTAAACTTTTAGTTCAAAGTAACTGTTAACTCATTTTTTTTTATTGCGTAGTATTTTTCTTTTTTTAATCTTTTTTCTTGATTTTTCATTGACTGTACACCTAAATAATTAGAGTTAATTTATCTTACACAGCCTGGAGCTAACATACGAACGGGCGGCGGAGAAGTCGAAGAATCGTTGTCGAGCAGTGAATTTGAACGATTCTTGGCAGAAAGGGCGGCCGCTGCTGAGAATTTAACCGCCGCCGGATCTAATCCGACTGAACCTAGAAGTAGTAAAGAAAAGCAAAAAAACCCAATGTTTGCTTTGTAATTTGGTTTTTAAATTGCCAATAGTTAATCGTAAAGACCAATGCAATTTTTATTGTAAATTCTAAATCATTAATTTGTTTGTATCGTAAAATCGTAAGTACAATTATTAAATCTTATTAGATATACATATTTTGTTGTCTTCGAATAAACTTTCTAGTTTCTAGTATGATAATCTATTAACTGTATCAATGTATGCCTAGATTGAGAATTTTTTTTTTTTTTAATGTATCTTTTCCAAAACAATGGGTTTAAAAAATATAACTTGTGATTTTTTTTCTTCAAATTTTAAATTAACTCGTGATAGAATAATAATCATTATTTCAAGTTGATGTGTTATTTTTTTTTTTTTTAACGCAGTGAAATATTACACAATATTAATTGTACATTCCATCATTTATTTTATTATTTAGCGTTTAAGTCTAATATCGTTGAAAACTTGTTTTAAAAAAACTACAATTTTGTGCAATGACTTAAATTATATTTAAATATCTAAAAAAAAAAAATTAGTAGTTTCATATACTTTTGATGTTTATCGTGTCGTGTACTCGTATTGTTATTAGGTATTTTGTTTTGTTATTCTTATTGAAATCATTATTTACCCTATTATGTAACGTCTCAAAACTATTATTTATTTATTTTTCAAATTGTTAATACGTTTTAAACTATATTTTAATTATTGTTATTATTATTGTTTTCCCATTAAAAATCAGTAACACTCGTGTAAATTAATGTTAATGCTGCTTTACCCATTTTTTCATTTTTATTATTATTTATAAAAATCGTATTTTATCGCTTTACACTTAATATGAGGGTTATCTCATACACGTACATATATTATAAATTATAACATTGTGATACACTACTCAATTTAAAAATTGGAAAATTAATTTATTGCTGTTGTAAATAACTCTTGTTATTTTCCTTAGCGGGCTTTTAGTCTATGTCGATAATTGTCAACACTCAACAATACGTATTTTATATTATATAAAACAAAAAAAAAACATCACTATAATCAATGTGTAAACATCAAATTTAGTTAGTAAGTTATATTTTATCAACTATTCGAGTGTTAACACTAATATTATTACCCACTGTGTTGTATGAAAAATAAAAAATTTGAATTTAATATCAAATTAATTTGTTTCTAACCAATTAATGTATATGTTCCACAGAAACTTATAATATAAATGTCACAATTTATCGGTTTTTTTTTTTTGGAATAACGGCGCGATGTACAAACCAATCGATCGAACATGGATGTTTTATTGTCTGTATAATATTGGAAAACTGCTTTCACGAAGGTGGAACAAGTGGTGTTGGCGGCATGTGATATGTGTGTCCATTACTGCCCGAACCATTCGGATGGCGTATAAAGACCAAAACTTCGTACCTAATATACTTTGTAAAATGTTACTGCGAACAATCTAACGTTAAGAGTAAAAAAAAAACAGTTGACTAACTTTATTTTTAAATAACCTACTTTTTTTTTTTAAATCATTCAAAATTGTAATTGTTTAAATTGCCAACGATGTCGCAACCCCCGTCACCAACTAACCGTAGGTGCTATATTATTTTGATTACATATCAGTCGGTATCCGATGTTGACAAATAATAATTGGTAGTTAAATTGTACGAGAAGAGAGAAACGACTTTATTTAAAATAATATAAAACAAGTACAGCGGGCTGTCTAATATTGCATATTTTTTTTTTAATTTTGCCGGCAATTTGTAGGTTTCATGATTTTGATAAGAAACCCTGCGGTAACTGTCGGCTACCATTGTGGTAACTAATGAGTAACCATTCTATCCATAATCTTTAGCTCTATTCCGTGATAAGCTATTTCTATGACTGATAATAAATTATAAACATTACTGATGGCACGTGGGTTAATGATTTTAATTTGTAATATGATTCTTGATTTGACTTCTTCTGTTAGCTATTTGTGATTTTAACAAATTATTTTGACAAATATTAATTTAATTCATGAAGTAATAAAGAATATATATTAATATATTTAATAGTCTTTTTGAAAAATAAAACGATGGAATCTAAAGTTAATTTTCATGAAATGGACATCGATGATCGGATACTCAAGGTACATAATGTTGCTCAGAGTTCTACTGTTTTGTATTGAAGTTGTTCTTTTGCTATAAAACAACGTAATACTATAATATAATTTATTAATTGTACGAAATTAATAAAAAAAATTGTTTTTCCTTATTACCTAGGCTATTGCTAATAACGGGTGGACAGAACCCACATTGGTGCAAGAACGAGCCATTCCGCTTATGTTAGAAGGCAAAGACATGTTGTTAAGAGCAAGGACGGGATCTGGTAAAACCGCGGCATTTGTAATACCAGTATTACAGAAAATATTAAAATCCAAAGAAGTAAGACAAATTGATAGTCAAGTTAAATTGCACTCGACTCGGTCGAATGTAAATGAAAATTATTTTCGTCTCTCCTGAAAATGAGAGAAATCATCGCTTAAGGCAAATAGCCTTTTGGTAATTTCCATTGCGATAACTTCGTTAAGCTGATGAGCTGTCATAAAACGGTTTCTTATTAATATTTATCCAAATCCTGACATGATGTTGGGTTTTGAGTGCCGCGAATTTATAAACACATTCGAAACCCTCCTCGTAACTTATAAAAGTATAGGTGTCTTGTTTGTAAGTATAATATTCTAATGAATGCTGGTGGTTTGCATTGTTTTTTTTTTTTTTACAGTTAAATCCGGATCAGTATAACACAAAAGCCTTGATTCTGGCTCCGAGCAAAGAACTCTGTAATCAAATTTATAAAAATATACTTCAGTTAGCAATGAAGTGCTCTAGAATAATTTGTTGTGTAGATATATCTGGACAAGTAAGTAATTTTTTATACACATTATAATTCGTAATTACCTAAATTAATAAAGTACCTTAGTAATATAGTCCTATTTGTAGTATATTAAAAACAGATAAAATAATGTTTTATATTGATTTTTTTTGTCAAAAGGTGGGTTGCATTTTGCACCTGTTAAATCAGTGATCAGTATTTTATTTTAGATTTTTTTTTCCCCCCATAGATAGATATGAAAGAACAGAAGCCGTTATTGATTACACCGCCTGACATAATTGTGTCCACTCCGGCAAGAGCGTTGCTTCATTTGCAAGCCAAAAATATATCTCTCGACGATCTTCAAACGATAATCGTCGACGAAGCGGATTTAGTTTTTTCTTTCGGTTACGAAGAAGAGATTAAAGAAACAGTCAAGTAATGATAAAAAAATCATAATTAAATTTTGTTTTTTTTCATGTTGTTTATTTTTAGGTATTTACCAAAAGTCTATCAAGCGGTGTTAGCCAGTGCCACACTCTCTGAAAATGTTTTAGAATTAAAAAAGTTGTTATTGCACAATGCTGTTATTTTGAAATTACAAGAACCAGACCTGGCACCGTTATCACAGTTGACGCATTATAAACTCAACGCCCAAGAAGAAGACAAAGCTGTTATATTGTATTGTTGTTTCAAGCTGAAGCTCGTCAAAGGGAAGACGATTGTTTTCGTCAATACGGTCGATAAATGTTACAAGTAATTATTGATCCAGTATATTTTTGCTGTATAATTTTGACACGTTCAATAAATGTACCTAATTATCTTTAGGTTGAAATTGTTTTTGGAACAATTTGGCATTCATACTTGTGTTTTGAATTCTGAACTTCCTGCTAGCTGTCGTTATCATACCATTTGTCAGTTTAACGATAACGTATACGACATAATTATTGCGTCTGACGAAAAATTTATGGACGAAGAACAAACGAAAGAAGAAACGACCAACCAAACTAGGTAGACTTTTATTAACGAAAATAAAACTTAATTAATTTCTATTAAATGTCGTTTAAAATCATTTTGCTAGCAAACGTAAACACGATAAAGAATTCGGAGTGGCCAGGGGAATCGATTTTCAATTTGTGTCCGTTATAATCAACTATGATTTTCCATTGGACGTATATTCTTACATTCACAGAGTTGGTCGCACAGCCAGAGGTAAAAACAAGGTAAGATACTATTTTACATTATTGGATTTAAAAAAATATTTTTTTTTTAATAAAACAATTTTTAAAAAATTTTGCTGTTAAAAAATCTAGTGTAAAATTCACCAGTAATAAAAAAAAAAAAAAACTGCACATCAAAATGCTAGTAATAAAATCACAACATCTATTTAAAAGTATAGGTATACGATTTTACAATTTTTTACAGGGTACGGCTATCTCATTTTGTAATATTAGAGAACAAAATATGTTGAACGATGTGGAAAAATATATAAAACAAGGTACATCGGAAAAAAATGATGTATTTCTTCCGTTCAACTTCAAACTCGAAGAAGTCGAAGGATTCAGATATCGAGCGAAGGACGCTTGGCGAGCTGTCACTAAAATTGCAGTGCGAGAGGCCCGTCTTAAGGAAATCAAACACGAGATGCTTAACTCTAAAAAACTTAAAGTAAAAAAATCTAGTTGAATAAGTAATTGTGGCTATTGATGAATATATTTTTAAATGGTTATTAATTTATTTTTATTTTTAAAACAGAGGTATTTTCAAGAGAATCCTCGAGATTTATTGTCGTTAAGGCACGATAAAGCATTGCACACTGTGAAACTACAAGACCACATGGCTGACGTTCCTGATTATATGGTTCCGGCATCGTTAAAAGAATTTCTACACACGCAACAAGAAGAAGATGAGAACGTGAAAAATTCGAGAAAAAAAGACAAAGACTATTATAAGAAATTACAATCGGGATACAAAAAATATCAAACGAAAAAAAAGAATCCTTTAGTCGGAATGGAATATACTGGATTAAAAAAAATGTAAAATAAACTCTGCGTACGATTATTAAACGATTGGTTACAATTTTTTTTTTTAATCCGTTAGTGGTTTTGCTAATATTTATCACCACATCCTCGATGGTACAATTTACCGACGTGTAAACTATTACAAATAACGGTTGATGCTTTTGACGTCCTACACTAGTTTTCTCTTGAAATAATTACAATTTTTGTCGACAAATTGTTTCATTTCAATTTTAGGCAATATTCAAATTTTGTCTTTGTGCTAGTACTTATTATTGAACCTTATAATCAACTTTTAAAACTTAAATGGTAACCTATACATTTAATTAACTTTTTAAATGAAGAATAATTGGCTGAAAATTTTGATATAACTCGATACAACATGGCAATAAAAGAAAGAGCTTTATTCGACGGATTACTAGCCGTTGTATTGTACTTCCATCTTAAAAGCTACAATTTTAAATACCGTTTACTATCATCATACCCAAATAATGATCTATGTGTAGTTTGTGGCGTACGTATTACCGAGTTAGTTGGATTTAAGCTTGTATATATTAAGGCTTTGGATTAAAGGTTCTATTGTGTCTAATTCGTGCTGGTAATGTATAATATTATATATTTGACAAAAATAATTACTTTGTTATGAGGAGACACTAGTGTTTATCTTTTGGGCTTTGTCACGGCGGTCTTGTTTTAATTTTTGAAAGCGAATGCGAGCAAAAATCTCGACCAGCCTAATTGTAAAATTGTATTAATATAAATTTATATTATTAATTTATAAATTTTATATATTAATGAATCACCCTATTCTGGATTCTGATGACTATAAATGGACTTATTGATTCGTATTGGCCCCAAAATAATTTTAAATTTGTCCACCAATTTTTAATGTCACCACTCACCGCCATCTTAAATATGTATTATTAAATCGAGTGGAATATAAAGAAAATAATTTTAATTATTGATAAAACTTTTTTCACTCAAACCAAGTATAGTATGTTTATCATAGTTAAACAATGGGATGTGTACAATTCGTTTTTATTTTAAAAAAAAAACTGTAATTTATACACTTTACAATGTTTGTTGTAAAATATAAAAATAAACGTTGTCGTGATAAAATGTGGTTTTCTCTTGGTTTAGGAGTAAAACGTTTAAAAAAACATTTCCCAAATCGGTGGTAAGTAATATTGTTCTAAAATAAATTAATACAGAATTTAAATATAATACGGCGTTTTGCATAGGCAATTATGGTACGTTTGTGTATTCCGGAATTTTGCTAAAATACATAATTATTATTTTGGTATTTTGCAAAAGCCAAAGCTACCTACAAAACTAACCCCGTAAAGAATTTCTTTTAATTTTAATGGGATATTTTTTAGTCCGTCTTCAGGTAAGGTGTATGATGTAAATCGCGACCGCAGTGACGGTGTTGTTCATTACACGTTTTTTATTTCGATTATTAACCTAGTATTTTCGTTTGTTAAATTAAAATCGTTTCTCACTCTAATATTAAAATATACATTTTTTTTACCCGTATAGATAACCGTCGCGCAGATAAAGAAGTTTCGATTTTGTCAAACGGTTCTTATTATATTATGATTATTAACGCGGATAATAGGGTTTTGGAAATGGGCCTTCGCATAATGTGAATTCTTCGGCCATCAAAAAAAAAAAATCTATGTGAAACAATATCAGCTTTCTGAAAAGGAATAATGATTTTTTTTTGTTGCAATTAACAGAGTTATTAAAATTGAGTTTATAATAATAATTGTTTTTTTTCGTGTTGCCCAAAATTTGAGAATTTCACTGTTATTTTTTTTTTAAGAAAGCTGAGGAAATTTTACATAAAATGTGTATAATTCAAATTGGGATCTCCATAAGAACGCTTAGAAAAAATAAAAGTCTAAACAATTAATTTTGATGAAAAACATTTTAAACGTTATAAAATTACATATTTTGTTATCTATTATTTTTATTTAATAAGAAGTATATTTATTTTATTTGAATTGATTATGTATTTTTTTTTTTGTTGTTAAAAAATATGTTGTTTTATTGTTGGCTAAAAATAATTGCAATAATAACAATTTAACAGTATTAATTTATGCTACTATATAAAGCATTACAACTATTTATAGCGAGGTATATTATAGTAATCTTACAAAAATTTTAAAGTATTTCACGTTTTAGTAATATTATTATCTAACGATTTTTTTTTTGTGGGGAAATATCCATAATAAAAATCAATGCAAAAGTATTAATGTTTAAGTAATTTATATTTTACTGACAAAACAGACCTTTTATAAGACTAACGGAAACTGGAAACTTGGATTTTGAAGATACGGATTTTAACGATGGTAGATTTGATATGACGGAAAAGAAATATGCCGAAGACATAGTGGCCTCTGTCAAAATATCAGGCGCATATGAACCAGGTAACTTATGTATAAAAATATAATTTTTTTTTATTTCATTAATAGTAATCAAATATCGGAACATAAATATTACAATGCGTATATTACGCTTATTATGGAAAATCCAAAATAATAAGGGAAATCTTACTATGACCGTAATAAAGTTAAGTCATCAGGTGTCTAAAAAATGTTTAATATGAAAATTAATTTAATTAATAAACTTCAAACACGGCGGTGAAATAACATTGTTGCTATTGCACTAGATCTATCTCCACTTTAGTTTTCATACATTAGGTTCTTAAACTGTGCTAAAAAAAATGTAATGGTTAAAAAGGGGAATAGTATTTTCTGGGTTCAAGACTGTGTACATAGATATTTAGAACTGTTAAGATTATTTTTACAACATTATTGCACGCTGTATTCAAAATTTGTAAAATTGATAATCATAAAAAGTTGTGGTAATTCGGCCATTGACTAGTCTTTAATAATCATTCCTAGTCCTTTATAATACTGATTGAATTGTAGGTATGTTTTACACCACTAGTGTGAACAACTTAACATTACTCATAATATGTTATTCATTTTGACGGAACACTTAAATAAATAAGTTGCTAAAAAAAAGGTATAGTTTGGCCGTATTAAACTAGGCTCTAGAACCAAAAACCATATTAAAATAGGTCAGTTATAGCGTATACCCAGTTCTGTTAAAAATAACGCCACAGGTAAAACACAAACCCTGTCTTGGCTTTTTAAATTGTAGAAAATGTACCCACATGAAAAATAGTTTGTACTTTTACCAACAAGTTTTAAAGTTGGCGGATGATTCATCGCGAGATAGGTGTAATTAAGTGCACTTTCGATTTTTGTTATTGTTTTTCCTTTTTTTCTATTTGATATTCTGATAGAATTTTGGGTCAGTATTAACACTGGAAAATACTGTAATAAGAAAACATAATTTTATTTTACTAGAAAAAGGCCTTAGCAAGTGTTATTTTATAAGCCAAAGTACAACTGTGATTGAAAAAGTCTTACAAAGTAAAATATTGTGATAAATACTTTTAAGTGTTGTAATATTCTCAAAGTTAATATTGTTTTCTATATGACACTTTAATTTTTTAAGCATGTTAATATGATATTGAATAAAAATGTTACATTTCATACACAGAACAAGGGTTTTTTTATTTTATTAATTAAATATAAACTTTTAATTTGAAAAATGTTTTGACTATAACAAACGTCCAATTTTACAACTTTTGAAAAATTCCTCAGAGTAAATTAAAATTAAAATAATTAAATATTTTATACATTAAATCAACCAATTAAATGGCAAATTATAAAGTCGAAAATATACATAGAAATATAATTTTTTATGGCTCCTGTTTTTCAATAAGCGTCTCAAATTGATTACAATTGATTACCATAATTTGGTGGCGATTAATTTAAATAAAAATGTAGTGTTCGATTATAACTGGGCATATCGGTTTATATTAATTAATATTGGCATATTGGTAATTATTTTTGTGCAGTATCCGCAATTTTGGGCTATCAAAGAGTCAAGGCCAGATATATGATATAGTAGTATTCCACCACTGTACATCGCCCTGCCTATGGTCTGTGTATAATAACCTACTATACGTGTATATGGAACGTCCTAAAATAAGAATCGATAGGGCCGGCGACACAGAGACCAGCTGCTGCCGGTAGTCTGTCCGACACCGTTGCCACCGCATCATATCATCATCATCTTCATCGTCGTTTTAGTAATATAAATATAATATAGTGCAGTACTTGCGTCGGATTAATTTACCAGAAAAATTCCAACAGATTTACAGTAAGTACATTCGGTATATCCTTGTTTTCCCAATTGTAGACACCTGTAGGATTTTCGAAAAGGTTAGATTATTATGCTAATTTCATTCAAATGTGCAGTTCACACGCACCAAAGAAATACTAAACTTAAGATAACTATTCGGTCGTGACTCGATATGATATTTTCACATTTTTAAAAAACAAAATAATAAATACCTACAACATTATAAAATATATATATATATATATTATTTACGGCATACTTTATTAGAATAATTGTTTGTGTGTTTTTCAATAAGTTTAATAGTGTTTGGACTTGTCTATTATTACTTAACTACGGTTAGTTATTGTTTTGTTATTTAAATGAACGTTTAACGGAGTTTAAATAATAAGCACATATAACCCAAACGGCTAGTACAATTTACAAATGACCTTGAAATATGTGCTTTACTGACGTGCGTTTCATTGCTGCACCAACGCCCTATACACTTTTTAATAAGTACACATTTTTTTAAATAGTCCTACAAACTATTTATATAATTATAATAAGTGTATTATCAGATTGTATATACGTCAAAATATAACGCATGAAAAATAATACTATAATGACAAACCGTTCAACGGTATCGGTCAGAATTATTAATTTAAGTGTATTATAGGTAGTGAACGTTGTAGATAATTTTGTTATTTGGTATTTAAGCGTTTTTTTTTTCTGATAAATATAATTGGGTTAGTGGGTTTGGCCGGTGACATTTTGTGTATTGATTAAAAACAAAATTGTACTAATCAATATGTTGTATACAGTTATTATAATAATATAGCTACAAAGGACACCGGACACGCAAAAATATCAAAAATATAGTCCACACGAAGTGGTCAAACATATATCGTGAAGAACTTTGCTCACCCTCTTCAGTTATTGTAATATTTATTTTTAAAAAAATTGTTAGTTTTCAAAAAATGAAAGAATTAATTAATTCTTCGTTAATTCATGTAGGCGCGCCTTTAATGCGATGGGTGCAAGTAAAGTCTGGCTAACTCAATAGGCAAACTTTAGGATGCATTCATTTTTTAGACTAGTCAAGTGTTTTAATTTATCTGAAAAATTGTAGCCGTTTAAAAATGAATAAATCATTTTTTGCTTTCACAAAGAGAGACTAAAAATATACGGTTCAGCGGGGATTTTTTAACAATTAAATAGCTATTGATTTCAATTGAAAAGCGTTTAAATCAAACAATTATTATCAATTACATAATAAAATGGCGGTTTACGGGCCAATTGATTTAACCCTCAATAATGAAATTTTACAATAGGCTTTAAAATAAAGTTGGTTTTGTGGTACTATTGACTAGAAGTTTGATTTTTGTTATCAACATATAATTTATGTTTCTCCAAAGTGATGTAACTAGTTGGTTACACTACGTGGCTTATTATTTACCTATGTAGCTTATATGTGTGAGTCAAAATTGACTTTTTAAATAAAAAAAAATGGTTTACCAACTTCAAAATATATTTTCAATAAAATATATTATGAGCAAACCGTTATAAAAGTTTTAATAAAGACGTTGAAATGCGTTAAAACACAAAAATTGACTTCACTTACTAATACCGACTGGCGTCTTTCAAGGGCGCCAATATAATTCTGTGTTCAGGTAAAATAAAGAAAAATCTCAAGTCATAAACGTGTTACATGTATGATTCAGTATAGCATGTAAGTTGTAACCTTCAAAACGCTAAAGATACAATAATAACAACAGCGAATACTTAACGCTATTCTCAATGTAATATTTTATATTGATGAAGAAGTCTAAATTCATCTAAGGTCACTTATTATTTTTTCTTCGCAGACCGATTCGTCATTATTTTGTGGTAAATGAAATAATGTTAGATTAATAGGTAACAGTTCCGGATTATTGCTGGTACATGTACAACTGACTACAAAAATTCTAATTTATATTTTCTAATAACTCTCATGACATGTACACTTAAGACGGCAGCCCTTTGGTTCAACAATATCCCCTGGACCCATCGACCAAAGATAAAAATGCATGTATTATTTTTTTTTTCAATAAAAATCCTTATGAAATTTGCTGTACAATCCGCAAGTGCTATTTTATAAACATTATCGAGGATATTGTGGATTAAGTTAAAAATAAACGGCTGGATAGTAAGCACTATTTTATCAAAAAAAAAAAAAAAATGTAATATTCAGAACTCATAAACGGCTATTGTTTATAGTATGTCGTTGGTGATTTTTTCATTCAATTATAAGCTGTTATATGACAAGCATGATTGAAAGTCTAGTGTGAAACCGTACATCAAAACGACCTCGACCATATTATGTTATTATATATTCATCGTTTAACTGATGGATGTGCCGTGCACGGTTTGAATTTAAAAAAGCCATCATCATATTATACAATGTATCGGCTGTGATCAATTGAAATCAAACTTAGGGACATATTCCGTCGGTTTCCTGAGACGATAGCAAAAATATGTACCCATACTATTATATTGTACATGTTTTTTATGTGTCACGCGTGTATGCCAGCGCAGGACAGGGCCAATTATTATTAAAGTGTACATATAATAGTGAAATAACATCACGTTGGTTGGTTGGTTGGTGTTTTTTTTTTTGCCATGACTCACATTCAGTTTTTTACACACACTCACACCGGTGAAAGCAAACGGTATAAGCGGCCGCTCTAATACATTCATCCAGTCTGTGCCGGCCGGTCGTTACGATAAGTTCACGTTGGCTTTATATTGCTTTTATTTTTATTTTTCAGACCAAGTAAACCTCTAAACATCAAACAGACATGACGTACTACTCTACCAGGGTGAGAAACGGACATTTTGTTTGAACCTATCTAAAAAAAAAAAACATTTAATATACCTATATACTTATATATATTATGCCCCACAGTGCACGCCCACCGTACGACCGGCATCCGATTTCAACGCTAACGTCGACGCCGAAAACCTGAGGAAAGCAATGAAAGGATTTGGAACCGACGAACAAACCATCATCGATATCCTGGCCCGAAGATCTAACACCCAAAGACAGGAAATCAAGGACGCGTTCAAGACCCTCTACGGAAAGGTACGATACGGATCAAGTTGAAAACGGTGTAAAGATATAAAAAAAAATATATATGTAAATATACATACAATTTTTTTAAAGCAACATTTATCAACATTTAAAACAAAAAAATTGAATAATACTCTGAAAATTGTCGGATTTGGATAATTATTACTTATTGAAGATATTGAAGTTTAAAATTTAGGACGGGAGGTGAAGTGCGCAGATAAAAAGAACTCCACACTCCACCTTTCCCTCCCGTTCTAAATTATAAACTTTAAAAATTAAAAGTAATATTCCAATACTTGGCTATCGACAAGTGGGGGGAATGTTTAGCAAATTATTATTAATTAAAACAATTTATAAAATATCTACGTTACCATTTAAGTTTTAAAAGTTGATTGAAGGGCCCTGAAAAATACTAAAAAAAACATTGAGATTTAAATCCTGTCTAATATTGTAATATAATTTTTATTAGTATCAAAATCAAGACAAGAGCGATAGGGCAATGCGATTCGATTTTATTTCAATACAATATTATAGAATTGAATAGAACATAGTATTTAGGTATTGTTTTAAATTAAAACAAATTGTCTTGACTAAACATTGTTATAGTTGAACTCGTTTATTTCTAAGAGTATAATGTGTTCGTCGGGTAGGTTAGAGTTTATTGTTAATTATTTAATTGCCGAATGAGGTTAATTTTAGTACATTTTTATGACATTTAGTCATTTAATATTTTCTATAATAATATTATTATATTGCACACTTCTAGTTGAAAAAAAGCGAATTGATGTCTGCCATCGAACACCGCTTGCAGTCAATATAGAAACAGTTGGCTTGCTACTATGTCAGATTTAATAAACCCATATTGTACTTTTGACTAAAGCAATCTCTATGCAAACGGCATAGTTATCGATTATAAGGGGATTATGTCAATAGTTACTAGATATGCCTGTACAGTGTACACACTTTATGTACCGTTATCGTTTTTTTTATGTTTATTTATTTGTAAGTATTATTATAATAATCATTTAAATATGTCTTCTATAAATTATTCAAAGGAATAGGTACATTATAATCATTATTATTTATTACATTATATTTTAAGTGTGCAACACTACAAAATAAGCTGTGCTAATAAAAAATGCTATTACAGCACAATGCTTAGAGTTTATTAAAAGGGAGACACGTGCGAAAGCTACACTAAATTGATAAAGTGGTTTTTTAACCTGTTGCTATATTAATTTACTGTAAAAGTAGTGTTGATATTTTACCATTATGAGTATTTATGATGACAAATTACTTTTACGTGCTCGCATAAACATATCACTCTGATCTCGATGGGTTTCTGATTGGAATATTAATTATATTTAATAACAAACAATACCGAATAGTACACACTACACATAAATCTGCGAATATGACAATCAAAAAAAAGGTGATTTAACTGACCAAGAAAAACTCATAAAGATAAAATAAACAACAATGTCAGTGTTAAATTCTCAATTAAAAAATGAGGCGGTGACATCATCGCGAGGGTTTGGAACCGAATAATATATATTTTGTATGGCAATCTCTTCAATATTATTACTATATTATGACTGCGAGAAATAGGTCAAGGCGAAAAATATGCTTCTTCTTAAAACATTATTATTGTTGGATTTCGATTGCCGCCAGGACTTGATTGACAATTTGAAGAGCGAACTCGGTGGGAATTTCGAAAACGCCATTGTGGCTCTGATGACTCCACTTCCGGAATTCTACGCCAAAGAACTTCACGACTCCATTACGGGTTTGGGCACTGACGAAGAAGCTATTGCGGAAATCCTGGGCACGCTCAGCAATTACGGTGTGAGAACCATATCGGCCGTGTACGAAAAATGTAAATATTAAGTTTAATTATCAGACAATGTTTTTTGATAATTATGACTATATTATTCTGACTACGAATTGCCATATTATGTTGATTACAGTGTACGGTAGACCGTTGGAGGACGACTTAAAGGGCGACACTTCGGGATCTTTCCAGAGATTGCTGGTGTCTTTGTGTTGCGTAAGTGTTTCAACACCATAGAGTAAACATATATATATATTTAGAGCTATAACATAATAATAATATACATAAAAATTATAATGTATAATGTCTCGTGATCAGCAACGAAGTAATCAAGAAGGCGAGCGACAGTATGACAACTTTAAACAAAAATAAATATTTCCATATCATCCTTATCAATTTTATATGGATCAATGGATGAATTAAAATTTCATACGACATTGATAATCATAATCAGAGATCCGGCGGGGGGAGTGGAAGATTGGGATACTAACAAATTTAAAATTAGTGCTTTTCAAAATACCTACATTTATTTTTTAGTGAGAGATTTGTAGTGCTAACTTTAGGTTTTAAGGTCCCTCCCCCTTTATGTTCTCCAACGATGATGATAATGTGATAGTATGATAACTGATAAAACGTGTATTAAATGGTTGCAGTAGTGTAACAATGTGCCATTAAGAGAAATGTAATTTGGTTATTCTGGTCACACTGCAGCTCGCCTTTTCGCTTACTTCATAATATTTCTCTTAATTCTACCCTTGACGATTTCGTTAAGCAATATCAAGGCATTTTACACCCGAATTATCTATAAAAATTGTGTCATGATCTACAAGAAGATCAATTAAAAATCCTGGTGCGGTCGCCCCGTCGATCTCCGCACTCTCTTGGCCTGAAAGCGTTTAGAAATAAATTAAAACATATTACTTTCTTTTTATAATAATAAACTATAATGTGATAGATGTAACGCAATAATATTATTCTTGAGCGCCTTATACACAATAGTGCATCGTATAATATAATCCGTGTTATTTCCATTTCCCCCTACAGTGTGTTTGTAGTAACTATTACAATATTATACTTGCACTTAGGTTCTATACTAATTTATAAGTTGTTAGTTGTGAAATTTGCATGACCACATTAAAATCCTACGATTTTTATTTTCCGTGAGTAAACAAATTGCATTGTGTATGTGATCTATGTGATATTACATAATTACCTCGTTCGTTCGATGAAAACGAATACTCTATAAGATATCAGATACTTATTATGAAACATTATTATCATTTTTTTATGGTGATATATTATGTCCAATCACAACTGGATGAAGTACCAATTTTATTTCAAAACGCGCACATTGACTTGGTAGATACTATATAAAATGTATCTGCGTCCTACGATATCGGTATTTTGTTAGCGTTTAAACATAATACCAATATTAAGTTATTTGTAGACACTCTAAGTGTATATTATATTCACATAATATTTCATTCTATTGGATTTAGGCAAACCGCGAGGAAGACGTTGAAGTCGATCGTAGCGCCGCCGTCGCCGACGCCGAGTCTTTGATCGCAGCAGGTATATTTTTAAATAAAAAACATGATAAATGTTTACTGTTTACCTCACTCGGTATGTTGACACTTAGGCGAATCTCAATGGGGCACCGACGAATCTGCTTTCAACGCCATTTTGGTTAGCCGGTCCTATCCTCAGCTAAGGGCCATCTTCGAAGAATACGAGAATTTGACCGGCAAGGACATTGTGGAAACCATCAAAGGCGAGACGTCCGGCGCTTTGGAACACGGTTTCTTGACAATCGGTAAGAAAACCCAAAGCAATATCCACGCAAAAAACACATTGAATCATGGATATGTTTTTGGTCAGTACCCTGGTGTACCCAAATTGTCATAAATTGACAGAACCCATCAGTTATCGCAGAGCCTGGTAAAACATATCCATGTTTTTTAAAAACACACGAGTTTCCACATATTATTGTGTCAATACTAACTTGCGGGAAACCGAATTTAAAAAAAAAAAATAGTGAAAAGCGCCAAGAAAAAGAGCGACTACTATGCGGAACGCTTGGAAAGTTCCATGGCCGGTATGGGAACCAACGATGGTCAGCTGATTAGAATCATCGTGGGAAGATCCGAAATTGATTTGGGAGATATCAAACAGGCCTACGAGAAAATTTATGGCACCCCGTTGGCCGACAGAATTGCTGTAAGTTGATAGGTACATAATGATGTATTTGGTGCTTGGTAAATGATAAGTAATCGTTAACAATGTACGTTATTTTATTTATTTCGCTGTCTCGAACAATCTGGTGAATGTCGTCAAAAGTCAAGTCACATAACCTCATCAAGTATACAATAGTTTTAAACGTGCCTGAGGACGTTACACCCACCATTGTCTAGCGTAAAACCCTGACTGCGCAGAATGAGTTTTATTCGAAGGTCTTAGAGTAAAAATAAACAGAGCTGTAACATCATAATAGTAATCAAAAAGTCGATCGACATTGTGACCACTTTAAATAAATATAAACACTTTCTTTTAAAAGTTGTTAAACACAATACAGTATAATCCTTATCAACAGCTGTACACGTTAAATAGATAAATTCGAATTTTACATGATAATGTGATAATATTTATAACTGATAAGTCATACCTATGTTTAGTACCACATGATTGCTTTTGTCGTTGTGGTCACACTGCAGCTCGCCTTTCTGCTTACTTCGTAATTATATTTTACTTATTGCGACCTAACCTTGTCTTGGAGCAAAAACACCTTTGGTAAAAAATGAAAGAATCAACGTTTTTTAAATTACAGTTTAAAAAATTCTATTATTATTTTCATATTGTTAGACGACATTTACCAAATTGACGACTATCGATTTACCACCATCGACAAACTCCAGTGTTCAGATACCTTATATAATAAAATAACCTTACGGGTAAATTCAATAAAGCCATTCCTTAAATGTAATTTTGTTTTAGGGAGATACCTCTGGGGATTACAAGCGCCTGATATTAGCACTTGTAGGCCAATAATGCTTTGCAATATGCATGCGAGGTTGGTTGTTCTTATTTTACCTGTACCGCCATATTTGCCACTTCATGTAAATAACCTTTTATTTTATTTTATCATATATTCATTTTATTTTTAAGTTATTAAATATTGTAAACTCGCAATAGTTTATATTAATATATCGGTGAGTGAACATACATTTCATTTAAATTTGAATGCATGATTATTTTGTACTTACAAAACTAAGGTCTAAGATCAAGACTATATTGATGTAATACAGAACAAACTTAAAATTCAATCTGCTATTTTGTGATCAAATAAAAATAATATTTCAATTATAATACCTCGTTTTAATATTATATTACATAACTATAATATTATGCTACATAGTATATAATGAAAACAAGACCTCCATTATATATTATACAAATATCAGCTCGTTCCTTTTTAAATCTTAAATATGCTAAATAAAATTTGCATTCTGGTAGGTATTATAATAAAATTAAATACATTAAATAAGCGCCTAAATAATTATTTTACTATTTTATTTAATATAAAAATTAGTTATTTTAGTTTTTAAAACTAATTTTTCATAGACACGTTTTATTTATGTATGTTATATTAAAATGTAGCAAAGATGATTGTATAAATTGATGATAAGTAACTTCTATAAGTTTAACCTATCCTTAATATTTCAATAAATACCAACGCAAGACTACATCTAGTGGTTAACAATGAGAATTGTACTTATTTCTTATTGCCAACTAATTCTCATAACTAACCTTGGGGTCAAACAAATTCAAATTGGGTGTAATTATTATTATTATTTTTTTGTTCCCAGAGCGAATGTAGTTCGGACTTCAAAAAAGTACTCATCACACTCGTGACACAATAAATCGTTCATTTTTTAATTTACATAATATTTTGTTTATAATTATATTATAAACTGCACTATTAGTTGTTTGGTTGTTTTTAATATGTAATATTTTACATCTACACGTTTAATTAATATTACACATTGATACGGCTACATCAAAGTTTACTAGTTTATATTTTGATCAAGATATATTATTATAAAATTATATTATGTTTTGTTAATTTTTTTACATTTTTCACAAATGTTAAGTTTAAATATTTTTGCCAACATTTTTTTTTTTTTTTTCGTTTGTGGTTAATTAATAAAATATTTTAAACCAAACTAAAAACACGTGTTTAATTTTCAAGTCTATACCTACTTTTACTTTTTTACCTAAGTAGGTACCATATATTATATTATATTAATTGTTGACCCGTGAATACCGAGATGTTCAATTAATTAGTTGTCTTACACCTTAAAGATCTCCTCAAGCAAAAAAACTGCTTTTTTTATGTTTAATATGATTAATATATATATATATATTGTTGTTTCACTTTAATCTGCACTGCTACTTATATAGCATATAAGCCATCACCACATTTGCTTCACAAAGCAGCACTGCATTGATAATAGCTAAAATCTTGAAACTATAATGTTTGCAATTAATTGCATGCTGATATGCACATACTTAGTTCTTATTAACATTACTATACTATACTGTTAGTAGCAATATTTATGAATGCATTCTATTAAAATTTGAATATTTTTTTAAATTAAATATTAACTTATTTCATAGGATGATTTCTTAATTGTGAATTCTATTGCATATTATAATTTTTCTCACAGACTGTAAATCTTCCTGTACCTTTAATGTATATTTATTTTATTAACCATGACCTACTCAAGGTCGAGTGAGTACTTGGATGTATGTTTTTTTTTTAATAGATGACTCAGAAATCCGGTTTTATATTACTGCTAAACGAAATGAGCCATATTTTTTGTCACGTCTTTTATTTATCAACCTTGGTTTATGTATGGCATAATCACTATTTATTTTTAAGATGGTGCAACAGTAAACACATTGTAAGACATTGAATGTATTTTACACGATAATATATTCGGGTAAATTGCAACAATTTAAAACAACACAGCGTTCTATAATAGAAGGCTTAAAAATGAAAAAAAAAATAGATTTGGCCGTATAGGTACTTTGTTTGTTATAAAATCAGAAAAAAACTAAGTGAAAATTTAAGATTGGGAATTTATTTTATATATATATATATACTGGTTATTTTTGCAAACACAAGTAAGTGGATCCGACGTTAGTTATTACTTTTAAGAATATCTTATTTGCCATAGGTTTCAAACGGATAAAATTAATGATGAGTTGACTGTATCTATGTTATGTAGGCACTATATTATCTAGAAATAATACAATTGTTGATGTTATTTATCTTTATGTATAATTTGTTTTTCAGAGTGATTGCGATTCGGAGTGTAAATCTCTTTTAAAGACTGTTGTCGACCAATAATTCATTGTTTTGTAACACAATATTATACCTTTTTTTTTTGTACTGTTATTAATTTAACTTGCTAGTATAAAACATGTAGGTACACAACGTGTATAGTTCAAAGCAGGTATCCCTTGTTTTACAAAATATACTAAGATGTGTCTATTCAAGTTAATATTATGTAGCTATATCGATTATTATATCCTAATAATTTATTTATTACATTTTACATTTCACTCGGCCACTTGAACTATGACTATTGCTATTATTTAAGTGCCGTTTATGCATATTATGATTTTATACTACACTAAAACTCAATGTACAAGGATACTTATGGCATTTAAATAAATTACAATGTATACTACTTAATGGCTAAAGTAAATTTAACTTATAGTCTTATTTTTTTTAATTTTAATATTCCATGCGTTTTAAAAATATATATTACATTATTTATACCGTATATTTACAATAATATGTTATCCTAAATATTTTTTAAGACAACGCGTTTAAATATATTTCATTGTGAAGTCTTCTAAAAATCTAAATATTCCTTTTATTTCCTCGTCGTTTTTCGCTAAATATTAAATTGTTTATTTAGTATTGTCATAACCAATATGTTTGTTATTGACTTTTTAACATTACACCAATTGACCAATGTACCTATATTATTTTATTATGTAGGTAGTAGGTACTCACTATTTGAATATTGTAGCACGTTTTCCAATCATAAATTCATAATTTATCCAATATATAATTGTTCAACTCTATAACATTTTTTAATGGTGAAAGTAATACAATTAATAATAATCTACCGTATAAATAAAAATTGTGTTAATAGCTGATATACTAAACATATGTCAACACTGTGGTAAAGTAAAATACTAAACTGTTAAATAACGATTTGTAAAGTGATTCTCGCAATTAAAAATTGACTACAAATTCACTTACAGGATTAACAGATAAAGTCTTTTAAAATTTACAAATAATCTGATAAAAAAAAAAAAAAATTACTACTTTGATAGGCTTGTATCAATATTTTTTTCGAAATTTAGGTATTAGAATCGTTTTTGAAAATTGCACGACCTATAGATACACAAAATCTATAATACAAACCTAAAAAATAGTTTTAATGTAGTAATAGTTTAATTTATATAATTTTTTTTCTACGAGTACACGCCATTTTATTGGTATTTTAGATCTAAAAGACTGTCAAAATTAACCCGCATTACTTATACGATCTAATATAAAATATACCACTACAATCTACATACTACTATATACTACTACTACACTGCCTACATTTTTTGAGTTTTATATAATAATTTTGTATTCTAGAAAAAACTTAAGCAACAATTGTGGTTATATATTATAAAATAATTAAACATATAAATAAACCCTTAACCACAAAAATAATTCTCTATAGCGTAAACGTAATTTGGCAAAAAGCCGTTTGAGCTCGGTCTGTTTAATGCGCCGACGATGGTAATTTTGCTGCCAAAATACGTATACACTATAAAGAATCATTTCTGTGGTTAAAGGTTTATTTAAATGTTTATTTTATAACTTTGTATTGTTTATGGTGACCTGATAAAGTTTCTTTGGATGTGAGCCCAATTTTCAGGATAAACAACATTTTTTTGAATGATTTATAGTTTTATGATCATACATCCTACATTTTTTTAACTAGAATACGTTCGGTTTTCAAGTCGTCCAATATTATTGTAGAACCAGATATTTCTTTTTCAATTATTGGAATTTCTTTCTGTATAATTGCATACAACTCAACTGCCAATGTTATTACACAACGAAACTTCAGGTACATACTAACAATATCAATGTATGTGACCCAAAGGAAATCAACCTTCATTATACAGTGATGTCAATTTATAGAGAATGAATAAGAATAAATACAGAAAAGGTAAAAGAACTTGAGTTGCAATAAGTTATAAAAAAAAAAGATCTTGCAGGTCATGTAGTAAAATAAAATAATTATTAATCGTAAAACAATATAAAATAATAAATTATATTCTGTGACAATAACTTTTAAAAAATAATATATTTTATCATTTAGAAGATTTCATTACAAATTTGATTTCCAAATAGTTTTTTATTCATTTGATTTATAAGAATATAATATTTATATTTATATTTTGTACTAACATGGCAATCATAACCATCGGCCTACATTATATTATAATAAATATTGAACAGTATAAAATTACAAAATATATATATATTGTGCTAACAAGAAATTTAATGAAATCTGTGAATTCTTAATATCAATACAATATATATTTTATATATTATATTGTTTGAGTATTAAATTCACAACAGTTCAATATCGTTTGTGCAAATTGACATAAAGTATAAATATTTATAAATTTGTTTGTAAATTAACAAAAATTAAAAATTATAAGAAACTTAACATTTTAAATAAGAATTTATAAATATTTTTTATACCTAATTGTTCATATTTTTAAAATGCAATAATTTATTTAATCTGAAATATAATATATTTATAAATATATATAAATATATATTTTTTAATCCCATTTATATACAATTATAATATTAAAAAAAAAAAAAATTAGAACATTGCATTCACAAAAAAAAAAATGTATGATCACATAATTATCTGAGGATCGGGCACTGAAGTGCTAATTGATTTGTGTGGCAATACTTGACCACCGTTAATGTATAGTTCATCCTTTACTATGACGTCTTCACCAAGCACAGTCGTGTTTTCCATACGTACCCAACAACCCACAACTGATCTCCAGCCTATTATACACGAATCTAACCACGTATGAGATTTTACCGTAGCTCCAGCTAATATTGTACATCTCCTTAAGCAAGCGCCATCTTCGACGGTTACATTCGGACCAATAGTTACGTTTGGACCGATTTTACAACCCTCTCCTATGTGTGCTGTGGGGTCGACTAACACGTTGCCCACGACACCTTCGCCTGCGTACAAAAGCGATGGTTTCCGCGTTTTCAAAGACGTTAAATACAAACACATTCCTAAAAAATACAACAATTTTAATGTTGTTTCACGAGTAAGATTATTTTTTTATTAAAACACAAAGACATACTAACCAGTTAAAAAATCTTTAGGTTGTCCAACGTCCATCCAAAAGCCTTTTAAGTTAAAAGCATAAAGTTCACCGTCTTGAGCCATGAATGGAAACACTTCTTTTTCTATACTGGTTGGCTCTAACTTAATTCGGTTCAGAACGGAAGGGTTCAATATGTAAATACCTGCGTTGATTTTATTTGATACAAACTCTTGTGGTTTTTCTATAAAACTATCGATACGTCCTGTCTCTTCGTTGTAAATTACCACTCCATATTTCGATGGTTCTTCAACTTTAGTCACAACAATTGTACCTTCACGACCATGCGACTTGTGAAAAGAAATTAAGTCTTTGAACGGAAATTCACATATAATATCAGAATTAAGAACGAAAAAAGGTTGGTCTTGTTCGTTGACTAGCAGTTTTTTAGCCAAAGCCAGCGGTCCAGCAGTACCGAGTGGTTCAGATTCATGTGAAAATTCTAAATGGACTCCTAATTTTTTAGCTTCATCGCTCATCTCTTTTTCCATTTGTTCAGCACGGTACGACACAGCTAAGATTACCTAGAAACATTAATAGACAACCATTTTGAACATTTTGCAATAATTGATTTTACTAAAATTAAAATTTCAAAAATAAATTTGTTCCAGTTAAAGTAGTTTCATAAAAATAAAATAATTTTTTTATGATAATAATTGTTTTAATTGTTCAAATTTACACATAATTTTTGTATCATGCGGAACTGAAAAGGTATTGTTTTAGCAATAATGTTTTTTTTTGTAACGGATTCACGATATCTTCTAAGCCGCAGAACCGATTTCTTCATTTAGAAACTTTATAGATCAAAAATTGTACCTAAAAGGTTCTCAATAAAGCCAAAAACTAAAAAAGTTTACCCCTTCCCATTAAAAATAATAAATAACACAAACAATTATATTTATTTCTACTTTAATTAAAAGTTATCAAATTTGTTCCAATTTGTAAAGAATTTTCTCTATACTCTGGTAAATTTGTAGGTTGCTATGTATAAACGAATCAACAGCAAAATACTCTGTATTAAATTGTTATTTACGATGTACAGATAACAGCAACAAATCGACGTGTCATACAAAAAGTAGCACCGTTCATGACGTCTTACAAAGACTAGCACCGTTTGTGCTATTGGTGCCAACAGTACTAGTTTTCGCAAGAACATGAATGGTGCTACTTTTCGTACGACGCGTCGAAATAATCATAGACAATCAACCCTAATGGTAACCACCCTTATACTGAAATTAAATGTTAAATACATTATTGTAATATTACAATATTTTATCAATATTTGTTACTTCTACCATCTTGAGATTCACATCGAAGCGTTTATTTGAAAGTTATTCTATCACATTCAGTTATAATAATTCCTGTAAACCTGTAACCTTTCCCGAGCTCAATATGCTTCGTCCCCACTATGCCTCAAACTCACTGTACTGGTTTTTAAATTTATTATACAATTATGTTATGTATACAATTTTATACCTATGTATAGGCAATGTACGTATGTACATTTCAATTACTTTTTGAAAAACTCCATTACCAATACAGATTATTAACTACTATTCTACGCTGTTCAACAATAGTCGTTAAATAATATTACCTCTCGTACGCCGACCGTGACCAGGGCTTCGATTTGATGCAGTATCATTGGTTTGTTCGCAAACTCCACCAACGGCTTAGGGCGACTTAACGTTAACGGTCGTAAACGAGTACCGTATCCTCCGACCAATATCAAAGCCTTTGTCCCGGCCATTTTATTATCCACGCCACACATTTGAACTGATTTGTCAAACTTTACATTCCCGAAATAACATGCAACTAAAATGACAGATCAATCGTTTTACAATGCACCAGAATCATTTTATTATTATTATTATTACTGTTATCATTTACTTACTTATAAACGGATAAATACTTATTTGATTGGATCTTGTAAGTAGTTCATCTTTTGTAACGAGGATGGTACATTCGATTTATCATGAACATCAGGTGCCACGTAAGACTAATAGAGCACACTCAACACCTTTATTCAGCATTTCGAGTGTTACGAGCGTTTTATCAGCAGTGGGTCGTGTATGGCTCGACAAAAACAAAACACGACGTGTAACGGAATAAAAACTATAAACGGTGCCGCTTTGGGTCAGTCCGAGAATAATAATTAATCAAAAACAATATTGTAATCTATAACATTTTGATTTTGGTAATAATTAATACGATATCGTGTACTGTGTGGTGTTGTTAACATAAGGAAAAAATATAAACACTGTTATCTCATCGTAGCGCGGTAGTTATCAGTTATCAGTACTTGATGATAGCCGTGGTTGACAGTAGCTGATAGGTACTATGTAGCATGACAAAATCGGTCTATTTTGTCATGGCTCCTAGTTGTTGTTAATACGGAGCACGATTTAAGTTAAATATTATTTGATTTGATTATCTTGAGTCGTGGTTGTCGTATACGGTATTTCCCAATACGCACAATAAAACTCCTACGTCAAGTATCGGTTCACCCTAACCAGCGGACCCGCCGTTTAGGTTAATATAAAAATTAATATGTATAATATCTATGACCAGTATCTCTTAAAACCTTCGTGACTATATTACAGCCACCGGGCTAACCCACACTAGAACGATAATTAGCCAGAATCTCCTAATGTGATTGTTAGTCAATATTAGGGACTATTTCTAATAATAATTAAAGTTGGAATAGTGGCCATATCTGTAAATGATCGTTTATAGTTGTCCCAGAGGCTCAGTTTAGAAATGAACCGAAAAGACGTTTAATTAATAAGGTAAAGTCTTTTTTACCTTATTTAAGAGTTAAGTCTTTAAAAACGATTGTAATGTACACACAAATTACACAAGTCACAACGATGACAAGGAAGGATATACGCCTTGTGTATTAGTGTAGTTTCAACTTTAACATTACTAGGGTTAAATATCCATTGCAAACGACCGCAGCTATTCTAGTCCAATTTATTTTCCACGTATAATTTAATAACAATTTAGAACTCATTCTATTAAAGGTTTTAAATCGCCGTCTCTATTTTGTCTGATGTCGTCTACCTTACAGTTATTGCTACATTAAATATTGCCTACGAAAAACTCCTTTCAAGCCGCTAGTTTTAAGTCCCCTTTAAAAAGAAAAGAACGTTTTTTTTATTAAGTTAATTCTTTGGATCAAGTAGATTTTATTAACTATGGAAATTCCTAATAGGAATAACTAATTTTAAGTAAATTCGTGTTAAGCTATTTTTTTAAAATAATTATCCATTTATGGAAAACATTTAATTTTAGAATTGTATCTTTAAGTTTGCGAATAAAAGTAATTTTTTCTAAAGAATATTCCATATTCTTTGGACAAAGTACTATCGGTCATCAACGTTGACAAACTAAAAAAATATCATGAACACTTTCTTCTAGAAAAAAAATGAGAAATAAAGAAAACGTTTCTACATTTTTTCTTTATTTTTCGTTTTCAAGTTTTAGGCCTTTAGATCGGAAAATTAGACTGAAGGTAGATCTAATGTGAGGCTATAACGTACACAATTCACTCAAAAATCTGTAGTTAAACTTTTATTTTTTATTGGGAAAAGGAAAAAAATGGGTAAATTACACTTTGGCTGCATTACATTTCTGGGTTACTACGTGTGAGCGAATCAACAGTCAACGGGTTTGTAAAAAATATTTTCATTATATTGTTGTGTATGGATAGGTAACAAGTAACAACGGCTACAAATTGTTATAGATTTGCATTAGATTCATTAGATTATCATCAGATTTGTCACCATACTAGATCTTTTATTTTTAAAAGTTTTAAGGGACCTTCTATAGAAATTTAAGTACATTTAAATAACAGTTCTTACTGAAATTTTTTTTTTAAGAACTTTAAAAATAACAGTTAAAATATAACTCTTTGAAAAATTACACGTACAACTTAAATCTGTACATTTTCAGCAAATATATTATGTGAAAATGTTTAAATACTGCAACCAGCAAGCAATTAACTATTATTACAACCAATTATAATTGGCTTGATATTTTTGATACCTAATAGCTTTTTTTTAAGCTTATAAAAAAAAAATTACAGTCCTAAGAACCATGGTTACTTTCAGTGTGTCTATTAATAAGGATGCGTGTTCTACTAAAAACAGCTGATGTTAGCGGGCAAAGCTTTCAGATTTGTGTTAACCATAGAGTAACGAGAAAGATAACATACAATACCTAAGGGCTAGGATAGAGAATATTATATTTATCTCTATCTCGGTGCCGTAGAGATTGATATAAATCCATCTTGATTAAAATTACCTCAATGTGTGATCCACAGATTAGATTAAATCAGAGAAGACACTTAAGATAATTAAACATTTTGTGGAATCCGCAGACTCGCCGACCTCGTTTATCCTAAAATGATATCTATACAAAACTAATGTATAGAAATAACCAGTATAGGTAGCTATGAAAACAAGTGTTGTTAATTTTGTCAGCGTTCGTCGCGCCCTGTGTGAGAGCCTGGATTAAAATATTATATCCTCAAGATAATCGTCATTTAAACGTATTGCTTACACGGCTGAAAATAACACAGGCTTGGCAATTCGAGAAAAAAATGTATTTTCTTGTTTGATTGTCATGTCCCCCGTGTACCGACCCCTATGGGGTTTCACTTGGGGTGCGGCGACCGGAGAGCGATTTATGTTGTATTGAGCGTTGTTAGTTAAAAGTACACCGCTAGATAGCAGTGCCCCCCACCCGACCCGGCCCGTAAGAGTTTATTGGCTTTTTAATATTGGCATAACATGCCGTGTCGCTTTTACCCGTTTGCAAACTACAAAGCGCCCTTTACCGCGCAACCGCCACAATATTATGCTAACGGATCAATATTTTTACAGTGCCGGCAACTGCGTTATTAGTACAATAGCGCCGGTAAAGCACATAATATAGGTGTCACCGCCGTCTTGTTTTTGGATCAATAAATGGTTTTATTTTCGTATAATAATAATATACCTATACAAAATAATTCATTGTCGTTGTAGTCGAACAATAAACACAGACGGTACACGGTGCAGATTACGAATTGCTTTTGTCGTGTTCGGTGTTATTTTTAATATTTTAACAGTTTAACGGTAATACGTTCTGTTTTTAAACGTATGTTCAGTGACCCGATCGCTTAATTGACCACATAATACTTGAATGATTTATCGAAATTGTTTAAACGTTAATTCGTATGAATCTGCATAGCATTATCATTGCCGGTCACTAGTGTTATTGTATCCCTTTAGGGGTAAAATAATAATTAATTTTACCCTAACATTAACTTCGCGTGATTTAATCGAGTTCAGTAATAATAGAAGAGTCGTCGAACTTTGTGGATCTAAATGAATAACAGGTATTTAAATTTTATAATTTAATATTTAAGCTATTATCTGCCTACTTACATAATATTATGCTAATAACTATTTACTATTACCTAAATAATTATCTAACAATTCGTGTGTAGATTAGATATTTGACTATCGAAATACCATATTATGTGCATGCCAAGTTCGCCATGAATGAGAGTAGTATAAGGTTAGAACCTTGGACGATATTTACTTTATCCTCTGGGACATGTAGTCGTGAGGGCTATATAGTACAAGAGGCTCATAGATGCTTGAGTCTGTCACTAGACGTCCTCCAGCAGCAGGTGTTAATTTAAATTATTAAAAGTTCCCTTAGACATGCATTTGTTACCTTGACATTCGAGTAGCTAGTCGGAGCAAATATTTTGAATAATAAATAAAACACCAACAACAATTACTTAAGAACAAATGAATTATCTTATACTTATTCTACTTCTGTGTGGTTTAAGCTTAATAGAATCGTCATATTACGCATAACTATTTTCGAACAAGTGCATAGATTAACTGATTAAAGGAAAGTACGCAAAACGAATTACAATATGTAATAAATCTTAGCTCTATTTTGTCTAAAAACAATTTTATTTGTTACTGTTAAATTTAACTAAAAACCTGAAACACCATATGTTTGCCAAATTGGACCAAGTTTTTTGTATACCAATAAACGAAAGAATAAATAGGGCGTACCTAAGTGACAATTTATACATTTTACAGGGAAGCCAAAAAACATGTTTTAGTTATGATATTGAACCCGTTACAAGTAATTTATCAAATTCTAACCATCTTTGTAAATATTCATTTTTTTAGTAAAAATTGGTATTTAAAAATAAAAATGTTGCTTAGTTTTTCTGTAAAGTGTATTTTTGGCATTTACCATTTATTGTTATTCACTTGTGCAGTATATTGGTAGTTACACCATTACCTATGTTATCAAATAGTAGCAGAAGGTTAGGTTATTTTTTTTAGAGGAGGAGTTTTATGTGGATTTTAATTTTTGGGATCTTACTCCAGTTACTTAGTGCTTAAGGTTTAATTAAGCACCTATTAATTAATTTTTAAAATAGTGCATTCGCCATAAATATCAAAATTACCCGGAAAAATTAATACTTTACTAATCTTTAAATGAAGTTAAAACAAATTTTTTTTAACTTGATGTTTTTCAAAATCAAACAATCTTTAACACATTAAAGAAAACATATTTAACACATTTCTTTCAACTAGGTTATTTTTTCCTGAACTCAGTCAAAAAAAAAATTTGGATTTAACTTTTTTTTTTTTATACCAAATGCTGCCTAATTCCAGTAAACATTATAGCAATAATAAATGTATCGATAATACTGTACATCCAAAATATTGGAGGAAGAACCAATATATTTTTTCATGTTTTTTGGGTGAATCCAAATCAGGCCTAAACAATTTTCTTGTATGCCTAGTTCTTACTGTCTGGTTATTTTTTTAATCACATTAAAGTTGTAGATAACATTGAAAGTGATTTCAAAATCAAGTTAACGTGCTAGAGTAATATTCTGAAGCCAAATTAGAAGTAATTTTGTGTTTATTTAAAAAATAAAAGGTCAAGTTTTTGTTGAACACGGTAAATTTGGGTGATAACTATGATGTAGAATGGTGTCGCTATGCTCTTTTCGTTAAATCACTACACATGATATTCTATAAATGGAGCATTAATAACATACTTGTATTAGTTTCAATACAAGAGTTTATGCAATATTGGTATTACTTTTTGTTTGTCTGGACCAATGATAACTTTGTAATCCTGTACATATCATGTAACAAATTTTATCAAAATTTCTTATTTTTTTCATTTTAATATTGTTAATATAAAATGTAAACTATTTCTTATATATATATATACAGTTTTTATTGCAATTTGACGATAGTACTTTTTTTTTTTAACCATACCTAGTATTTAAATGTTTTACTTGCGGTTTTGAAGTCCCCTTCATTAGCGTACTGTGCTGTAGCGTGTAGTTCTCCAATTAAGATTGTCTAATCCTAACTAAAATTTTTTGTTTTTTTAACATTCAGATACAATTTTTGTTCTCAAGTAAATCAGATCCAGTTTTAAATCTTGCATAGAAAAATAGAAATTTTTGTTTTGTGATTTTTTGTAACTAGAGAATATCTGACAGTCCCACCAGGCGTATTCAGATGTGGTCTGTTTTGTACAAAAGAATAACGGGTAACTGTGTTAATGCCGCCATTGTGAGTGTTTGAATGTTAAATAATGTCCAGGTTTGCATGTAATAACAGTCCTTGAGCAGTATATAGATTTTCCAATTTTTAATTTAAAAGATCACCATTTAGTTATAATACTTTATTGTAAGATGTTAAAAAAATCACTACTTCTAATCCTTACAATATTGAAGTATAATATTGGTTTGTAAGTGGTTACAATATTCCTTTTAGTTATGTTTCTCGTATTAAATTTACATATATTTTTTCTAGGAACATAAAAGTAAATTATCATGACTGACAAACTACAATCTGCAGTTGATCGCTATTTGATTAACTATACAAGCATACTGAACAATTTTCCACTGGAAGGACAGAAGTATGTCAGTCGCTATTACGATATAGATTTGGGTCACCAACACATTTTAAATAAGCTAGCAGTTATATGCAATGAAGGTAGTCAGCAGCAGTTTGATGATGGAAATGTGAGACATTTGTTGATGAACTTATTGGAACTAGGTGATCGAAAAGTTGAGATTTCTGATCAACTACTGTGTAAAGTAAATGATTTAAAATTTGAATTAGACATGAATCTAAAAGATATTACAGAAATGTCACAAGAGAACTATTGTAAACCTCCTAAAAAGCTTAAAAGGATGTTGAAGTGGGTGCATAGTAGTAAAGAAATTGAAGATATACTAAATGAAGAATTTTCAAAAGAACATTTACAAAACAAAATAAGTAATCCGATTTCTGAAACTGTTATGAGTTTAAATCAAAACTTTCAAAATAACAAAACAACAATGATTTCACCTAACTTGACCCGAGAAACTGTTATAAAAGAGACTAAAGCTCATTATTTAAAGGTTCAAAGTGAAATGTCAACAAGTGCTACCGATAGTGACGCCGAAATACAACCTATATATTGTATATGTGAATATCCTTCTTATGGATTTATGGTTTGCTGTGATAATGATCTTTGTCCAATTCAGTGGTTTCATTTTGACTGTGTTTCTCTTATTAAAGAACCAAAAGGTAAATGGTATTGCCCAAAATGCAGAGGAGCTAATTCTAAAATAATGAAGCCTAGAAAAGTGTTTTTAAAAGAACTCGAAGAGTACAATAAACGTAAAGAAGATGATTGGTAAGTAAAATACTATAAAATGAATAAAGATTTAAGTTAAATCCATTTTTTTAAGTTTTTTTTTAAATGATGACTTTTAGAGTGCAATAATGTATATAGTAATAAACGTCCTGGTTGTATTTATTTAGATTATAAAAGTTATTTAGGTATTATTACAGTGTTTGTTTTAATATCACGCTTAGTACTTAAAAGCTTTTTTTTCATTAGTTTTTATTTTTCCTTATAGTTATACTGACTTGTTTTAGCTGTTGTTATTTAATAGTAAGTAATAATAATTGTTATTTATTTATATAATTTACTGCTAGAGATAATTTAAATAAAAAGTTTAAAACTAAATGTTCGATTAAATACTTAGAACTATTTAACAAATAATTTGTATTATATTTAAAATTGATCCATTTATAAATATATATTTTATTCTTGTTGTTAACCATCTAAATTTTGTACTCATTTTTCAGTATTATTGGAACTCTTGAAAAAAAAAAATTAAAGATTTATTCATAAAATTCCATTATCTTATTAAATAATAACGTAACTCTGAAATATGATAGCTGCTTTATGTGTTTTAGTACAGCGCTTAAGCAAATAAGATAATTAATAGTACCTACTACGCGTAAAGACTATTTTGCCACTATTTAAAAATATATATCATTTATTGATAAGAAATAGGATCTTTTTCCAAAAGTATACTAAAAACAATGTAATTATAATATTACACAATTTTGGTACATACATTTATTAACATTTTAACTTTAATTTAATTCTGTTTATATGATGTATTATATAATCAGCGTTTATGTAGTCTTGGTATAGTTTTTTTACTGATATTTAATTAATTATAATATGTTATACATACGTACATAATACAAAAGTATACATCACGTCTACCCTCGGACATTATCTTTTAACGGTGAGGTTAGGTTAGTAGAATAACTTCTACTATTCAAAAGACGTTTGTGATTAATCATATTTTTTCTTAAGAAAATATTAAAACAATTTTTAGATCGACGGAAATCAAAGTAATAGATGAAGTGGTAACATCTTAAAAAGTATGTTGTCAATTTAACGTTATAGTTTTTTACTAATTTTTTTAAAATAAATTGAAACTGTAAGCAGTTGGTTCATCTTAGTGAATCACCTTTTATACCTTAAAAAAAATTGAAATTCTATTATCCTATACAAGTATTTAATTATACCACACATGTATACAGTGCAATCATAGTGATATGCCAGTTGACTTGACCTAACTTAATCTGATTTTTTCAAATGCATGTATTGTGTAAAGTTTATAAACAATATTATGGTTTTAAAATTGAAATTTTGTAGTTATTTAAAGTATAGATACATTGGCGGAGATTAGGGGTAGCTTAGGATACTTAAAATCTTAAAACTTAATGAGCGCTTTTTAAAATACCTACATTTATTTTTTAGTGAGAGATTTTTTGAAATAAAAACTAATGTAGCACTAATTTTAAGTTTGAAGGTTTTTGAATACTAAGATTCCCCCCCCCCCCCCAAATCTATGTCAATGTATAGGTATGATATTGATGTCGATCAATTATTTTTCTAAGGATTAATGTAGCAATTTAGTTGATTTAAGTTTTTTTGCTAATGTGTAATTATTAGAGCATAAAAAAATTATCTTTAACAAGTAATTATTATCATTCATTCTTTTGAACACAGTAAATATTTTAGAAACGTACTTTTATCACAATTATAACATTGTAATTGTTAATTATAAAGAAAAATGAAGGTAATATCAGTGAAATGACAATGGCCAAACTATTCTTTCTATCCACGATACGTAATGCGATACTCTTGTATAAACACCTGGTGCGTTTGACTCTCCACACAGTTTTCCAAAAGATGTTACGCCAATTAGTGAATACATGCATTTGTATTTGGGATCAACAATTTGTAAAGGACCTCCAGAATCGCCCTAATCATAAACATTGAATTGATAATGAAAAACCAGATGCATTAAATGTCACAGTCCAAATTGTATTTTCAAGCTTACGTACCTGACACGTATCTTTACCATCTTCTCCGGCACATATTTGACTCTCTGGGCTTATTCCGAAATCCAGTTTTTTCCCCGAACTATCTGCATAACTTTGATTGCATTCTTGTTGGTCCACCAAGGGCATTGAAACTTTCATGAGCATGCTGCTCGTAGGGGCTGCTGCAAGTTACACTACAATTAAAATATATCGCTTAGTAATTGTTTTGACTTATAAAGCAATAAAAACATGTACAATAAAATATACAAAGCATAATTTATACATTAATACATAGTTATTCTTTAAAAAAACTTATTATTATGTCATTATCAACAAAAAAAAAAAAACTATAAGAAACTTACTTGAAACTCTTAAATGCATTTTAAATATTTGATTAAAGATAGGTACAAACCAGAATCAGTTCTTCCCCAACCAATCGCTGTGACTTGGTTTGCCGTTACGTCCATTCTAGTATTCAAACAAGCCGGCAAGATGTATGTATTGAAATTTACAGATGCGTTTAAAAGATATAGTCCAATGTCATTGTAAAGAGAAGATGGTTTGTAATCTGGATGTTCGATCCTCATGATAAATTCTCGAATTTGAGGATCTCCATCTCCATTGCTTGTTCCTAATTCATGGTCGCCCATTAAAGCCCATTTCACAGGGTCTCTAAAAACAAAACAGTTTCGTTGCATTAACACAAAAACTTATGTGAGTTACTTCAAACAATTATTTTTCCAGCTTTTACAGACAAAAACAACATTTATCGTCGCTCGAATGAACAATAATTGAATATATTTTTTTTAAATATAAATATGATGAAAAAAAATGCATTTTTTAAAATAATATTGCTTAAAAATGTATTTCCATTTTAGGTGTCGCCTACATGCACTTCCCACGGAAAATACAAACGTCCAATGGCAGACTTCCCTACTTAATCAATAAATATTCTTATTTACAGTATGTACACTAACATTGGCAAATTAATAATTCCAAAAAAATGTAATTAATCAACTATTTTTGCCAACTTTAAAACCATCTTTCTGACCTTTCGCCTTCGTGTCGACCTCTTCTTCAACTCGGCTTGGACAAAGAGTTCAACATGTCTTACTACAATCAACATCATCTACATAAATCCATCTTCACGAGCTGTACGTTGTCAATTGTTTTATCTAGTCTTTTATTTATTTATATATATTTATTTATGTCCTATACCCTCCCCTTTCGCTAAAAATGATTTTATAACTGTTGTTCCTAAATTTGGTTACCTTTTACAATATTTATTTAGACCTTTTATATGTTGTTTTAATTATTATTATTATTTTTTTTACATTTTGATTTAATACTTTCCTCCCTAAACAACAAACCCCTTATTAGTTTTCTTCGAAAATTTTAATACCTATCTAGTTAGATAACGGTATAATCGTTTATTTAAAAAAAGGAGTTGTTGCCTTTTCGTGAATTCTGCTCTTAAAATTGAAATAAATAATTGATATGTAATTGATACTATCAAACGTGAGCCAATTAATTTACTTATAATATTAGTCCTCTGCATATTTGTTTTGTTTTACTTCTAGTTAGCGTTAAATAGTAGATAAGTAAGTTGTAAAGTATCAAAAAATTATTAGGATGCTAAGTTAATTTTAAGTAATTTTGCTTTCCATATTGGACTCTTGCTCGTGATCAAGTTAAATTAAAACAAACAAATTCGTTTATTAAAATATATATTATTATTTTAAATCAGTTTTCTCTGGATCGAGTATTAATAATTGCTACATCATTTTTTTTTCTCATTTTGGTGGAGTGAAAACTTGTACACATTTTGTTGTGAATGTTTCTTGAATGAAATATTTTCTAAATACATTTGTATTGAAGTATAAAGTACTCAAACGTTTCGAGGTACCAATGCTTTTGAATTTGAATTTTATCTAGTCTAAACATTTTATTAAAGTTTAGTAGTTGTATGACTTTAACGTTACAAAATTACTATAGTCGTACTATATGCTATTGTTAAAATGTTAAAAAAATTGAAAAACATCACAATAGGGTTGCTATTTAAGTTGTATAAGACAAAATATTTTCCCAGTTGTTTCTTAACAACTGTTTCCTCGTATGCCATAATCTTAATCGTCAAACAAACAATTTCACTCCACCATACTTATTCCAACATCTAGTCACGGTACATAATAATTACCAATATTAAAATAATGTGTTGCACAAACAGTATTGTACATTTTTATTATGTATATAGTATAATGTTCCATCTTTAAAAATGTTTGGATATGCTGCAGATTATCAGTATTGTGTATTAGTCATACGTAATTGATTCAGCCGTTATGAATGCATTGTAAACTTAAAAACGACTTATTTACTACAAAAAAAAAAAAATTTGTCTGCAAATTCTAAGACAACGGTTCAATGTCTACGTTTCCAATATGTATTATGTAATTTATTTATGGATGTTGTCCGATAAAGCGGTCTATAGTTATTGTTGTGTACACAGATTTCTTTAAGGCTTTTCAGCAATATAAGAACTCTGTAGTTCTTCTCAGGTCCGAGTTAAAATAGGATTGGATGGATCCAATGTCAGATGTATATGAGAGCCAATCTAGACAATTAGAGAAACTGCATTACCCGCATCTGTCAAGTCGTAGACTGTTACCACACAAATCACTAGGAGGCAGTGTTGTTTCTTGAGAGCTTAGATTTTCGTGGGATCATTAAGTGAGTAAGTTTGGCTACCCACTTCGTTCTGTTAATTCATAGAAGACGATGGTTTAAGCTGTCGAGTATATATATATCCCTTGTGTGGAATTTAAACCGTATGCCTTTTTGGAAGTTCATCGCCACACCCATAATCGAATATGACTTCTACTCTGGCTTAGAACTTTCACACGTTTGTCATTGAACGGCTTTAAAAATTGAAAAAATTGGGTATATTTTCTACTGATGAGTGTTTAATATGTAAAAGTAATTTCATTTTAAACCATACTTGGAAGTACACACACAACAAACGTTGCTGTATATTTTGTTGTAATCGATATTCAAATAATCGTATTAACATAATTTTACTTAGCTACAATGCTTTTATTAAAATTATAAAACCAAGTATTCCAATTTTGATAAGTGCACTACACTTGAGATGTTTTTTTTTTTAATTCGCCTACTACTTTTTAACTTATTTTATTATGTATTAACTAATCTGATTTTTTACTTTGTTAGTGTCTAGACGTGTTCGGCGATCGTTGGTTTTTTTATTCCTTTTTATATTAGATTCAAATGATTCAATATGTCTTTAAATATTTCTTCTAGTTTGTATTACCTACAAAACATTCCTACTTTTCTCAAAGGTAGGTTATTTATTTTTGACCTACTTGTTATTGATACTATTAATTTACTTCTTAATCATTCGACCACTGAGGAACCGTTATTTAAGTACTACTTAACTCTAACTTTAATTACTTGACTTAATTTCAACCAATGTTTAATACTAGATGTGTCAACAAAAAAATTGTATGATTTTTGTTAATATACTCAAATAGCATAAGAATGATTAACATGTTATAACTTTAATGCTACATCGCTTCAATATTTCATGTTTGAGAATCAAATATATTCTCAGTATGTAATACTTTAATAAATAAATATATTAAAGGCTTGTACATTTTTTTTTAAATATTGTAGTGTTTACATTTTATAACAATAGTTACAATGATGAAAACTATTATCGTGTAATGTATTGTACATTATTATATAAGTGTTTTGTGGTTTTAATATGTTCTTGTTATTAAAATTATTTAATGTTTTTCAATTTGAAAGCAAACTAAATACGTCAATATAATATAAATAAGGCTTGTTCTTATTTTGTAGTATTATTCTTAGAATTTGATGCATTTAATTTTATCATTATATATTATGCTATAGAAAGGTAAACAAAATGTACTCAAAAGAGGTATAGAAAAAACAGATAACTATTTAACCTTTTTTTACAATTTGTCTTGAGACGTGTATTCTTTAAATGAAATATTATAATAGATGTGAACATACTACAAGTAATTAAAAATATACATTATACTTAAGTCGAGTACTTGTTATTTTATTTAACTGTTTTGCTTTACTTTTCATGTGTTGAGGGATTAAATGCAACCAAAAAAAAATTTGGTGGTTAGAAAAGTATACTGTGTAGTTATGCGGATTTAACGTCAATAAAGAAATTTTACAGATGGATTGAAGATCTTTAGGCTTTAATTCATGAAGGACTTGCTGTATTGTAATCTATATTCCTAACTTGTCTGGTATGTATTATTATATTCATTGAATACCTACTACCACAAACGAGACTAACAAATTATTGCAATATTCTTTTATTGTAACTTAAAAAAACACCTGGTGTTATGTGGAGACATTAAAAAATTACCAATCAAGGTTAATACTATAATTTATTATTAAATTAATTATAATACTTGTTTTTAAACTAAGCAATTTAAGTAGAGTTATTTTAATGGAATCGTTTAATCGCTCTTACTTATAAACAACGATTTCCCCCTTCAAGCTCGTTTACACTTAACAATTTAACATGACTTATAGTAATAACAAATTATACATAATAAGTATGTACTTACATAGCTCCTCTTTTCGAACAATGAGCAGCCGAGAGAACATAACGATCACTGATTAAAGATCCGCCACATGACCACTCGACTGAACTAAACTGTTCGCCAAATCCCAAAAGAACCTTAACACATTAAACATGGATAAAATTGTATTTTAATTTTGTAATTACGATAAATAAGACATGACCTCGACTCGTAAAATTACTTTACTTGGGCGTTATTTAACGTTAATGCATAATATGTAGGTATACAGTAGGTAGTCAGTATACATACCATCAATTTGTCTGTGTTAGTAAATGTTAGTCGTCTTACAGTGCTCAAAGACACTCCATATTGTAAATTATCATTTATAATATATATACATCTATTTTGATGTTTCTTTTTTGTACTATTACTAAATGGGCATAATTTATTTAGTTTTTCTTTATTATTTGTTTAATGCTTAAAAGTTAGAAGTGCGTAGAAGTGTTTTTTTTCCTCTTTATTTTTTCTTTCATTTATTTCGCTGATACTCGATAAATTATTATTAGTATTACGTACCGCTATGGAACACACTATCCATTATGTATATTTTATATTATTTAACTATTAGTGTTATTACAATCATCCTATGACCCATATACAGGGTGCGCCATAAATAAATATCGCACTCTATAGAATGGCCCTAAGAATAGATTTTTTTTATGTCAAAACCTTGAGGGTTTTTCGGGTTTATACTGCGAAAAATTCTCTTAAAAAGGGTGTCATTTTATTTTTCGCAAAAATGATCATTGTCACCGGTTTTATGTATTAGTTTTATGGTTATTTTCCAGGTATTAGTTGTTTTAATGATCTCATGAGACTAATTTAGTAAAGACTGTTTTTTATGGGAAAATTCTCACAAAAACTAAACAAATCGAGTGACCCCCCCCCCCTTTTTTTTTTGCAAGATAATTTGTCGAAAAATCCCATGCAATGGTTTATATTTGGTGTGGTGGATATTTTCCAAATAATCCCAGGAAAACGGTGATTTTTTCAACAACATATGCCAGATAGAATTTACAGGTAGGTACATATTATTTATTTACCATGTGAGGAAATTCGGCCGCCTTTGCAGCTGTGCCGCCCACAATGGTGAGACCGTTGTCGGCCGATTTGGCTTGGCAGTGTTCAACGTGGATTTCACCGCCTCCCTCGACCGTCTTGGAAAAATATTCTTTACACACTGCCAATGGGAACACGGTTATTATTATTTTTCATTTGTTTTCCCAAGAAACGCCATTTTATAAATAGGTAGCTTACTTTGATCGGCAACACTACCGTTGGGGGGCCGTCCGTCCGAAATCGGACAGCAGACAATAGGAGTCCGCCTTAAGAACCGGCAAATCTTCGGATAAACGCGATGATCTTCGACGGTTTGTCGGAGGACTGTCTGACATTGATCGATCGGTTCGCACGTAAAGGTTTCGTTGGATTTAGTCATCGCTCGGCACATTTCGTCTAAGGCGTTGTTTAATGGTATATACTTACTAATTGTGTACACGCGGTAAACTTCTTAGACTTTCTTACTTTGTTTTCGGTCGATCGATTGCCGGCATTGAACCAAACCGACGACGGTAAAAGCCAAAAACAAATAGATTTTGTATCGTAACATGACTGTCGCCCCTCGAACGATATTGGTTCACTTTAATAGTGTGTGATATGAACGCGACTGGCTATAACGTTCTTGATCGATTTCAGTTATTATTGGAACTATATCTCAGGACGAAACTGGCCGGAGATGGTAAAACGTTCGTGTCGATCATCAATCATTATTTACAATTAACGATGATTTATAGTAGTGCCGCTTCGAATGTTGTATAATAATAATATGTGCTTGCACATACAAGAAGGCCTTGCTGTATGTATTTTACTGGTAATAGTATCGCGTGGAAAATCATTTAACGCAAAGTCTTGTAAATTTATGAAAAAATTCTCCATATGAAGTTTTACAATAAACCCGTTTAGATAGTTTACCTATATCGATTATCGAGGGTAGTGCACTTTAATCTGAATTTATATAACCGCAAAGGTTACCAAGTCCAGTTGATAATAATCTATAGATTCTACTTTAAAATATTTATAATTTATACTGTACACCGTGTTAACTTCTCTAACGCGATCTTGGAATCAAAGTTGAGTAATAATACCACAAAGGTCAAACGGTACACACCTACCTGTCGTTTGTATAAGTCTGGCGTGTGCACATTCCTTGCTACCACTCCCACGTGATTGATTGCAGTAACTACAGTAGTAGATATAATTATACTACTACAATAATAGTAAAAAAAATAAAAAATAAGGATATCCGCATGTGTCTGTTGCGAAAATATTGTCTTAGAAGGGGAAAATATTTATTTTTGTAAAAAATTATTAGTTTCTCAAGAGCAAAATTGTAACCATAGGCGAAATTAGGAGGCATTATTAGCACCCTCTTATATTTTTCGTGACCTTTACTAATAAAAATGTACAAAAACAGAGTTATAAACTTCAGGTGGTATGGCCGCTTCCCATTAGATCTTGCGAACGTTCGTTTTCTGCTTTAAGAAAAATAAAGACTTGGCTTAGGGTTTCAATGGGGCAGGACAGACTTGCAAATTTGTCAATATTATATACATAGAAAAATGTAAGACGAATTTAATTAAAATAAACAAAGCGTATAAAATACCTGTATAATTATAATATTGTATTATTTTTTGTTTTAAAAGTAAATTGTTGTCCAATATCCTTGTTGAATAAAACATCAACCTCATTAATTCAAATTTAAATACCTGAAAAATGCAGAGCTTAAGCACTCGATTAATAACAACTTTAAAATTCGTTTATGTTTAAATTAATTCTGTTTTGTTTTCAAATTATTACTAAAGATCAACACCTATACCTAACAATAGACTAACTCGACTAAAATTAGTTTGATTGTCTTTACTTGAAATTCAATCAATAATTTAGCTGGACCTTGGATACTTAATAATAATTAATTAGGTATAGCAAAGCCTACTATTTAATACGATTATCAGTTAATGGATAACAATAATTCTAAAATTACTTTTTTTTTTTACATAGGTTATAACTATACTATTGTAATGTGATATTACAAAATATTACTTTGTGCACGTTTTTGCTTGGTGCTAATTTTACAACACGTCTACCATGATGAGTGTTTTGTTGAAAACAAAAAAATACCAAAACGTAGGTAGACATTTTAAATTAATTGTATTTAATAATAATAAAGTTAACATGTAAAAAGTGAGCATAATTTTAAGGTACATAAATATTTTTACAACATTTCAATGTGGCTTGCTTGCATTTACTGTTTTAATAATTACACTTATTAACTGTTATTCATCCTTCCTGCAATCCATTCAACAAAGTGTGTCACTCTAGTGTACACGCCGGGGTAACCAGGTTCTGCGCACTTGAATCCAAACGATACGACACCGACCAAATAATACTGCTTGCCGCTGGGCCACATTAAAGGACCTCCAGAATCTCCCTGTAAAAATTCAATTTGTTTCCATAGGCATTTTTTACAAGAGCAGATATGGGTTTAAAAAAAATACCTATTTCGCAAACATACCAATAAAGGACTCAAAAAATAGCACCGTTTTGGACGTTCAAATAAACGACTTGAATTACTTTAACTACAATTATATAATTTAAAAAAAAACGCTAACAGGCAACGGCCCTCTATTCTTATGTCCAGTTTTGCTGTGCTAAATCCGCTACTGTACAAGAGGGTTAAGAAAAGGTAGGAATCTTGTCAAAAATTGTCTTTTCAAAAATTCCACCCTGATGTCATTTTACTTCTAAGCACGTGGCAGATATAAATGTTCATATTATGTCAACATTGGTTTACCTGACAAGCGTCTTTCCCCCCTGTTAAATATCCGGCACACAGTACTCTTTCGTCGATGACAGTTCTCTTGTTTGCAAACGATCGCTTGCATTCAGAGTTGTCGACGACAGGCACTTGGACTTCCATCAATGCCGTACTCGAAGGTCCTCCTGCAAAAAAAACCCAACAACGTTGAGAATTTCATAGATGTTTAAACCATGTAAAGTGGCCGTTGATGAACTCACGGAACGACGTGGATCCCCAACCGGCAACAAACGGTAACGACTTCACCAGCAAGTTGGTTCTCAGGTCCGACATGATTGGCAAACAAATTGGCTGAATGTGTTCTGAATGTACAAAATTATTTCAAAAGGTCAACGAATGTTTTCGGGGAGAAAATATACATAATGTAGTGGGCAATTCTTACGGTTGAATCTGACTACGGTTTCCAGTTTTAACAATGCAATATCGTTGGTGTAGTCTTGTGCGTTGTACGACTCGTGCGTCATGACTCTCTCAATGGGCACATCCACCGGGGCCGCTCCATCTCTGACTTTAGAATCCAAGTCCAGGTCTCCTAAATGCGCTATGGCTCTGAAATACAACTAATCGGTTTTAGGTCTATATTGCACCGCGACATGGAAATAACAGCTGATGTTTAACAACACTATTATTGACTTACAGTTTTCTCTGGCCAATGCCGACCGTGCAGTGAGCAGCAGTCACGACGTATCTGTCGGATATCAAAGCTCCGCCGCAAAGCCATTGAGGAGTTTTCGTATTCTGTCTGTTGTTGAGATCTTGGTATCCCAAAGCTACCATCCAAGGCCAATCGTCTAAATGTGGGCATATGTTAGGTTAGTAGAGATTTTAAAACTACGAGCTAATCACTAATCATTTCGTATAGCCATATTGATTTTGAAGTATACAGACAAGCGGTGATGCTTTATCTAATTAAGAAAAAAAGAGATATGCTAGAAGTTGCTGATATAATTGTGACATTGAAAAGTAAAAGGCTGGGTTGGGCAGATCACGCGCGGAGCGCACGGAGTAGAATAATCGAAGAAGTCACAAAATGGACCCCTTAGGGTAAAGACCACTTGACCATCCAAAGATGGGCGAACAGAGTCAAGAAAGATATGGACATCGGAGAAGAGCAACCGATAGGGGTACTCGTTGATGAAGGGAAGTTGTGGTTGTCACCCTATCTTTTTTTCGGTCTTCTTCTCTTTCCCTCTACGTTGATCTTCATGACAACTGTCACTGTGTCTGCCTCATCTCTCCACATAACATGACCGAACCATCTCAACCTATTCTCTCTCATTTTCCCGGCAATTGATGCAACTCCCCTTATGTATTAATTTCTTACTTTATCCTCCATCTTAGCATTATCGTCTCCGCTACACTCTCGCCGTGCTTATCTGTACCTATATTTTAAATTAATCAATGGTCTAACCTAAGTCGGCAGGCGCTCCTCCGACGATCCTGTTTTGGGTGGCGTTACTTCGTCCGCATGTGCTCTGCGATGGTAACTTGGAAGACGTCACCGTTTCATAACTCGACGAACTCGTCGGTCTGGAAGTAGTTGTAGGCCTACCGTTGTTGTTGTTAAGATTCGAACCACCGTTGTTATTGTTATTATTGTGGTTTGAACCGCCGTTGTTACCCTGACCAAATCCACTGTTGGTACCTCCGTTGTTGTTGTTGTTGTTATTATTGTGGTTTAAACCACCGTTGTTGTTCTGACCAAATCCACTGTTGGTACCTCCGTTGTTGTTGTTGTTGTTGTTATTATTGTGGTTTAAACCACCGTTGTTGTTCTGACCAAATCCACTGTTGGTGCTGCCGGCGTTGCTGTTTTGTTCGTTGTTCCAGTTATTATTGTTCTCGTTATTTCCTCCATTGTTGCCATTTGATACTTCACTTTCTAACGGACAGCAAACTTTAGGATCCCTACCTTCGTATCCACACATGGAATTCCGAAGGAAAGTCACAATAGATGCGTTTTTCCTTTGATTTTCCAATAGGGACAGGAGGAAAGGACAACGTTTTATGTTAATACAAACGCCGTTTTCCTCATTTGGCGTGAAACATTCTGGAACGGTAAAGTAAATAACAACAATAATAAATCACAAAATTTGGCATATCATAATATAGGAGGTGGTTTTCGTGTCAACAGTGGAAATGGGATTTTCATTCGAGACCATAGCTGTTATACTAGGTAATGGTTTGTATGTATGTATTGCACGTTAGTACACGTATTATATTATTGTTACCATTGATTTTAGAATATACATATGAGCGGTGCTATCCTATACACAAAAACGGCGATGGATTTTATGTGGGATTCCCGCTGGCAACGGAGGTACCCTCGTCATAGTTCATGGACGGGCGGATGATAAACCATGACGAGGGTACCTCCGTTGCCAACGGGAATCCCACATGAAATCTGTCGCCGTTTTTGTATAAGGATGGCGGCACCGCTTATGTGTATATTATTCTAAAATCAATGCCACTACTCACCATTATTAGACTGAGCCGTTACTGCTTCCAGTGCCAATATCAAAATAACCAAATGCCGGATATATTCCATGTCCAATCCACAAACTAATCAATCGCTCGCAGATCTGCACACGTTAAACATAAAAATTGTTTCAATTATTATTAGTGCTAAACATCAAACGAGATAAATTATATCATTTGACCGACAATCGTTTTGTACAACTCTATCCCGCATTACCACGGCCCTGTGTATGTACATACCTACTGACGACAAGACTGCAGTGCACGGCTATTAATGACTGTGTGGTGTATTACATGGATGTTATTATGATATATTATGACGTACTTAGGTGTATAAAAATAGATGGTAATTATTTTCTATAAGAGTCGGTTAAAGGAAAATATGACACGGTGCTATAGGCAAGTGACTGCCCGCGTTTTAGAGTATATTTTCCAATCGACAGTGTTGTTTCGACATGTTGAATGCGTTTGCGTGAATATTATATTATATATTTGAAAGTATACATAAAGGTACCATAGGTCAACTGATACGACCGAATGCCACAGCTATTAATCGTATAAAAAAACAAGAAACCTTTGTTTCATATATTTCAGTTTAAAAAAATACAATATCAACAACACCTTTTTCTTGACCATTTGCAATATTATATTGTCAAGCGACGCTTAGCTGTTATAAGAAATACTAACATAATATAATATAATTAGGCTTACGTTATAAGGTGTTTTTGAAATGTTAAACGTCACACAACATCACAACTAATCGATTGCTGCTCCTAAGACTATAATAATAATAATAATATGTTGTAGGTATAATGTATATATATATATATATATATACAAATACACTGCCGGGTGTCGCTTAATTAGTTTTTTATTATCACTTTGATAATAATAATTTATGGGTACCATTAAGAGGAACACACACGCTACAATATACAGGTATTATTATACCTAGTAGTTATATATTATTATTATTATTTGGTCTTTATTCGTATACCTACTATCCGAAATGGCCAGTCCGTAAGTATGCATCACCGAAGGTCTAGGTCGTGATCTCAAGGTAAAAAAATTAAACTGATAAGTGCACTATAGGAAATATACCAGCTATTTGTCGATGGCAATATTATAATATATTGTTCTATAATACGGGTCACAGTACATAATACTATTATAATACAAATACATTGAATATACCTACCTGGGTTGATATCATATATTTGTTTTAAATGTCTAATCTCGGATTGCTTAAATTGGAAAAACAAACAAATCCAACGGTGTATTCGACCCGTTAATAATATAATAGTCATTATTATAGCTTAAATAAATGTTAAAAAATTGGCAAATTTTTTGTGGTTTTTTGGTACCTGATTGTGTTTTGTGACGTTGTTGTTACTTTTCTCGGTCGAAAATAATTGTTGCGAAAGTCATAGCATAGGCACATGTATACATATGATATTATGCAGTAATCGATTGTCCTATCAAATTATTAGTACTTGTGGCGTTTACTTAATAATAGTATTAATTTTTCTTTTTGTAAAATTACAATATAGATATTGTATTTGTGTGAAACGAGCAAACAGAAATGCACGATATGTGGAACTGCGGCGAAACACCAATTCAATAGGTAATAATAATAATAATTATCAGTTCGAGTTCCATCTCCACCATAATGTAATACATAATATTGTATATAATATGAGCTCTTTTCGAAACGTGCAGTCCACAAACCGGTCAGGTTAATATTATGTATATTACCTATATAGAAGACACGCCAAAACTGGTTCCTTTTTTTTTTTTTTTTATTATTATTATCCGTAGGTACGTCTACCTACACTTGGGTAAACACAAACGATCAATTAACAATATTTATAATCGTTTTCCTTAATTGTAACCGCTGACAGATTTCCAATTGTTTTCCATAAAGCCAATTTGTTGCGTTGTTTCCGTTCTTCATGTGGGAGATATACCGGGTGGTTGGTAACTGTGACCAAGTCAATATATCTCAGAAGATAATTGGTATACTTTTCACTGTTAAACCTTAATGTGACTTATAAAATTAACAATAATTTATTTCTATACTTATAACAAAGTTCATACACACACACACCAAGCACACGTCGAATGATTATATTGTTGAAAAATATATTATCAAAACGGACTAATTTAATAACAGCTACATTATATAAAAGTAAGAAAAATATTAGAATCGTTTTAAAGTTTAATATCTTCAAAGATATTCACTGGGTCTGGGTCATAGTTGCACAGTGCACCCTGTATACAAGATAAATAAATAGAAAATTGTACCAGTGCCACGTGGCGGATGATAATTAATAATTGTATCTACCTATTAAAATCAAAACAAACGCGGATTATCCTTATTTGTTCAAGGAATAGTATAAACAATCAAATCACTTAGTTTACAAAAGTATATATATATATTTAATCTATTACTACCTGTTCGAAATCGTATCTAATCTTGACTAAAAGCCTAAACATAACCCAAAGTGTTGTCCAAGATGGTGAAAACGACCAAAATTGTGAAAAGAGATATTATTACCTCTCTTCCCTTGACGTTTTTATGGGTGAGGGACAGATACACCAAAAGATACACAGATACACCCGAAGACATTTCCTATTCGACTTCCTAGCCAACTTTTTCCGGTCACTTCTATCAAAACTCATGGCCTATTGTTCTGCTATTTATATTAGCATAGATAAGCATAGTATACTCTAAAATATAGTCATCAGTATTGTCTGTAAAGTATCAACCGGCACCACTATAATTTGTATTATCTGAATTTTAAAACTCCTGTATTGAGTAAAACTATCGCAATAAAATTGAAATTAAATCTAAAAACATCAAAGACGAGCATCAAATCAAAATGGGGACAAACACGGTTTAAAATTAAAATTTTTTTTTTTAAAACCTTTAAATGTCATTACCGTGCAAACGATTCTGAAAACTGAGCTGGTCAAGATTCATTTGAGAAGCTATACAAACTCCATAAATAACTTAATAACTTAAACTTAATAACTTTTAAAAAAACGTGCTTACCCCAGCCATGACTTTTGGTCATTTTTTAAAAAGGCCTTGAAGGGATTTATAACTTTCTTTTTATATTTTTTTTAATTGCTGTATTTGTTTAAAGTTTTAAAGTTAATTTTTATACTTTTTTGGCAGTAAGTAGTGATTAGTGATATAAAACATCCCCATCTGCTAAGGTCTTCTGTTTTTATACATAGATATACCAGTGTAATTTTCAAATAAATTAGGTAACGTGGAATTTAGTTTAATACGGTCCAATATATTTTTTATGGTTTTGACAACAGGTTTTTGAAAAAAATTGCAACTATTTAATATATATTTTTAGGTTTAGTTTTAGTACTTAAAACGTGAAAATTAGACTGGAGGAAGATCTGCAATGGGTCTGTGGCATTAACCTACAATTTTCTTAAACATTTCTTTTCACCTTTTTTTCTTCTAAAGGGTAGACCCGTAACAAAAACTAAATGAGAAATTTCACTTAATACAATTAAATCGCTAGGTTGTTATGAGAGAGTAAATTAATAGTCAACAGATATTTGAAAATATTTTCATTATACATTGTTATATTTTACAAGACTGGAGTTGCACACAAATACACAGCTACTATACAATATGTCTGAAGCCATTTGACTCCACTGTACTGGCTTTTATTACTTTTAGATCCTGTTGTTTAATAATAATAACAACAATAATAGTATACTTGTGCAAACTAAATAATTTGTTTTATTAGATTTTTTTTACACTACCATTTTTTGACTAGATATTAATATAGATTAGCGTCGATATTAAAATAATATAGGTACTTAATAAAATATTATAAAATCAACACCAATTTAACAATATTTTTTTGTTATTGTCAAGTATTCTCAATGTGACTTCTGGCTGTTTTGTTAACTACTTTTAAAATTATATATTTTTGTCATAATACAAAATATATCACAGTAGATTAGCTGATAACAAATCGTTATCAAAATATAACTGATAACATACTGACAACAACTGATAACATTTTTGAAAACAATCGTATAATGGTATACAATTTACAAAACAAAAAAAAATATTTAATAGGAAAACTAGTATGCCAGAATTGTACACATATTTGGTCGAATTGCCAAGATACTGAATAATATTATTATGTTTGAATCGGAGTACTCATGCGCGAAAATAATTGTTTGTGTTATGAGTATTATTATTAAAATAGCTGTACTATTATGACGATGATAGCTCATATATCTACTGTGAAATAATGTAGGTAGAACAATATTTATGAAATGTGTTGGAAACAAAAAATTTGTATGCACACTTTTGTGTTTGAAAAAAACACACGTCATCAATTATTGTTCAAATCTGTTTAATTTATAGTAGGACGTTTTATTTTTTAAAAAATGTTTACAATCTATCAGATCACGGTAGCCGTCAACGTTCTGACCATTTTGCTTTTGACGGTCTTGAATTTTTACTGTAAGTTACTAATTTACTAATTATGAAATTTTTTTTTAACACCATTAACGTTGTCTTAAAACTACCAGTCGCGTTTATTTTGTTTTACAGATACAGCAGGAGATTTAACTATTGGTGGTATCGCCGACTTTAAAGAATTTGAGTACGGCGAGGATCTTTTTTTCGAAATCACACATCCACCAGAGTTGCAGTACACGTACAGGATACGACCGGCAAAAGACATTGGCGTTCCTTTTGTATGTATAACAATTACTGAACGTACTAAATGACTCGATCACGGAATTAACTGTCACCTTTAACCATTTTTCATATTTTTCATTACATCCAATAACATAATCTCAAACAAGCTGATTAATCCTTGTTTTTATCGTATATTTGTTTTTAAACATTTTACTCGTTACAATATTGTAATAAAATAACTTTAACCAGTTTAAAGTATTGTCTTATCAAATTTTATTCGTACTAATTGCTTTGGTTTTTTAGCATAAAGAAAAATTTCCTCCAAAAAAGAGCAAATTAATACTCGTTGATCCCGATCACGGTTGTGATACGCCCAAAAATGCAAGGAATATACGAGGAAACGTCGCATTTGTCAAGCGAGGGTATGCTTTTCGATTTGTTTACTTGTATATATATATATATTATTTATTATTTTATTTTTGAAAATGCAATTGTTATTCATTTTAGTGAATGTAGTTTTCTGAAAAAAACCATAGTGATGGAAACTTGCGGAGCTAAAGCCGTTGTCATTGCAGATAACAATATTTATGACGACTCCTATTATATACACATGATCGACGATGAAAGTAAATTAAAAGCCAACATTCCTGCCGGCTTTTTGGTCGGTAGATCGGGGTCAGTAAATTTATTATTGATTTTCCCCTTAGACTACGCGTAGCCGAGAAGGTATTTTTTTTTTATAATAAAATTTGTTTTATTTTTTTTTCTAGCCATTTGATTCATTCTACTATGACTGAACTAAAACTAAAAGAATTGCCCATCGTGTTCCCGTTGAATATGACATTCGTACCCTTACACGAAATGAACCAACCACCTTGGATACCCATTTGAAAAACTGTTATTTTGATAAGTAATTTATTTATAAAGCTATGCATAGAGATCTGTCGGCCGTTGTCGTCAATAATTAATTAAGTTTGGGCACATATCAGCAGAGGGTGTCTATTAGTCCGAAACTCATCCAAAATAGTCGTAAAAAAACTTTCCAGAAAATCATACAAAATTTTTACATTTAGATCGCTCTGCTAAATAAAATCTCAGCTGTGTAACTATTTATATAGCAACAATTAATAATATAGTAGTTAATAATTGTACAGGGTTAATTTAAATCTAAGTAATTATTGATTAATAGGAAAAAAACTAAAATAACTAAAAAGAATGTTTTAAAAAATTTAATTTTGCTCATTTTTGTTTTACCTGATTTAAAATTTTACATTGATTTGTAAACAATTTTTTTACAAATAGTCATATGGCTAAGATATAAGTTTTTCTTATAAGACTTTTTTTATAAATAAATAATTATACCGAATAATTCATTTTTCTACTCGAAATTGTGTTGAAATATCATTATATATTTTATAAACTAGTCTAAAATTCTGTTGTTAAATTTAAGTAGAAGATGTTTAATGTATAATTTTTTTTTAACTTGAATATGGGAAAACTAGGGAATCGTTATATATTTCTAAATAAGTTGTATTAAGTTTTTAAAACTAAATAATATTATCGGTGGCAATCAGTTAATTTAGTCTTAGTGTTATATTTGTTGGCCAATTCTGATTTTACGAGTACCTATCTAAAAAATGCACGCCTCAATCCACCATTTCAGTTTTATTATAATTGACTGTTAATATTGACTAATTTTGTTGAGTTATTATTCTTATTAAACTATAATTGTAAATTTATTTATTGTATGTTACAAATTGTATAATTTAAGTAGTACGTAAGTTATAAAAATAAATTTATTATGAAAACTAACCAAATTAAACTAGTAATAAAAATTTAAACTGTGTATTTCAACGTATATATTTAATTTTAATTTAACACATTGATGGTAAACATCGGATTTTAATTTTTAGTAACAATATAATATGTATAAAAACTAATAATCCTTTTATTATGTACTCCTAGTAATTTGTTCTAAACCGAAAACTTTGTTTAAAATATTGCATTCGGTATACTGAATTTAAAAAAAAAAATTGGTTTACCTTATTAAAACTAATCGAATTTTAAATGTATGGATTATTATTAATTTAATAAAAATGTTATTGATGATATTTTATCCATTGCATTAACCGTATATTATTATTACAGAAAAAAATACCTCGACATTGTCAAAAGCTAACCGTTTGTCCATTTAGAGCCAGAAATAATATTAAGATTTGCAATTCTTTGCAGAGACATTCTCGAAATTATTTTATTTTATATACAAGTTAGTAAAATAAAAACCGTTTATGATTTTTTCCCGTCTTGTGATATCAACTAGGAAAATTCCATTGAGTTTGTGTGGATAAATGTAGACCGAGCAATTTTCTGAAATTTTCATGATTATTGATTTTACAGCAAAACGTTTTCTCTAAACAACCAAAGACATAACCCGTAAGACACATACTATGTTGAACGTGCAAGCGATTGCCAAAAATTCCATACATTTTCAAACTGTTTTTCAAAAAATACTATTTGCACCACATTATCACAATGAAAATTTTTTTTTTAAATTTAAAATTTTTTTTATTATATCCCAAGTCATATTACTTACTTGTGCTGTGTGCAACTGTCACAATATCCATAAGCCGATATCATACACATGTAAATATACTTCTACCACAGAATAGATTAAATTAATTCTACTCTGTGCAATCTCAACCTCTTTGTTTTTTTCTAGTTAAAAAAAACCAACTTCAACAATTATTTTATTTTCAATATTTACAGCCAAGATGAAACATTAAATTACTTGTATTGCGATAGTTTCATAGCCCGATCAAACATTGATATTTTGTTTAAAACATTTTTGACATCTGAATCCCAATTAATTTTTTATTCAGTAATAATAAGTACAAATATACATTTTTTTTTTCAAATGTTTGGATACAAGAAAGAAATATTCTTTTTTGACAAATAATTATTAATGAATAAAAACGTTTTTGAACTTATTAGACATTATATTTCATTGACAAATGTGTAGACTGTGTAGGTCTGATCAAAAAGCAGATGTACAACAAGTAATAAAACAATCCAGGAATATTATGGTGATTACATATTTTGTTTTTTCAGTGTGGCACACGTTAAAATAATAATAATTGCGATTCGTTTTGTAAATAATTTAAAATGCTCCATTAAAATACAAACGTCCGCCGAGAAAGAAACTGCTACTTTTACATTTAGTTAAATTTTGTTAACGATAATTCGCAGGGTATAATAATATAGTTAAAATAAATCCGTCTTAAAACAAAATAAAATAATATTTTACATTTAGGGTAACAATAATGAATAATATTTATATATACATTTGTCAACTTATCATCAAACATACAAATCAATAGATATTATGTACAAGACACATTATGTGTCCAACTAGTAATTTTTTGTAACTTCCGTCAGCTCTCTGGTGCTCAAGACAAACTAATGTAATTTTCCTAAACAAATATTGTTGTCAAACGGTCAACAACTAGAGGCGTTTATTAAATTAACTAAAAAAAAAAAAATAGTGCAATAAAGATAAAATTTATATATGTATTTATATAACAAGATCTTTATATTAGTACTTATTCTGGTAAAAATTCTTAAGTTTTTTTATTTTTTAACGATTTAGTAATCTTTTTAGAATAATATTTAAGTTACGCAGTCGAGCAACAGAAGTTACGCAAGTAAATGTTTATAATTATTTTCCCATAACCAAAATATTTTTTAAGTAAGATATTTTACAATTAAATGAATTCTTAAAAATAAATATTGTATATATATATATATATATATATAAAACACAGTATAATTATCAAGTCCAATATTTGTTTAGTTAAAATCAACTCAGTGTTTATTAAAATTTACAAAAAAGGGTTTATCTTATTTCTGACGGAAAAAAAACCACTACCAAACTCCAATAAAACTGTATGCCATTTTGTTAATCAAGATATTTTTTATTTCATTTAAATTTACTTTATCGAACTTAATCGAGCTCTGTTGAACCATATTTGTATATTTAAAAAAACAAAAATCTACGTTAGCCGTAAGTTATTACCGATTGTTGCATAATAATTAAAGAGTTCATTTTAATATATATATATATATATATACGTATAAGCTGTCCTATAAAGTACACCAAAATATAATAATTTACACAGGTTTTTTTTCTTTTTTTTATATATATATAGAATTAAAGTAAAATAAAATAACTAACATTATCGTACAAGTTTATATAAACTATTATTAAACTTATATATATCTTTTTTTTCAACTAGTTTCAAATAAAAACATTTTTACGACTACAACTTTTAGTTCGCTAAATTAATAGTCAAAATCAAAAGCAGTAGTTGAGTTTTGAAAAATAGAAAGAATAAAAAAAGGGTGCATGAAAGAAAGATACAATTAAGAACAATTTCTTTTTTCAACAAATATTTGGATATTAGCATTTTTTTTTTTAATGAAATACCTAGTTTTTGAATAAATTTTGAGTAATACGTATAATAAAAACTGAAAACGAACGAATCTAGTAAATCGTTACCGTTCAAGTCGTTAGATTTAAATGTTAATTTTACAATGTATAGTGTACAAGTGTTATGAGTATAATGAAGATTATTTAAAATCTCATCACAGCCATTATTTGTAAGTATTAATTTTGTTTTTCTTCTATATGAAAATATAATATACTTCGTGATGATGGATTCTCGATTTTATAGTTTATATTTTTGTTTTTTTTTTTATACATAAAAATATTATATTTGTTTATCTTAAGACGGACTTGCTACCACGATAGATGAATTATTCAGCGACCTAGTGGCTGAAGGTACAAATTCTGCAGCATCTGGATTGAGAGTGCTCTGAAAGCGAAAAAAAATGTATATATATATATATATATGCTTATTCATACAGTTTGACATATGTTTATACATAATTAAAATTATTTAAATTTATTATACTATTATCGATACGTACTGTTGATTGTCTCGGCTGATCGCCATTGTTGCACGAATTCAAACTCAAGCGTTCAATTCTGTTTACCATTCCGTTTCTATAATTATATAAAACATGAATGTATTTATTATTTATTTATTTTTGTTTATAAAATAAATTGTTTTCAATAAACTTTTAACTAAGGTTTTCATAGTATTTTTTAAATAAATTATTAAAATTAGCAGATTGATTTAAACAAAAGTTTTGAAAACAAATAAAAAGTTCTCCTCTGTTTACTGTGAAAATTTGGTGATTTTACAACAATTCCAAGAAAATGTAGCAAAAACAGAAAACATATTTATTCTAAAAAAATAACAGATTATGAATCCCTTATAGTATTTTTCAAGTCAGCTAGTTAGTTTTGAGAATAAAAAATATCAGATTTAAAAATGACGAAAAGTGAAATATTAAATTATTATCAACAGCCCTAATTTAAAACTGCTCAGACTTAAAATTGAAATAATCATCAACTAAAAATATACTTCCTTCAAAATTTTAGTAGTTTATTATAAATCACCAGTAATTGAAAATGAGACATTTTTAGTTTTACAACGTTTAAAAAGCTCAAAAATATGTTTTAATTAATTAAAACACATAATCTTAGATCTAAGGTTCATAAACATTATTGTTAATATACGCTATACTCAAGGTAACTTTAGGCAAACAAGTTGCCACCGATATAGCACAGACATTTTGAATTAATAAGCCGATTTCTCTCACACTGCCATAATAAATATGAATAATTTTAGAATTAAATGTAAACACGTCCTTGGCATGTAATACGAAAAGTAGGCAATTCCATAGCAGTTGACGTGAAGACAAAAAAAAAATAATAATTTGATTTTAATATACTTACGTTTGACCATCTCCGTTGGATGAATTACCATTGGACTTACTATGCTCTTCGTCTAACATAGCCTCTAAACATTCTTTCATTAGCTCTTTTTCTTCCAATTCTTTCATGACCTGAAATCGATAATAAAAAATGTAATTGCATTTGTTTATTCTTCTGTGAAAAACATATTTTTAAAAATGAATTGTTTCGTGAACAATTTTCACATAGAGTGTATGGTAAACACCTTACTGGGATTAACAATATCAATATTGGTTAAAAAAAATAGTTTTTTAATCTACAAGAATATGTAGATACCTAGAATTTAACTTGTGTTACAAATATGTGTAAAAAAGATTAAATCAAGTGGACCTACATTCCATCAACAACCAAACGTTAACGCGTACGCGGTTTTTTATTAATCAGTAATCACGCATTTAAGATTTTCATTAAATCATTTTTAAGGAAGAAATCAGTGTTTAGAACAGTAAAGACACGAATATTAAGACATGTATAGAGATCTTTTTTACTATTGATTTGTTTATCCAGTTTTTTTTTTTATAATAAAAAACATTCAAGTTTTGACAAATTTGATTTAACTTTAATTTTCTTAATCTCTATAAGTACCTGTAAATCAAATTCTTCTTGATTTTCCATCCACATGTATTCAGAAAAGTCGCCATCTCTTGTTGGCTGATCAATTGAATCGGCATTCGAATCATCATCATAGGGAATACTTTCATTGTCATCATCATTGATTGTGTTTTCATTGTTTTGTTCTTTCGATTCTTCCTTGGGTACCTTCATTTTGAATTTTTTATTTTTGGTTTCTATAGAGCAAAATAATAATAAAAACACCTATTGTAAATAATATTTATTATTGTATTTAAAGTTAAATAATATGTTTACAATTGGGTAACTAGCATCAAAAACCCATAATTCGAGTCAACTATTTATTTAATAAACAACACAAGTGTAATACGATAACAACCAAGTGTCGAGTACAAGATTAGTTAAATTGGTTTTGTCCTTGGCCTTGCTAGTTGAATTCACTTTATTACATCTACTTTCTTTCGCTAAAAAAGTGGTTATTTTTTTTTTAGCATAGAACATACTTTAGCCTTGGCCCCCAGCCCGAAAACGACACTTAAGTAGCGCAATAATTAAGCAACAAGATTATTGTTTATTTGGCCAGAACATATAATTTTGACTATACCTACTATCATGAATCGCAAGGATATTATAGATCAGAAATAATCACTATTAAGGGAGCCAGCAGGCTAAAGCATGTTCCACGTTTTATCATTATAGCCGTAAGGCTTAAGTACTGTAAATTTTGTTTTTAGTTAACTTATTTTTAATTGAACCTAATACTAAAATACTCTTTTGAATAGTAATTATTGTATTTAGCTACTTGAAGTGCATACAAAAAAAAAAACAGCAAGTACCAGTAAAAAGGTATAAAGTCTATTGTAAATTACTATTTTTTTTTAATGTATAATAAAATATCAAACAAAACTAAATAGGGAAGCGTCAGTCATATTATTTCGCTACTTTCTTGCATCACAATATCTTAAGTTTAAAATTAAATTCGATTGCACAACTAGAATAATAATTTCTTTACATACCCAACTGAATGACAATAAATACAGACAAAACGTCCGAAAAACCACGCAATCATTTAATGCCCAATTTTTCGAATTTTATGATATACAATTATTTTATAATTTACATAGATTAAATTGTCGGGAATTTTGGGAAAATAAGTAAAAAAGTATATATTATTATCTATTAAAAATACGGTTACAACATCTGGTAGATCTGGCAATTTCTTTAATAACTATTATAGACCTAAATTAAATGTATAAAAAAAAAATAGTTATGTAACAAGACGTATTAATAGTTATCCAAAAGTATACACAATTAACAGGTTTGTTTAATTTTAACCATCTACACGAGTGTACATTGTTTTCTGCAATATTTGGTATGATAAAAAATATGATAAATTCGTGTGGCGCGCTTACGACACACGCCGATGTGTGTAAACTAAATAATCGTTTGGTATTTCATAATTTTTTTTTTTTATACTTTCGATACAACTATACTATCGATTCGGTTAGCGGATAGGTAGGCATGCCTCTGAAATACATAATATAAATCTTATGTCGCGTTCAGGCGATTATTATAATGCAAAAAAAAACAAAATAACCTTGTCAGTATGCGGCGGCGGCGGCGGCAAGTCGAAACGATATTATTTCTTTAGGTGCTCGAGGATAGAGTAAAACATATGTAAAAGATACAAAGAATCAAAACGAAAAACGTAGAGCAAAAAAAAAAAAACTACCAAAACCCAGGCGACCACCGCAGACGTTTTGCAATGGTCGTTCGCCTTTCACACAATGCCCTAGTTTCGTGCCAACGACTGCGTTCCACGTCTTTTGCCGTGTGTTCGCCAACAAAATAATAATAATATCGTCTCTCTATCGACGACGGTGTGTGTGTGTGTGTGTGTGCGTGTACAGAGTGTAATCAGATAACGACAAAAAAAATTAATATACCCAATTAACGAAACACGATATTATTATAATATTAAATATTATTATATACTTACAATAACACGACGACGACGTGCGCTCGTACACGTTGAAAGTGGTTATTTCCAAAAAAATATATATATATATATTAAACCCGAAAGTCCCAAGTACGGTTTGGGGGAGGGGAGGTGTGAATTTCGACGAGACGCGCAACTCTATTTGCCTGTTCGGTCAACACACGCGAAGCACGTTTTTTATTATTTATTTTTTTTTGCCCCCTTCGAACGGCGCGGTTTCCAAACGACGGACGTTCGCGACACTGACGGCAGCGCTCTATGGCAATCTATGGAAACGGCCAACGTAAGCGTACAAAATATAATAGTACACTATTTACTACACAGTGTAACGCACATGAAAAAAAAAAAAATATATATATATATATATATGGAAGGTGAACGGGAAACGAACCGAACGCACACAACAGCGCAACGTCTAACGCACGGAAATAGAAAAGTACATTGAAATAATAATTATCGAGTAGGGGCGACTGCTGCCGACCGTACCTGTAGTGTATAATATATATTATTATTAATATAAGTATATATATATATATATATGTAATATAAAGTAAGTATGGTAAGTACGTGGTACGCAGGACGACGGCGTGCGCGTGTGTAGTACTACTATTACCGTAGTAGTGGTGTAGTGTCGCCAACGGTGGAATGGCGCGTGTCCACGCTGCCGACGCGACATCTGTCCCACCGTACGGCAACCGCTAGCGTCCCGCCAAAATTTAAAATTCGGGTTCATCGCGTCACTCTGGAAAGCAACGGGGGCCGATAGGCATAGGCGGTAATAGTCATTAGGCTGTACTAACAAGTAACACACCCCCAATTTAAAAATAAGCCCCCTCTTATATTTAGTACCCTTTATTTATTTCAAACAGACGTTTTTTTTTTTTTACAGAAATGACGCTCATCCTCGACAACTACTTTGATGCAGGCGATATTTTTTTCTTTTAAAACGGTTTAAGCAACAAGAGAATTTTTTATACAATTAAAATCCTGTTAAGAGCATACTCGCCTTAAAGCATAAAATATTTAAGTATGTAATTCAACAAGAATTGTTATCTCCGTATCGAATCACCGCTATATTTAACAGACGACGTTACTAAGACTAATGTCTGAACAGTAGACTATATGGTAATACCATTGAGTATATATTAATACATATACATTGCATACTCAATGGTAATAGGCATAGTCAAGAATGACAATGCATAACCAAATGTTATTACATGTTTTTGCTTTAGATCCTCAAATATCAATAATTAATGTGTGCCCTAGTAAGTAATTATTCAATATCCTGTCAATTTTGAATAATTTAATTGAATGATGAATTTAATAATTTCGGTTCTATTAACCATTTGTTATTATTTTATTTATAATAAGTACAATTTAGTCAGAGTCCAAGTTCATTTTGAAGCAAATAATTTGTGTTGGGAATTTTTAAAAAAATGCCGTATAAAGATATTGGACAACAGTTACATTTAAAGTATGTACACAGAGATTATAAGAAAACATTGAAGAATCAGTACTTTTTATGTCATATAATTTATATAGTTTAAATTCATTAGACAACTTACAAAAAAAATCTTTTTATTTTATAAGCAATTTTGGTAGTTTAAGGCTTAAACTTTCACTCAAGGTTAGACTATTAACTTGTAACAAGTAAATATAACACATAAATCAACTCTTTATGCTTTCTTCTTTAAGCTTTGAACACCTGAATTTTGGATTTTTAAGTGATATAGATTATGTATAGTACTACTATTAAAAAATATTGGTTTTTCGTTTTCTCATGTTTTTTTCATTCTGAAATAAGTTATAACAAAAAAATTAATGACATTTTGATTGCAATATTTTTAGTTACAACTTCAACTAAAGTTAATATTAGTTAAACTGTCAACAGAGCTAAACGACCACTCCCTCAATGCTGAAATTCAATACTGAAACACAACCGATCAGTCCAAATGTTTAAGTATTTAATAATAATTATTGTACATATAACGTAATAGAAATTAGTGAAATTACCATTATTATTTATCTTTATAGGAATGACGATTCCATGACAGTTTACAATCATAACAATTAGATATTCTCCAACTTGCTGGACATTACCCGCTATTAAAAAATACAAATTGGTTATCAATTCAAACAATATAAACCATTATAAAAACTATAGATTAATGAACTTCAACGATAACCAACCATAATAAAATAAATCTTATAGACAACATGAATTATTATGGTGATGAAGAAACAGATTCCAAAGATGATCCTTAAATATCCATTTGTAAAACTGAAAAATACACAAACATATATTATGAATATAATTAATACGAAATAAGACTTGGTCGGATAATAAATATTTACCTGTTTTAGTTAACATTTTATTGGCATATTCAGTAACTTGCATTCGAGCGTCTAGGTAAAATGATGGTCGATATAGAAAATACTGCATGACACTTGGAAATATTAAACAAACGCACTTGGATTAGCGGCCAAATAGTGATTTTATTACCAATGTAAGAACCTAGAATAAAGTTCAATAATAATACAATACATATCAATTATCCTTATCATTTTTTTTTAATAGAATATAATGAAATGTTTTAATACATTTACAGCCGATAAATTATGTTATAAAGCTTTTTGTAACTGTGTTACATATTTATCGTAAATATATTTGTATTCAAAAACAAAATTAAACATTTTACAAGGCCACAGCCAATAAAAAAAATAATATAACAGTAATATGTACCAAATTAATTAAAATTGTTCAACTTTATATTCATATAAACACTGAATGTATATTTTTCTGAAAATGAACAATTAACGTCATTAGTGATTAATTATTATTTTTAAATAGCACACCTACCTAAATCACTTACTATCATTGAACTGGGGACCTACGTCCTACGCTGTTGATAGGAGCCTGAATATTGTGATTCTGCATTAAATGCCTAACAAAACTTGTATCTATTATTTATGTTTAGTAATCCAAAGATGTACAAACACATTACATGAAAATCTAGTGCCACAAAAAAGGAAAAACAAAAATTGAATTTTAGATAATTTAAAAAACAAACAAACATACGCTACTTACGATTTCCATTCCTTTATAGCAGAAAAGTATGCCTACTAAACATCTAACATTAATATTTTAAGAACACCTGTACATAGATTTCAAAAGGAAATTGAACAAATACGAGTTTAAATAAAACCGATTTCACAACAACTAGTTTAAATAGGTCCCTGTACAAGCAAGGAGAAATGTTTATTTTATTAAAATAATAATAATAATAATAATAATAGAAAATAATAATAATTATTTAGTATATTATTACATAGAATCATACACCTACAAAACGAAATGCAGTTGATTTCGGTCAAGGAGTGTAAGTAATAGGTTTAAAAAATTGCAATGGAAAAAAACAACAATGATTAGTCAATAAAAAAAAAAAAAAAATTAAAATAAAATAAAAAATGTATTAAACTTATTTCGCCTAAATTTTAAACCATAAACAAACACTATAAACATTTATTGTAGAATCATTATATGAATTACTTATAAATGGCATTAAGATTCAACATATGTAGAGCAGATTATTTATAATATTTCTGATAAAATGAATAGTTCAATACCCAAAGGTTGAAGAAGAGAAATTTGATGGTTATTGATTCCTACCAGCCTTGCTTCAGCAACCTCCCTAACAAGATAGAAAAACAAAATCATTATGCATGTAAAATAAAAATAATCCACTATATAATAACTACTCAAACTACCATTTTTTTTTTGTTAAATTTATTATTATTGTCATTATTATTTTATGTGTGTTAGGAACGAGTATTTTTTATTACTTACGTATGCTTAATATCTTCCTCTTGAATTTTGATAGAAGTTTCCACCACCACCTCCTAAATAACAAAATACAATTTTTTTTTAGATGGGAGTTATTTGTGTTTTAGCTTTGATTTTGCTTGTACAAGGTTAGTTAATCTGACATCTAATCTAATCAAATACATAAACAAGAAAATATTACTGCGACCTGTGTGATATGGTGCTGCTCTATTGTTGCCAAAGTTTCCTCGCATTGGTCCACCTCCAAAACCACCTTGGTTTCCACCCCAGTTGCCACCTATTGTAATAAGTAATGTGTTAAATAGAAATTTCAATACTTTTTTTTTAGCAAACATACCTCCGCCATTCCAACCTCCTTGATTACCTTGGCCACCCCATACATTATTCCAACCTTGAGGACCACCTTGAGCCCATCCACCGCCACCACCTCCACCACCGTATCCTCCTCCAAAGTTGCCTCCTAAAACAAAATCAATAAATTATATTTAAATGCAAGTACAACAATATATGAACACTATATTTGTATACATCTAGATAGCGATTTAAAAGTTTTCAAATGCTTAAACAGTTAAATAATTTAAGAAACTATTTACAACCGTCTAATAAATTATATGTACATACATTCCTATTTGTTGGCAACTGTATATCATTTAGAATACTTATGGTATTTACTTAGTTCCCACATTGTATCACATCTATTGAGGCTTATGTTAAAACATTAAAATTTTTTATTGAGCAATTATTTACATTGAGGTAAAGAAACAGTTTTTGTTGGGATAATGGTTACGCATTGCCCCTACATAGAAGTACAAAAAAATAATAATATTTATTTATTTACTTTAATTTTTTTAATAATGATATTTACAATGTCCTATTATACTATGTAATATCTATTAGGGGTAGAAAATTTAACAAAATAATTAAAAAGTATTAAGTAATATACAAAAATGATGAAAATTAAGATAAAAATCCAAGGTAAAAACAAATATTTTAGTTTATTAAAAATAAAAAATGTTTTTTGACTATTTGTCTTTAATATTCATGAGAGTTATTCAAACTACTCTAATAATAGGTATATACTATTGGTAAAAATTTGTATTCAAATATTCAAATTTAATAAAAAATTAAGTTTTTCAAATACAAATGTTCAAACAATTTTTAATTATTGAAATTCAAATCAAAATGGATTTTTGTAATTATTTAATTAAACTCTAACATGACAGATTTCAGTCAATTTAAAAAATCTAACTTACCCCAACTATTGGGACCACCCCAATTTTGTCCTCTGCCACTACCTCGTCCACCTCTTCTGCCTCTAGCTGATGCAACATCTTTACTAACAGCTTTTTTTACTTCTAATTTATTACCAGCGACTTCATGACTTTTGATTACTTGTAAATTAAAAATAATTAGTAGCTAACAATTATTATTTTTTTTTTCTTCAAATAAACAAATACTTACAAACTGCTTTATCGACTGAATCAGAATCATCAAATTCGATAAATCCAAAACCTTTACGCTGTCCTGTTTCTTTATCCGTTACAATTTGTATGTTTAATATATTACCGTACTGTCCAAAATATTCACGTAATTCTTCTTCAGTTTGTTCTTTTAATCCAGATACAAACATTTTCTTTACCGTCCAGGCTATATCTGGTTTATCAATATCCTGAACATAAAAAAACCCTGTAAGAACATTATACTTATTGTATGAGTAATATTAAATATATAGATTACATCACGTGGAACTGCACGTTTTGTTTCTACTTCTCTTCCATCAATTTTGTGTGGCCTATTTGCCATCGCATCATCAACCATTGACGATTTGGAATAGGTTATAAAACCAAAACCTCTCGATCTAATAACATAAAGATAGAACTAACGTAACTCTTATTTCATGTGTCAATGTTCCATAATATGAGTATAATAAGTACCTATGTTCACATTTCACTTTAGCTATTATGGTATAGTGATCTATGAAGGTATATAGAATTTATATTATAACTGTACATACATAATAATATATTAAATTAGAATTAAATTATTAGTTAAGAGATTGAATCGGAGAAAGAACGTCCAAGAAACTATGGCCATAAAAATTAACTGAAATACAACCCGTCGAATTTGGTTCGTAACACACAGAACTCAATTGAGATTCCAGATCTGTCACCTAAGACACTTGTTAAAGCTAGATTTTAAAGTTTTGTTTAGCAAGTTGTTATTTATTTGTTTGAATGTTTATTAGGTACAATTTATTTATGATGAATATAGCATGCAGTAGCACACCTCGCACCTCCATGACTATTACGTAGAAGCACTGCTGTGTAAACCCACTCGGACACGTAGAATATATTATCATACTACAAATAATATCATTACTTAACCATATTAATTATTTACACAAACTACCTTTTAGTCACTGGGTCTTTCATGACGACGACATCGACAATCTCACCCCATGCTTCGAAAAATTCTTTAAGTGACTCATTAGTAGTGGTATAATTCAAACCACCAATGAACAATTTTCTAAATTGCTCGGGTTCTTCAACATTGTTTTCACTCTATTATTAATAATAATAATAATTAAAATGTTGTTAAGAACGTACGACGTTTTTTTTCAAATTAATCAAATATATAATATTCGTTTTATTAACAATGCCTTACCGTTGTACTCATGTTTAAAAGTGTAATCTAACTATAATATTATTACACAGTATTAAGCTACAAACGAATAATGAAAATAGCGAGCCGACACACGGACTTGTGGTTGTATATTACTAGTTACGGAGCGATTATAAGAAACACCGCCCAAACAAAATACGACACGAACCGAATTCAATAAATAAATGGCAGTATGGAACACCGCACAAGCGCATAGGACTGATAACATGAATAAACAACAGTCTATTATCAACAATAAAATGGCCGGTGTATACCCACAGAATAACCAGAAGGGAAACCTAGGCCGGGACTGATAGGTGTCCGACATTGGTGTTTTTGCGGATTACGTACAATTACCATTGGGTTTTCCCGAAATTGACCACAGTTCTGTTTTTAGACCCACCTCGGTCCTAGTATTAAAGTCTGGCTGGCAGCCTCAAAGACAATATGGTAGTCGGCCTTTTTGCCGGCTCATGAGAACCAGTGTAATTTTTCTAAAGTGTCCCTTCTGGTTATTCCGTGATAAATCTACTTGCGCGGGTGTCAACGGTGCCATATAATTTATCGCTGCTCATGGACTAATAAATAACAGAAACTGTATTGGGAAAAGATGACAGTGGTAAATTTAAGCCACGGCCTATGGCAGTTGGCCAAAAGGCAAAAACCGTAAACAGTTATTCCGTGCGTTATTCGAATTCATAGAAAATAATAATTAAAACAAATATCTCTTTACACCGTTTACGTTAGTGGCGTCTTGGAGGGTCACCTGGAATTATATTGGATGATAAATTTCTAATCAAAGGGTTGGAATAAGAGCCAAGGCTTGCGTTGAAAACCTCTTATAATAGTTTTTTGCTTCTTCCTGAACGGTTTTGAAGTGTAAGAAGGAATTCGTTATTTTCCTTTAGGTAATATTTTGGAAGGACTGTATTTTTTTTTAGAATGGAGACTGGCAATTCCCCCTGGAGGCCGTAGTACAGATTGGCTATAAAAAGGATTTGTACATAATTTAATATTGAAGTTTGTTTGTTTATTGTTAATTAATAATAGTGTTTTAAGCATATGTACAAAAGAGTTTAGTTGAAGCCTTTTGGCCTAAAATTTAATTTTCAGTCAGGACTTTAAAATCTTAATATCAGTGTCACGACTCGTTCTTGGTAATCGGATAAGTTACGATTACCGATACATTATAATTATCCATTTAGTTAAAACTTTGTACCTACTTGAAATATACCAAATATAAACACAAAACCCTTGTAATAAACTTAAAAAGATACATAATTTAAATATACAATGACAAATATCAATGAAATAAAAGTCATTCATGACTATACAACATAATCATTAGTTTGATATATAAATTATTACTATTATTGACTTCTTGTCAATCGAGTTTTCATAAATTACAATAGAATAATAAATCGCCACCAGCCTATTTGTCTCAATTTTTTTTGTTTCGCCAAATAATGCAACAAATTTTTAAGGTCACACGGTTATTATAATAAATATTATTTAAAAATATTAATACAGATTTGTGTAAAAAATAAGAAATTGCAAATGCTGTAGCCAGTAACAATAGAAGTGAAGAAGTCAATAAACGTTTGTCGTACAACTAATATGAAATAATCATCAAACGTTAATATGAAACTTAATATAGTAGCTAATCAGCAATTGAACTAATGTTAGTGTATTATATAATACTATCCGAGTATGTAAGATTAAGTAAAACCATTCATTTCTACTTATAGAATATTGGCTCAAGTTAAATAAACAAGAAAATATGGATAAGGCAAATAAAAGAACTATTATAAAGTAAGTAAAATAATTTGGAAAACGATTTCACATAGGCCCAGTCAAGTGGCAATTTGTAATTAAACTTATATCCTGAATCCTGCTGTAAAAATATACCTATAATAATAGTAAATTGTCCAATAATTAAAATTTTAATAGTTATTCAACACATTGATTGCCACCGTTTTAAAGTACCATTTAAACTACGAGTTATCTTGTAGGTTGGCAGTCAACGTGTTAATAAAAGTAAAATAACACGGTAAGTATTTATAATAAATGATAAAAAAAGCTATTTCGAATTCATTCACGTATTCTTATTTTATTAAATACAACGATTACAAAAATATCTGTACTTCATTTTATATATAACACACAATTTCAATAAAAAAAACATACAGGATGTTACCAACACTTAAGTTTGTCCAGGTAAAACATCGTACATACTTAAGTGGAATATACAACTGGAAATCAATCGATCTGTGAAAAAAAAACAAATAGTTAGTAATTTAAGTAAATAAATTTTATTTATATAAAACAGAAATGGGTAAAGTTTCATAGAGAGAGAATTAGGTCACTGAACTAGGATGGGCTACAGTCTAGACAGCTTTTACTCAAGTCTGTCGAGGGGGACAGCTCATGCAACAGTGTCAAAAAATAATCATGTATACATATATTGGGGGGGGGGGATTAAAGTCGAGACTGGAGGGGAGAAGCTTCCTAGCTACGCCCATGTAAAAAGCCATCATCAAATAATAATGTTCAGTACAACCTAAGTACTTTGTAACACTGCATCTACTCAAGACAATATATTGTATATATTCAAAATATATATATTGGGAACAACTTAAAATATTAAAGCGTCAACAATGTTCAGAACAAATTTCACTAAACATATTATATACAAAATAAAATGAATTTACAACTTTACCTGAATAGATTTTATAAAATGCATTGGTCGTATATTCTTCAATATATATTTTTAGATAAGCTGTTCTTTGTCTGTAAGCCTGAAAATAATTGAACAATTGAAGTTTGTCATAATTAATTTAAATTTACATTTTCTCACCAGGTTGATATTATAATTTATGAGTTCCCATAATCAACCATTTCAGGTCTTAGCAACCCTCCAACATGTTGGAAGACATTTTACTTGTTGTCAAGTGCCAATCGTATTCTATTAAATTATATGGTAAAAAAAAAAAAAAGGCGATTAAAACACAATTAAAATTATACTTTTTTATTTAATAAATAAAAACAACAAATTCTGGTAAATAACTTTGCTATAATATTTATATGAAACATATACTGACAAAGAAATGTAAGTTAAAAGATTTTGATTAAAAATTAATAAAATTATATCAAAATTTGCTAAAATTTGTTGTTCAATGTATAAAATTATTTTGGGAAAAATGCAGAAAATTATATAACAAACCCTACAGGAATATGAAATATTTTACCTTTAGCATTTGGATGACCTACCTACGATTGAAAATCGAGGTTTTGCTGCCCTAAATTGGATCACCTACGCGGTGTGACGAGAGCCTTAAACCCACTTGCTGACAGCATAAGCCCTAACAGGCTAACATTTCTATGGTATCTAATAAACCTACACTTAACATAATATTACAATTCATCTATTCTATATGTAAACAAGATCAACAATTAGTGATGGCATCAAATAAAAACAAAAAAGTTTAGTTAACAATCGCTTACCAAATTAATTAGATAGAAAAAAGTTCCTAATTACTAACATAGTCTTATAATAGTTCAATATTAAAATCCATGCACTTTTTAAAAGTAGAAATAAAAGAACTTACAATTTTAATCAAGTATAAGTATACATGTGTATTAATCACCTTCACTTGTGTATTTTATTAATAGTATATATAAAAAAAAAAATTATACTTAGGCAAACGTTTACCGTTATGTACTACCTATAAGTTAGTCAGATTAACTATTTTTCATAACTAATACATCACATTAACAATGGTGTCACTATGTTACTAAAACTATTTAATTCAATTACCATTTCTCCAATTTCAATCACTCAGGGAATAAGGTTTATTTCTAACATTTTCCCTTTTAAAAGCAATTTCATGATATATTCAAATTATATTGTATAATATTAAAATACATAATTCTAAAGCTTAATATATTTTCAACATAACACTAAAAACTGAATTTTCTGAACAATATACACCAAGTTTTTTTAAATAATTATTTATTGTAGTATATATTTTGTAGTTAGGTATGTTAAAAGAATAGTTTCCATAAAAATATTAATAGATGTTTTCCTATTAGTTTTACAATCCATATTATGATCACACAAATAAAACACAACTACAGAATTTTGTTTATTTGCTTTAATATTTATTAACACACTATAAATGAATTATTCCTATGGGTAGTTTCCAACTATGCCTTTATTTAATTTAATTATTTTTCACATACATAATATTCACTATCATTTATTATTATTATGATCATAGCATTACCTAAATAGAAAAAGTACACTTAAAAGATAGTAGCAAATAAAACAATGTTAATCACGATAATCTAAGCGTATAAATTGAAAATTAATTAAGTATTATGATTATTTCTCTTTAATATAAACCAAATAGTTTGTAGTAAATTAAACCATTCGGAATTTTCACATTAAAAGACTAATTTTAGTTGAATTAATATATCATATTATTACTATCCTAAAGACCTAATGTAATGTCACATATAAAAAAAAAAATATAAATATATATATACGCAGAATACAACTTCCTGATATACAAAATTTTTGAAAAGTCGTCAATACTTAGATAAAGTTTCAAATAAAAATACAAAAGAAATATATATAGTTGAGAAATATAAAAAGTATATTACCAATACAAAACACGTCATTGTACTTAATAAATAATTGATTAAACTGAGTTTGCAGTAGGCGAGGATGAGAAGGTATTCAAATGACTGGCTCTTGTGTCAACTATACCAATTTCTGATTGGGTATATATATTTTTAATTAATACATAGAAAAAACTGGTATCCTATTTTTGTTTATACTTCCTAACAGACTGGCTCCTTGGATCCTACCTAACAATTATCAAAATAAAAAAACCATTTGAATTAGAATCCTAAAAATATTATTTCATGAAAACAAGAAAATAAGGGATGCAGATTCCATAAATTTGTAATTCATTTTACAGCCATAACTTTATTACCTTATTTTTTTTTTTTAATACCGTCTTCCTCCGGCATTCTGGCCATAACCACCACCATTCCCAGCATTTACATTTCCAGCTCCTGTAAAAATCGTGTTAACAAACAGTTATAAGAAATATTCATTTCAAAATATACTATCTTTAAATTCATTCAAATAAAAAAAAAACAATAACAACTACCTGGGTTTCCGTAAGGTGTGGAACGATTATTTGATGTATAATTAGATCTCATTGGGCCACCGCCGCCGTTGCCATAACTTTGATTAGGACCTCCCCAATTGTTGCCTGCAAATATTTTTCATGTAAAAATCGCATCAAAATTATAATGCAGAATTAATCTTTTGTAGTTTAGGGGAGAAAAAAAATATTTTCCCCAATTATTGAACTAGAATTTTTAAATTATAATTATTTTTAATTACTTGGTTGAGAACTTCCCCAGTTGTCTCCTCCACCTCCTTGATTTCCTCCCCACGCTGGGTTATTATTGCCGCCCCAACCTTGAGGAGCACCACCACCACTACCACCACCACCTCCTTGCCAGGCACCACCAGCATTTGAGTTGTATCCTCCAGTGTTTCCGCCATATCCTCCTCCTCCTCCTCCTCCTGAGTTATAACCTCCTCCCATTCCAGAATTTCCATATCCACTGCCATTTGATCCTAATATCAAATATCCAAGTAATAATTATATTGTACAAAAAATCAGTAAAATTGTAAGTATTAAAATATAAAGACTTGATGGATATCTACTAACTGTAGGGCAATTTATGTTAATTTAAAAAAAAATAACAAAAGAAATTTACGTGATGAACTATTAAATGATGGACCACCATTTGGCTTCACAGAGTTGAACTGTCTCATTCTACCCATGACAGGACCTTGGCCTGTAAACAAAATGTTTACATTATTAACTTCATACTTATAAAGTGATTCATTCTTGTTAATCTACAATTTTTTTTTTATCATGAATTTGTATCATATTATATATTACAAATTAACCGGGAAAACAAAAAATAAGAAATAAGAATTTCATTAATGTCAAGTATTATTATAAATTATAGCAAAATAATTAAAGGTAAGCTCTACCAGAAATTGAACGATAAAAAAAATAAGCCAGTGACAGTATGTTGAACATCATTATTAACTAGTAGTACATTGAAGATTGTTTACTGTATCATAAAGCTTGGCTTTTTAAAAGAAAAAAAAAAAAGTCTTAAAATTAAATAAAAAAATGTATGAAAGGGCGAAATTTACAAATCGGATAACTTGAAGGAGTCAGTAAACATTTTATCAAAATAAGGCATTTTAAAATGTCTTGGTTCTTGGTCACTTTTTAACACTTAGACACCTTTAGCATGAGACTAAAAATAAATGTATATGTATTTCAAAAAAATTTTTAAATGAAATTTGGCTAAATATTATTATAACCACGTTAAAATAACTGTCAAGATCATAAGTAGAATAAGATAAAATCAGGATAAATATTACACTATAAAGTAGGTATGAGATAATTTTGTAGTTCTAATTTGATTAAGCTAACTCATTTAACAATTTACAATAATATTGAAAGTGAAATAAAGATGTATTTACTATTATGATGTCCGCCCCACTGATCATTACGTGGATTGCCACCTCCCCAGTTGTTTCTGTTACCACCGTCACCTCTACCTCCACGTCCACCTCGACCACCACGTCCACCACCAGCATTATCGCTGCGACTGATGGCTTTTTTGACATCCAATTTACCTCCAGCAACTTGATGGCTTTTGATCACTGAAAAAAGATGATAAGATTATAATACTTCCAAACACTAATGAATCAACTTGATACTTACAAACTGCTTTGTCCACAGAATCAGTGTCATCATATTCAATAAATCCAAAGCCTTTCCTCTGGCCAGAATCTTTGTCAGTGACAATTGTGACGTTGGTGATATTGCCAAATTTACCGAAATATTCATGCAAATCGTTTTCGGACTGTTCCTTAATTCCAGATACAAACATTTTTTTCACAGTAGCAGCAATGTCAGGTTTGTCTATATCCTAAAAATAATACATACAAATCTTCAATACGTTCAGATATAAAATGCAATTATATATTTCATTATTTTATTTACAATGCTAAAAAGTATTAAAAATCAGCAATTCAATCTAATATAATTATATTATATTTTCAATATATTTATATGTAATTTCTTACGTCACGAGGTACTGCACGTTTGGTTTCTACTTCACGGCCATCAATTTTATGGGGCCTGTTTGACATGGCCTGATCAACCATTGAAGATTGAGAGTAAGTGATAAAACCAAAGCCTCGAGATCTATATTACAAATAAAATATACATATCATATTTAAAAATAATAAGTAAAATTTGTTTTACCTAAATTAACACTAACCACTAACTGAATAAATTGCTTCAATACAACTCTTTAAAGATGTTTAATAGTATTAATTACCTTTTAGTTTGAGGATCCTTCATTACCACTACATCAACAATTTCACCCCATTGTTCAAAAAACTCTTTAAGCGAATCATTCGTTGTAGTGTAGTTTAGGCCACCGATAAACAGTTTTCTATATTGTTCTGGTTCCTACAAACATAATATTAAATTGATTCAATGCATTTTCCATAGCCGCACACTTAGGGCGTTTCAATTATTTAAAACTATTTTCGTTGGAAAAATTGACTTGAGCGTTACTTACGTCGGATCCCATGATGTACGATTAAGTTAATATAAATCAAGTATAATTAAGTAAGAGTAATTAACTATAACAGTATACTGTAGACGTGTTAATTTTAAATAATATAATAAATGTATACGAAATTCTTAAGTATAAATCTATAAGATGAAAATTGACTAATTAAAGACGAAGTATAAACAACCCGGAATCCGGTGACGGCTGGGCGAATACGGAATAAGTGGAATTTGGGTACAACAGGAACGCCGAACGAGAACAACAAAATGGAGGATGTTGTATGACGCGGACGCCCTCGCAGTGTAGGTAACATAAACAAATTAACAAGAGTACACAGCTTGAATTTTAATCTATGCGGGAAATTTAGAATTTAAATTATTATTGTTTTGTTTTTCATTCAAGTAATGACTAATAATTATTCGAATTTTTAATATAAAACTATAATTTATTATAATTGAAGGAGTGAGTGGATAAAGGTGTTGAGTGACATTTTTTGTAAAATAGTTTTTAGTTTGAACGAATGAAAGTGTTAGGATATACAATAATATAGGAAATGTAACACTAGAACTACTTACAAGAATATTATAAATTGTTCCATTCTAGACATTAACGCATTACATTTTTTTTTTCAGCTTAGCCGAGAGATTCAAATTTAATTATAAAATGTATATAACACAATGCTCTTAGACGACTATAGAGCTTTTTATAGCACGTGTGCACGAAAATTTATGAAAGTTTCAATGGTTCATGTAATTCGATCTTTACGTGTATCGTGTATTGAATGTGAATAATGTACACAAAAATATATAAATTCATGTAACTGACCTAGTCCCTACAGCTCTAATTTCAACAGCCCACAATTTTACTGCTATTTATAAATAAATTGAAAATGAGCATTAATATTTTTTAAATATTATAACCTTCACCAAATTTCCAAGGTTCTCAGAAATAATATTAAAGAAGGGTCATTAATATATTTATAATATAGAAGTTGTTATATTAGACTGACTATTACCTATACTATCTAACTTACGTACCCATACTAAGCAACGATAAATAAAAAATTGTATTAAAATAGTTTATCATTCTATGGTTCCATTAAATTAACTTATATAGGTCTAAAAAAAAATGCATTATCACTTTGTACATTTATTTTCTCTTTTATAATTTAAAGCTATGTTACTACTGAGGAGGACCATTGGGTAAGTCTTCAATAATTTTGTGCACATTTGAAGTGTGCTTTATCACAGCAAGTTTAATTTTGATGATCTGTTAATAATCATTTAACTTATAGCCATGGTATTATTATTATTATATAATGATATTATTATACATAGTATTAACAATTTTAAATCACAGAACATATAGTAAAAAAATTCTACAAGGTAAACAAATTGTATTTTCATTAAAATATAATATACTTATATACAACACACATTTCAAAACAACAAGAATTAGTTTATAATTTAAATACTAGTTCTTCGTCGCTTCTTGTATTCGAACTTCGTTTGCCCACGACAAAAAATATTCAATTTTTTTCAAAAGTAATCGAGCTTTTTTGGTATCAACAGTAATTGAATAACTTGCTTTAGAATCAGGAAATTTCTTATTAAAATCTCCCAGTTTTACTTTATCTAAGAACAAAATAAAACTAAGTCAATAACAAATAATAATTTTTCATTAAAGTTATAATATTAATGTGATGTATCACAGTAGGCAACAATTTAATAGCAAAAATTATTTGTAACAAAAAAAAATTATGGAAATTTACCTTTAGAATTATATTTATTATGGTTTTTGAAATCAGACAATAAACGATGTAAGTCACTTAATGCCAATTTAACATTATGATTACAGTTTGATTGCAAGCCATTGTTAAATATAGCTTCTAAATCTTCAGTAATTAAATTGAAACTTCCCTCGGAATCTTTAAACATTTCATGCTGAAACATAAGTCATCAATCATCATAATTATTGTAAAAAAAAAAAAAGACTGTAAACTAGTTTTAGTGCATTTTTATTCACTTTAACATATTATTTTGATAATATATAAAAAAAAAATTTACTTCAAGAATGCATAACTCAACAGATTTCACTGCCGTATCGTATGATTCAAAATTTTGATTGTTGAGAAGATTTAGTGATAAATTGTAAATTCCATTAATAAATTCTGACAGGTATGATTTATGTTTCCCATTATAATAGCGTATCAAAAATACATAAGAAGTAAGTATGTTTACTAAATTCCATTGAACACAATCAGATGGTGGCTTTTTCTGTAAAAAAAAAAATGATGATGATTATTATTCAACAATAATTCAATAAAATTATTCTGTTTTAAAAATATTGACCCTTAAAAAATATTACATTTTAATCGTTAGGCAAGAAAGTATGTTTCATAGTAGTCGCCAGTATATTGGTTTAGTCTGGGTTACTTATTATATTAAAAAAGTAGCATATATATAATTAAAAAAAAATCTGAGAAAATAAACATCTTTAAATAAACAACAATGGAATTAAATATTTTCAATAGTAATATTTAAAATTACAACAATGTAAACAAACCACGAGAAACACATTTCAGTAGAATCGCCTTTACATAATATACTAATAAATAACTTGTATAACTTGTCAAGGATTTATGTAATAATAATATTATTTATATTATAAATTATACATGCTTACCGATATGGAAGTAAAACTTGGAATGTTAGCAAATAACAATGGGAATTTTGTACTATCATCATCTTCACCAAGTTCCGATACTAATTTTTTTTCAATCCTATACAAACGTTTTTTAAACATAAGTAACTGGATAATGTCTAGGTGTTGTAAGACTAAACATGTGTATTATTATTTATTAACTTACGGTAAACACCACCAAGGTATGTATTGAGGTAAGACTTTAGTTATGTCACCAGATTTCACCAGATGTTCAAACTCTGCCTTTTCAGAATCTGTTAGATGATTCCAAACTAGTTCTGCATCGTCTAGGTCAATTCCATTTAACCGTTGGTTTAGATCTGTATAATCTTCATCATCAGAATCAGTTGCTGTTGAAAATGTTAAAAACCAAATAAATGAACAACGTCCTACAATGTACCTAGCTAACAATATATTTCTTAGGAATGGGATTTTAAAATGCCTCATAATCACAGAAGGTCTATTCTAGTTTAAGCGACCATTTACGCCTCTACTATGATGGCAGTTCCTAATCACATTCGCTTTTTGAGATGGGTCAAATGTTGTAGAGGAATTGATTTTACAATACATAGAATATTAAAAACAATCGATTTAATAGTTTTCTTGCAGTTCACAAGGGTAGGTCAAAATAACTCATATTTAAGATTAATGTGTGCACAACCCTTCCGTAAATTTGTAAGTAGCTATTGTACTAGCATCACTTATTTGTTTTGATCAAAAATCAAATGCTGTTGTGTTACTTAATAAAGACATCATGACTGAGGACTTTTTTGATAGCTATTAATAATTATATCCTCAATAATTTTTTAAACAAAGGTTGTTACACTTAATTTCAATAGTACTCTAAAAATAACTACCTGAATCTTCATTTTCGCCATATACTCGTTTTAGGATATCTAACATTTCTTTTTGACCCACTTGATCAGGATCTTGGATACTTAGTTCATCACCAATGCATTCTTTATAAAACTGTTCTGTACATTCCAAATGACTATTGGATTTGTAACACGATAGGGAACAATATGGTGCTCCGCACTTTGGGCATACATATCTACTCGGACTCTCCGTGCAACTGTAAGTACACAATGATCATTAGACATAATTTAAGTATACTTATAGTTAGTGGCGCAACTAGCCTTAAAATCTTGAAAGTTGGGAGGGGAAGGTGATGGCAAGGATGGGTAGGTGGATAAAAGCCTGGTGTGCCGCTGCAAGAGAAAGGTTTAATTTGAGTAACATTAGTTTCCACTAGTTGCGCTTATGAGTGTAATAAATAAGACGTATGCTTGTTAGATAAGAGGGTACATGTGAACTTTAAAAGCACTGGGCTAAGTAACAATTAAAAATTCAAGTACTAAGCAACCCATCTCAACAGAAGAAGGAAAAATTTAAGACAATACACGCTCTAAAATTCCAGTAAATCTTTACCGTGTTAAGCATACTTCTCTATTCATTGTACCTACTATGAGTATACTTTTATTGATATAAACAATAGAATGTAACGGTTGATATTATAGTATTATGTACTTATACTTACAACTTACAAACACTAGTACACTGACTCATTATAGTAACACTTAAGTATAAATAACGTATGAAAATGTAAGTTTTTTCTATGTAGCAGTAGTTAAAAAAAAAAAAAATAAGGTTTAATTTAACATGTACTTTGTTTTTAAATTTGAGGACAGACAAGTGACAACAACGAATAAATACAATACAATATTAATCGGTGGTTATTTGGTAAACACGCTTTTATTTAAACCGCATCCTTATCAGGGTGGCAGCAGCAGTATCACAGAATATTCTGTGGCAGTATCACAAATTGAGATAATAATAATTCATGGCAGTAAAAATGAAATCACGTAATAATTAAAATTCAACATTCGACAAATTACTAAAAAATACATACCTAAAAATCTTTGTGAAATCCTTTTTCAGAGTTTTCAATAAAAGCAGACAAATATTCTTAACTCTGTCACCTATAAGACATGATATTATTCAATCTAGCTCTTAAAATAGCCATTAGAGAAATTAAAACAATATAGCTTAATAGAAGAGTGCAACAATGCTTGTCATCATTGGCCAGCATTGAGCATACAGCTGCCGAACGATAGGCATTATAAACTAGTACCTACATACCATTGAAAAACTAACAACCTACCTACCTAAGTGTATTTCGTCGTAATATGGGTCTTATAATTAACGACACTAAAACAATGTATATTATGATAATGACTTGATCCGTAACGTGGTTAATACAAATCACCTCAAGATAGGATAAGAACACCTTTTGGCGAATGAAGAATGCCTAGGTACCTAGTCGATAGACATGAGTTTGGAATGTAATGTGAATTAGCTATACGCTAAGACAATACATTATACAAAAGCTTAGACAGTAATGTGATCAATCGTTTACCAAATATTGATAAGATTAAAGAATTTCAATGTCGCGGGATTCAGTAGCCCGGATAAGACTTAATACAAAATCCTCAAACACCACCATAGAATGTGCGTGTATGCGCCTACTGAAACAAATAAAATATGCTTTGAAATAGCTGGTAACTTGAAACGCTAAATGATAATTATTTTAATGAGATAACTAAAAAATATAATTAGAGAATATTATATAACCGTGTAAAAATTCTGGAAATTTGAAAGTATATATACGTTACGAATTTATAATATATTATATAGGTATAGTACTTGCCTAAATACATACACATTTCATAAATAGGATAAGACAGTTATTTAGATTACCTACCATTAATTTTCAATTACTATCCGAGGTTAGATCAATAATAATAAGTAACAACGACTAATATAGTGTATCATAGGTCATATGGTTTCTAAATGTTTATCTATATGTATATTATATACCTTGATCATTTCTGGGACATATTTTATAGGTTCAACCGAACATTTTGTGATATTTAATGGGCCTCTACTGTTTTATATAATCTAAATATTTGCGTAGGTTTTTTTTTAAAATACATATAATGTGCAATTTTACTATATTGATTAGGTATTTATAAAAAAATTGGCAAAATGTTCTAAGAGTAAACATCAGTTTTCAAAATTATTTGCTTGGTGCATATGATATTTTAGTTAGACAAATAATTATTTTTTACTTTAATTTTTATAGTTGGGTATCTACCAAGATTTCTATTTGCCTTAGTAAAAGTTTTTCTAAAAATATAATTTTAAAATATATTGGTTTAACGTCTAATAATGAATGAAATCAATAAATTACAGTGTTCATTGGCCATTTCTATTTTATCCATAATTCTGTTATGACCCAATAAAATGATAACCCTCCATTCATTAATTATAAGAAACAGTATACTTAAATTATGTTAGACTTTAACATATTTTTTTTATCTCGCAAAATGAACAGACTAATAAAAACTGTTGATAATTCTCTAATAGTCAATTATAGCTAGTGTGGTATTTGTTTTAACCACAGAATACATATCTTTACGCAGCTTATTGATTTTAATTTCTGCTTATTGATTTTTTTTCTAGTATATATTTCTTAAACAATTAGTAGCTAATACAGATTTAACTTTCATGATAATAAGTAGTATTGTCGTTTCATTTATGATGATTGCCGGTTGCTGTTTAATTGTTGTGTTATCTGTTATTTATATTGTAATTTACAGCTCAGTGCCGAAAAGAAAATAACAGATTTTAAAGGCAAGGCTTTTCAGGTCGTCAACCAGCGTCAATCAGGGAAAAAATAAATTTCAAGATCAGCACTAGCAATGTTCGCACATTACTACTTACTATTAGGTGGCGAACTAGTAGAAGTAAAGAAGAAATTGAGAAAATCCGAGTTTGACATCTTAGTAGCAAATGGAACTAATCAAAAAGACAAAAGAAGACTTTACATCTGAGAATTAAAAATAATATATTAATAGTGGAAAAATAAATTTGGTTAAAAATATGGAGTAGCTATAATGTAATAGAGGTGAGTGAAAACGTTCAGTACAAAGTACACACTATGTCTGATGTCAACAGTAAACTTTTGGATATTATTATACTACCAGACTATTTTTCTATACACAGTAGTACGGAAGAAGAAATAAAATCCATGTATGTGCAATTCGATTAAGCACCTCTGAAAACCATCACTAATGGTTATTATTATGATTAATGGCAGACTTTAATATGCCAGTTTAGCAATAAGACTAATTAAAGAGATAGGAAAACTTGGACTAGGTTGCATGAACGAGAGATGAAAGAAATTATTCGACTCTGCAAGCAAAACGAAATTATTATAACAAACACTCTATTTGAAACCCAACTATATAGGCAACTTTTCACTAAAACTTAATATTTATCCTAAAATTTGTAAACAAATATATTACACAGGAAAGATGGGTCTATTTTTATATTTTCCTTCTTTTTTTTCTATTATTTTTTAACTTATGTAATCCATAAAGACTAGTTTTGAACAAAATAGACCCTTGTCATTTCCATCATCCTGTGTTCCCTCATAATCTATTCTGTGGTTGTAGTATCGACTACTTTTTCTTATCACTTGTTTTTATTTTTTTTTTTTTGTAAACATTTTTTTTTAAAACTAGTGACTAGTCTATTGTAATTAACTCTTGTTATACCTATACATTCATTGCGTATAATGATCAAATTATTGATGGCTACTAATTTATCAAAAAGGTGCGTTCTAAAATGAAACGTAATAAAATATAAACAGGAAAATCCTTTAAATAATTTACACTTATATAATAACCTAAATATTTACATACGTAAATAATTTGATGAATAAATGTTAATATTTTATCTCAAATTAATTGTAAATAAGATAATTTTTTTATTAAAAAAAACCAAAACCTTACAATGATGTAAGGTACAATAACAATGTACAATAATGTATGTATATATATATATATATATATATATATATATATGCGTGTGCATGGGTATTATTTATGCCCTTCGTTATTGACGTCTCTTCTAAGAAGATAAACATATTATATTTTATTTAATATTTCAGTAAGTATATCATTATTTACTTAAAAGTGAATATACATATCATATTACATAATATGTCTATGAGTCTATAGCCGTTTAATTAATTAAAACATGTGTCCTAATTTTCTACATTTTGTGTAAATTAAAAAATTTACCTCATACCTTTACAATGCTTGTGTATTTAGCATTGTATAATAAACTATTAAGTAAAGGTTTAAAAATAATACGTACATCAAATGGTTATTCTAAAAACGACATAACAATAAGAAATTTGCTATTTAGACAAATTATAATAATTACATTATGTCACTAATATTAATTTTTTTTTTCTGATTGGGTTTTTGCAAGTACCATATTTATCTCAACGATTATATTACGGCGAGGTAAACAATAAAAATAAGTATGAACATTTTGACATACACTAAAACCAATAAAAGCTGATGCTTCCGTGTTCCACAAAACTCTTATCAGTACTAAATAGGATACAATTAATTGGTTTGTTATTGGTTTTAAGACCGCAGTAGTCACTAGTCAGTAGTCCCCGTTATTTACTGATGTATGTAACGCAGGTTACCTGTATTTCTGTTTATAGTTCAGCTATTCCAGATAAAAATTGCGTAGCGTGTACTAGACTCTTGTATATTATATAATATTTCTATATTATTTATGAGTTCGTCCACTTATTCTAACGTCTTGCCCGATAATAATATCATATTAGATTCCGCGAAATGAAAAAAAATGACCAAAATTAAACCTTGTCAAGCCATTCAAGGGCATGGACTCCCGGGGTTTGATTTTGCAGATTGTTTTGATTTTCTTTTATGTAATACACGACGGCATAGGCAATTTCTGCCGTGTATTTTAATACCTTACCTTAGTTATGTAAGTTGTAACAAAGATTACAATCAATAATAATGTTTTAGTTTCTATAGAAAGTATACAAATACAACACAACATCATCGCTATTATAACCAATAAACCAAACAATAATTAAGTAACAACACAAAATAAACGCACCAATTACATTACCGAAGAAAATATGTGCAGTATTAATTTGAAGAGATGATAATATTATAAGTTACTTGTAAGTAGTCTTAGAAGAAAAGCTGAATTTAATAGTTTGATAATAATTATTAGAAAGGGAAATATAATTAATCTCATAATCAATACCAAGAGCTAGCATTGGTCGACCGTCTTTATGGAATATGGATATTTTTTTTTAAATTAATCAAAGTTAGAACAATGTTTTTGATTAGGTATTTTACTTACAATAAAAACGTGCAAGATTCTAAACGATGTATATGTGATCATAATACATCAAACACAATGACGTATAACGGCATTTGTAATCATGCCAAAAATATGATTAGTATATTATTTAGTACCCATTCATTAATTATTAGCCATTTTATATTAGCCTTTATTTGTACGTTTTAACTGGTTTACATATTTAATTGAATTGTCTACTGTAATCTATGATGTTTTATGTACCTAAATGTAATAGTAAGAGTTAGGTGAACACTTATCTCTAATATAAATATAAAATAATATTATATTAATTTTATTATGAATATTAGATAAATTAATACAGTTTTATGACATGGCATTATGGATTATTCGGCAGAAGGAAAGTGTGAAAAATAAAATTCTAGAAAATGTAAATTATTAACACTCTAAATTACAGTTATAGCTAAATAATGATTTAAAGAAATAGGTGGTATAGCTGTTAATCCATATTCCACAGTGAACATAAATAATTTACTGTTTTCACATCTAATAATTGACTATTGTACGTTAATTAAATAAACCGATAATGCTGAATATAATAATTGTATTTGTGTTATAGGTACAAGGTTAGACTTACCTGTATAATTCTTAATTTCCAGTACCAACTGACTATACTGTTATATTTTATTAATTATTCATAGAACGTGAAATGTACGATTTATTTTCCTTTTCAATAAAAATTGTCTTAATATAGAATTGTTTGTATAAAAACGGGTTCAACACTTGTTGCTTTTATCGCAATAGGTATATTTGCCATATGACATATGAAAGGTATGTTTATGGGTAGGGACGACATTTGTTCAACAAGATATAATGATATGTAACCCATAGGCCATACCTACTTAATAACTCTTAATAAAAAGCCACACATGCATTTTATCATATTTATCCAATTCCATTGAGGTAGGTAAACCTTTATCGTTTGAATTCATATATACCGATAAATGCTATCAGCTGGGATATGTGTTAATACATTTATTTGAGCAACTGATATTAACTTTAAAAGACGTGCGTTACATTTTAGTTCTAGATTTTCATTTTTTAAATTTAGGGAATTTTATTTTATGTTTAAATTATAAGTTAATAAAATGAGGACAATAATGTTGAAAAGTCATCCTAAGGTAAGTGTATAATGTATAATAATACATGGAAAACGTCTTAATTCTTGAACTTGAATTTTTTTTTATCTTACAAAGCTAATTTTACTAACAACTAACAATGATATTTAAATAATATAATTTATGCTACAATGTCAAACCTAACTGGATGCATAATGGCATGTTTTCACTTTCAATATAATATTTACCACCTAAATATTTTTTTCTAGATGATAGAAAGAAAATGTACATTAAAAATAATTGTTATAAAATGTAGAATGTGGGACGACCTACGATAAATTTGTTTCATAAAATAATATAGTTTACTACCCGCTATAATAGTGGATTATAAATCTTTGTGCATTTTTACGAATACATAAACATGTAATATATGTTTATAGACTTAGGTGAGAATTATATTAATCATCATGTTACTATTGTACAACGAGGTATCTACTGGACTTACATTTTAATCTTATACTATTAATAATTCAATTTTCAAGAAGTAAATAACATTACCTATTCAAATTTTTTTTAAAAAAAAAAATTCAAAAATTCGACTAGATTCATTTTGCGAGCAGCGAAGTTCATAACTAACGGTCCAGTTTAAACCGATGTGTTTCATAAGTTTTCACAACTGTTTCACTTTTACGTTACAGCTGTTAAAGAATAGTAATATATTTAAACACTATTTAATTTTTATAAATAGATGTACATGAGCATTTATGTTTTAATATATACCTATTAATTTCAATATACACGTGTACAATTAAGTTGGAACTTGAAAAAATTATTTTTTTTACGCTAAAACGACAGTCTTTGTTTTGTATAAACATTAAACTTCCAATAAACTTTTTTGTGTCAAGAACCAATTTGTACAGTCCATGCTAATAAGGGTTCGTAAGATGATGACTTAAAAACTCTTTAGAAATGACAAAATAATTATGAAAATAATGCAAATGAAGCTTGAAAAGAAAAACAAAATACCTAGAAGTGGTTAAATAACGAAAAAAAAATTTGAATCATCCCAAAAAATTATAAAAACCTTTTTAACATTTTATTAAAAAAAAAAATAGAATTCCTATGCACGTAAACAAGCACCTACTGATTTTTCTACATTGTAAAAAATAAAAATTAACATGCAAAAACTACAGTTGATAAGAAAATACAAAAGATGATTCTGATTAACAAGTTACGACTAGTTCTCAGAATGTGTGTGAAAGAATAGATGATAATTATTTTAAGAAACCATAAACATAATTATTTATGTAATACATACAACTATATTATCTATTGTCTCTAAAAAATGAATGGCATGCATAATTTGACAGTATTTTACAGTTTCGAATTATTAGCTCTACCTATAACAATGTGTTTTTCGTTTCCAGACATTTTGACTTATGTTTACAGACGGTCGACCAAAAATATAATGCGGTTGGTACTTATTAGGTAATAGAAAAGAATCCAAAATAAAAATTAAGACAAATTTACCCACTATATATTAAAGATATTATAAGCTTAAATTTGTATTTTTTATAAGCCATAATTTTTTAAAACATGTATCCAAAAATAACCTTTAATTAAAAATAATAATTTTCATCCTGGATTAGTATCATTATTGACAGTTTTAGGATTTGAAGGATAAAAACGAAACATAAGATGAATATAAACTAATACCAACAATTATTTATTCATTTTCGTTTATCTAAAATATGCAAATCAACATTTTTCGCACAGCCGATCTGCTCTATTCATAGATCGACATGACTGGCTGAACCATTTATTTGCATTTACAATATAGATAATTTTATACTTATAATAGTATTAAATACGGATGGACTCCACGATTGAGTGATATACAATGTCGAAATTTATAGGTAAAATAAAAAAAAAAATGCTCAGTTTAAATATCGTTTAACCTAAACATTTTATGCAAACTGATGATGCGTATTTTTTGTCACCATCCGATTTGCGGTTCATCTATACATTATTTATTAAAGGGAATAAGTTTCGAACCCTCTTCAGAAATGCGCACAACGTTTCTGTATACTTAATTCTTTTCAAGGTTCAATTTCGCCAAGGAAGAGAAGGTGTTTGACAACTTTATAAAGTTCTCACATCCATAATATTTAATGTATGGAGCGTAAACAAATTTGAATAAAATTAATCGCTTTAAAAAATAAATGTATGTAATAGAAATTTTGAAATATTGTCGTCAACATAATTCGTAGATGCCATAAAATGTTATATAATACATGCTTCCTGGTTATCGTTATGTTTCATTAAAACCACATCAATTTTTAATATTAGTGTTACAGATAAATTAAAACTTAAACATAGCACCTACGTTCATATTTACCTTTGTATTTCTTTTAAAACGTCAAATGACGCTGGTTATTATTTTTCTTTTTGAATCGGAGCTGTCGATAAGGACGTATGCTATAGGAATAATGACATCATAGCTATAGCCTTTATCTATAGTTACTTTACTTGAATGGCTAAAGTTCATTCGAGCAATATATGTAGGTTATTGGTTTTATCACAATGGTTTCTTTCAAAAATTCCCTGCTACTAGTGTAGCCTAACTACTATTGTCTATTTTGTATTTTGAATGTAAATTCCTTCGTCGTATACTAATTATTCTCTAAACTAACTAATAAGTATAACAATGATTAATGAGTGTATTCTCTTGGTACCTTACGTTTATACTCTAACACTAACTGTAAACGATCAGTAAAAAAAAACAGTTGAGACGCCAACTGTAGAAAGGGGACAAGTCAACAGCTAAATATTGTCTATCCTAAAAATTGTTAAAAAAATGGACTTGTTCCCTCCGTTTTTTTAGTTAGCGGTTCAATTATTTTTAAGCAAAATAAAATTGACTAGGAAAAAGCCTGGTGACTGAAAAAAGAGTGAAAACGTGCAGAATTATTATAACTGAAAGTGATAACTTTAAAATTAACGCTTTGGTGTGAATCTGTTTGTGGTAGAAATACAAATATTGATAAAATCATTGTAATGACAATATTGTGCTAAAAATTGTATTTGTAGTATTAGCAGTGTCATCCTGATACCTATAAGGCACCAGAATACATTCTTGCAAAAGGGCCGGAACGTGGGAGATGGGCGATGGCTTAATTTTAAGTTGGAAATATGTAAAATTGTTTGGGTGTTTTTCTCGATTTTAAACAGGAAGGAGTAAACTTTTTAAATTTTCGCCCAATAAAGTACCTTTTAGGTATGCTTTCTAATGTTTAATGTTGCTAAATGCTACATGAAAACATCGGTTCAGTGGTATAGAAGATATCGTGGTTTTGAAGCTAAAAATATTACTTTAAATACCTATAACAATTTCTTTGCTCTATATTAAATCTAAATAGTAAAATTATTTTCAGAACGGTTGTAACTATAATGTAACATGGATACTACTAAGTCTAACAGGTATGGGACTATTTTAACATCCTATACTTGAAGCAATAAATTTACATAATTATTGAAAATAGTAAAAAAAATGAAAATGTACATTTTCTGATACTACAATGTACAAATTTGACATGAAATTACTAAGTAGAAAAAACTAATCTTTTATAATAAAACGGTGTTATGCACGTTAATGGTCGGCTATCTATTATTATAATACCTAAGAATATATATTTTCAGGTTGGCATTTTTATGTCGGGACTGAAAGCAATAACTGGAAGAAGTAATTTAAATGTAAGAAAAAATCACAGTTCCCAAGGATACGGACCGTTGACGATTTTGAGTGAAGATGAGCAGTTTTTCAAAGAAACAGGTCAGAACGACTAATGGTTAAAAATATGAACACTGTAGTTTAACCATCGACGTTATATTAACTAACATTTTCTGAAAACTCCACCTAATCTTAAACGATTAGATACTATTATTACAGCGTTTACATTATTCGTAAAATAAGACAAATCGTGAATAAAATATTTAGTATAAACGAATTGTACAATATATTTACAGTTAGAAAGTTTTCTCAGGATCAAATTGGACCGTTGGTAAAAAAAATGGATTTAGAACATAAAATTGACGACGACCTAGTGAAAAAATTATTTGAAAATGGAGTGAGTTCAACCGTAAAATAAATTTGTTTTATTCGACGTTTTTTAAGTACGTTTTGAAAAATATATTTTAGTTCATGGCTATTGAAATAGATCAAGATTACGGAGGATCTGGGTCATCGTTTATGTCTAGCACGTTAACTGTTGAAGAAATAGCAAAAGTTGACCCATCAGTTTCAGTATTAGTTGACCTGCAAAATACTTTGGGCAACAATGTCATGATAAAAACCGGCAATAAACAACAACAAGAAAAATACCTTCCTCGTTTAGCTCAAGACACTGTATGTTTGAAATTTGATTTATTATTCAAATATAATTACAAGATAAATATTATACATATTTTAGTATATTAACTGAAAATGATTGAACCTTTAGCCAAAGGTAAATTTTTCATAAAACTATGATAAGTGCACAGTCTGTTGTGCAACACAAGTTGTTTTTAAAGACATCTGCATACGATAGGTTATCTTAATAAATAAGCATTGTTAATTAGAATTGTGTTTGAAATAATCAGATCTACTCAAACGGCTCCATACAAAACCACATAACATATAATAAATATTGAACTTAGTTTTGTTGCTTTTGAATTGTCAATCGGTTTATTAGGGTATCTTCAACAACGAGAATACAACATAATACCAACCATTTTTGTTCTTAATTTGTTGATGATATATTTAATTTATAAATGACTTACCAGTTACTTAAATAAACACAGATAATTTAACGCCGTTTATTATAGTTACCACGAGGGAAATGTTTGATGTCCAATGAGGTTTTTTCTAATTATTTATTTTTTATTGTAATTACTTAATAAATTGTTTTTTATTTTAGGTTAGTAGTTTTTGTTTATCTGAACCATCATCGGGTTCTGATGCGTTTGCTTTAAAAACAACTGCAAAAAAAGATGGTGATCATTATTACATAAACGGAACGAAAATGTGGATTTCCAATTCAGACATCGCAGGAATTTTTTATGTTTTTGCTAATGCTGATCCTTCAAAGGTTTGATCAATATGATACATACTTGTTGAACAACAACAAAAAAAAAAAAGTCTATGTAATCTTAATGGTGTTGATGCTATTTTCAGGGTCATAGGGGCGTATCATGTTTTCTCGTAGAAAGAGATCAGGAAGGGTTTACTGTTGCCAAAAAAGAAGATAAATTAGGAATGAAAGCTTCTGGTACCTGTGTACTTCATTTTGATAATGTTAAAGTGAGCATTATATCTACAAGCTATTACAATGTATTATTTTCTAAAATAATTTTAGTTAAATATACCTGACAATATTTTTTAGGTTCACAAAGATAATGTGATTGGAAAACTAGGGGATGGATACAAAATAGCAATGACCTTCCTGAACGAAGGTCGAATCGGTATAGGGGCTCAAATGGTTGGGATTGCGCAAGGATGTATAGATCAGACAATTCCTTATACGTTGGAACGAAAACAATTTGGATCTAGCATTTTCGATTTCCAGGTAAATTAAAACCGTGTATCAGCAAATTCTTAACAGTAAAATTTCATTATTGGCAAATTAAAATGTTCTAGTCTATGCAACATCAAATTGCTCGTGCAGTGACAGAAGTAGAAGCGGCAAGATTACTAGTTTATAACACAGCTAGATTAGTTGATGCCGGATTACCGTTTGTCAAAGAAGCAGCACAGGCCAAATACTTTGCATCGGGTTAGTTTTGTTTTTGTAAATAATGGTAAAATGTAAACGGGTACTTACATTTTTAAATTTACTTGAATCCAATTATATGCTTTTTCAAAACTGTGTTCTTACAAAAAATACCATTTTGCTATGTTTGTTGTAATTTTTGAATCAACTAAATAACAGTTTTATTTTTCCTCTAGAAGTTGCAGGTAAAGTAACTTCAGAGTGCATTAATTGGATGGGCGGTGTTGGATTTACCACAGATTTTCCTCAAGAAAAATTCTACAGAGATTGTAAAGTCGGACCGATCTATGAAGGAACGACCAACATACAACTAAATACCATTGCGAAATATATTAAAAAAGAATACGAACAATAGCATGTTTTAAACAAAATTATATTATTTATTTCATACAGTATACGTACACATGTAATTTTTTCCAAGTTGAATTTAATTCAAAGTATTGAAACATAGAATTATTAAATGTATGTGTATATATATATAAATTCATTAAATAATTCTATGTTTCAATTATATATATATATATATAAGTATTTATAAATTTATTTATATATACAATAAATTATAAATGATTTCACAGCCATTATGTTTATACTAATTGTTATTATACCTATTATTAATTTACGGTTATTATTGTTAATTTTGAAAAGATAAACATTCAAATTTTGTTATAAATTCTAGTTCTTCATCGTCATACACTGGTTCTCTACCACGTTCCCAATAAATATTGTTTGATTCCTCTAGTTTATCTTTGGGAAAATAGTGTAACGACATATCATTAAATATATCTTCATAAACAAAATGTTTACTTAATTGCTTTTCTTTAGCAAACGGAGCTATTTTTAATACATAATGTGCATACTTATCTAAAATCCTATCTGGTGTTGATGTCACTGTGAGGTCTATGCTGTTGCATAAAACCACAGAATTAATCAAAACATCTTTATTCCAATTCGCCCAGAGCAAATTATTTAATAGCTGTTTGGGACAATGAGGCATGTAAACAAATGTTCCTGGCAATAAACGTCGCTTGCCTTCTTCGTTTTCACTTATTAAATCACAGCCAATTTCTGCTAAATGGACTTGTTCGGCATCAGTAAATTTAGGATCGTAAACTAGGCAGTTATCAACATTGAACTCCTTTTTAATTACCAAAAGTAATGCTAATTGATATCGAGATTGTAAACTATCCATGAAATTACCCAAGCCATAACATAAAATCAAGGACAGATTTGAACCGTCCAATATTTCTGTCAATGATGTCGATAAATTAGTCCAAAAGTCAGAGATGGCTATTGTAGTTACACAATCTTCTATACTCCTTAAAAATAAATAGTATATATTTAATAAAATGTATTAAATTTAGTTCATTTCAATATATATGATTGGAAAAAAAAAAAAACATACTTTCCTCATATATTTAAATAGCCAAATTAATTATTAATAATATGATAATATATGCTCCGTACATTTAAGTTGTAGCTATACAAAAAATGTATAAAAACTTACAATACAACCTACAACTAAAATATGATATTAAGTTTCTTATTTATAATGTTTTATGTACTTACTTTTTATGGTACTGAGACCTAGAAGAATAGAGTTTTCGATTTTTCTTTGGCATTGTACTTAATTAATTTCATAAGACATTTGGGATTTAGATTCAAAAGAAGTAAGTATTAGGGTATTGCTAAAATTGTCCGATTTCAATTTTCAAAGTTGCAATTGTATGTTATCAATATAGATAACATGCGGCATGCCATAATCATAAATTTTCACAATAGATAACACAATTAATCATTTACAGTCTGACCACATATAATATATTTAATTCAATCGGGTACATATCAAAGTAATGACTTCCGGTGAATAATTACCAAAAACTTTCTAAAATTTATATAAATTAATATTATTGGTAATTACTACAAGTATAATATCAAAAGTTTATAATGTTTTTTTTTTTACAAGTGTTTTACACTTGTTGTTATACCTTTATAGTTTTGGAGCAGAGTCAATTAGATTAACATCTGCAATATGAATCATCAAAACACGGCGACTCAAGCATGGCCATAAATCATAATAATAATAATTTAACTACACAACGAGCATTGTAAAAATACTATTTTCAAAGACATAATTTTGAAATTTTATAACTTTTAATAAATGAGCACGTGGAAAAAATTAGCTACTCGACAGCTGTCCTATGTACTTAATAATTTTATTAAGATGATGTGGCAAACGGTTTAATGTAAAATATTATACATATGTTTTTTTTTATACTGTGACGATTCACAAATAATTTACCTATATCAAGGAAAACCTATTACGGCTGACTGTCGCAGAATATAACGTAGTAAATACTTCGCCATACCAGCCTGCACGTCAAGTGTAATCTCTAAACGAAATCATAGCCGTACCTATTGACCACGGGATAGCCGATTTAATCTATTCGGCGGTACATTGATCACGATAGAATCCAAAGTTTATTCAGAAACGGTCTCTCCAGACTCTATCTGCAAACATAATATGGACTGTGGTAATATGAATCGATTTGTCATGAAAACGTAAAAACGCCGAATTCCAGTTGAATTTCTAAGGGTGTGTGCAGAAAATACATACATATAATTACATAATATTGTGGCTATTGCATTGCCCTTCCTTTTCACGGGCAACGGCAATACGGATCCGTTTGTAGATGTCGTTGCGGTCAAATTGACCTTTTCCCCGACGACAACTCCCTTCATTGATCCCACTTGGCTGCATTTGTTTCACGTGTTTGCGAAACGGGTAATTCGACCAAAAGTAGGAGCGGTTTTGCCGTTTTCCCGTGGGCGGTGGCTTCACCATGTAGGTAGAAGATCGGCTACCGTCCGACGGTGGTCTGGGATTATCGTCGTACTAATTTTTTTTTAAAATTTTTTTTCCAAAAATTTTCCACCTACGTCGAAACCGGGGACAATGAAAATTGTAATATGGTGACGTCACACGCGAGTGACGACAAAATAATGTAAACCGGAGAGGACACTCGATGTAAAAAATAATTTTCCGGACGGATGCCGCCCATCTTCTCGTTGCCCTAAAAAGTGATATCCGTACACACAATAATATTATTATTACTAATGTATGTGTATACAACATATCGTTGTATAGAAACAACGATGAATGAGAGAAGATGGCCGCCACGATTTTACAGAGTGATATCCACCGCGTTTAAAAAAATGTCGAGAGTGTCCACCCCCTGATAAAAAAAACTGTACACATACATACATGTAAACGTACAAATAAAGACTTTGGTACTATATATTATTATCGTCTTTTGATCGTTTCAAGTTTTTCCTAGTCGGTCCACGCACACACACACACTGTTCATTTCCAAATTCCAACTATATAGCGACCGCTATCACACGGCTGTTGTTGTTTAACGTGGCAAACACTGCTATAGCTACCACGTTATCAGTTATCATTCATATATTATTATTATAGCACTGCACAAGGGAAAACGAACGCGCGATTCCCGTCCGCCGCCGCCGCCGCCTCTCTCTCTTTTCGTCCGTCCGAGCGATTGAGTGTGCTGTGTGCGTGCGCCTAACCTACTTCGTTTTCGCCACCGAATCACACACGCTTTTCTTTTCAGCGGTATAGTAATATTGGCCGAAAAGGAACGAAAAAAATATGACTACCAACGGAGAGGAAACCACCTCGGATCGCAACGTGGAAATATGGAAAATCAAAAAACTCATCAAGAGTTTGGAAATGGCCCGAGGGTGAGTCCGGGGCACAATACCCAATAATATTGTTATTATTTTTGACCAAACCAAAGTTAGTTTTCCCGCACCCGTGTAAAATGCACGTTTTAACAAATAGTCGGGGCTTTTAAGCTCTGTACTTCTACTTCACTGTTTACTGGCAGGTATATTATATAAATTGTAAAATAACATCCCGTTTATTCCATTTCGCCAATGGTACCTGGTATCCGTTTTGATAACAAACGCCACTGTAAGAACATACTTAACATATTTTCTTCTTGAAACGTACAATAGTAGCAATAAAAATAACCATACCGATGCCTGGTTAAAACTTAATAAAATAAATCGATATACAAATCAATACGTCAATATTTTAGTAAAAATGATAAAAAAAAAAAAACCCATAAAATATATATATTTTTTTTTTCAAATTGAATCTATAATAATTACCTCCATCCTGTAATTGTTAATTATTCTGTACTTACAATAAGTATTTAATTGTACATTTTGTGTTTTTACTAAATAATCAATACAAATTTCTTATCGGTCATATCCTCATTTTGATATCTGACCTGAACATGGGTGTGCAATGAATACTAATTGCATTTAAACTTCAGATTTGTATTACACGTGGAATGTAATATTTTATACCATGTCATATCTTGATACTAATATCTTTTAAATACAATAATGTAATACTTGTAGTTTGACTGTTTGTCGTTCAAATTGCAAACGTTTTATTAGTAAACTAATTTTGTTGTTATTTTTAATGTTGTGTTTAGTATTTACTGTACAACGTCAACAGAATAATTATTGATTCAAATTTTCTTGATAATTTTCAAAAATACATACTTAGTATAATTTAAGCTATTAATTTTTTATAATTTTTAGTAATTAAAACTTGTAAAACAGGAATTTTATTTATTTACAAAAACTACAACTTATAACTTGATATTTGTTTAGAAATGGAACAAGTATGATCTCTTTAATTATACCACCTAAAGATCAGATCTCTAGAGTTAGTAAAATGTTGGCCGATGAATATGGTACTGCATCCAATATTAAGTCACGTGTCAACAGATTGTCTGTATTAGGTGCTATTACTTCAGTACAACAAAGACTAAAATTATATACTAAGGGTAAGATGTGTTTATACAAGTATTGAACAGATTTTTTTAATAATAAAAAAACATTTTTTTTTTTACATATAGTTCCACCAAATGGATTAGTAGTTTATTGTGGAACCATTGTGACTGAAGAAGGCAAAGAAAAAAAAGTTAATATCGACTTTGAGCCATTCAAGCCTATCAATACTTCTTTATACCTTTGTGATAATAAAGTGAGAATTTTAGTTTTAGAATTTTTTCTAGTTACAGTTGTAATTGAAATTGTTTGAAATGTACTTTACACCGTTAATTTTTTTGTTGTAGTTCCATACTGAAGCATTGACAGCCCTTTTAGCCGATGATAATAAATTTGGCTTTATCGTCATGGATGGTAATGGTGCGTTGTTTGGTACACTTCAAGGAAACACTAGAGAGGTATTGTAAAAAAAAATATATTACAATCAATTTGTTACTATAAACATGTTTATTTTTGATGTTTTAGGTTTTACATAAATTTACAGTCGACTTACCTAAAAAACACGGTAGAGGAGGTCAGTCTGCGTTGCGTTTTGCCCGTTTACGTATGGAAAAGCGACACAACTATGTACGTAAAGTAGCAGAAGTTGCGACTCAGTTATTTATTACCAACGACAAACCTAATGCAGCTGGTTTAATATTGGCTGGTAGTGCAGACTTCAAAACCGAGCTTAGTCAATCCGACATGTTTGACCCAGTACGTTTACTTTAAAAACTAAACGTGTATCGTATACTTGTAAAACTAATATATTTACCTGTCTTATTATTATTATTATTATTATAATAGCGGTTGCAAGCTAAAATCATCAAGTTAGTCGATGTTTCTTATGGAGGCGAAAATGGTTTTAATCAAGCTATTGAATTAGCCGCCGAATCGTTACAAAACGTCAAATTTATTCAAGAAAAAAAATTAATTGGTAACCAAATTGGTTTTTAGTATTTTTCATTTGTACATTTTTTTTTTATTTTAACATTATCGTGTAACGGTTTGTTTTTTATTATTTCCTCCGTACGTTTTGTGGTTATGCTAACAAACATTGATTTTTCTAGGACGCTATTTCGACGAAATCAGTCAAGACACTGGTAAATATTGTTTTGGAGTAGACGATACGTTAAAAGCTCTTGAACTAGGATCTGTAGAAACGCTAATATGTTGGGAGAATTTGGATATTCAAAGATACGTTCTGAAAAATCATACGACAGCAGAGGAAAAAATATTGCATTTGACACCCGAACAAGAAAAAGACAAATCCCATTTTACAGAAAAAGATGTATGTCTTATAAACCAAAGTCACTCGGTATCATCATTTTGCTGATGTCGGCTATTATTTTAAGATGACTCGCTTATGACTCACTGTGTGTTTTTATTCAACAGACTGGGGTAGAACTGGAGTTGGTAGAATGTCAGCCACTTTTAGAATGGCTGGCGAATAATTACAAGATGTTTGGTGCCACATTAGAAATTATTACTGATAAATCCCAAGAAGGTTCACAGTTTGTGAGAGGATTTGGTGGTATAGGAGGTTAGTATTATTTTACTTGACTTTTATTACATTTTATTAACAGTATATTTTTTATAATTGAAATTAATGTCTTCTTCGACTTATCCCATATGAAATTTAATCCACAAGTTTATTTCTCTATGTTTCGTCAACTGATTTCCTTGACTCCAAATATTTCCCATTTGTCTTTCAAAATTTGGTTTTGTCTAATTTTTTGATTCCGTTCTTATGTCCCATCTTTTCCCTACACTTTTTTCTGCACTAAAATCTTTTTATTTCATAACAAAGGTTTCAACATTTGGTATAATCCTTTCGTTTAAAATTACTTAAATGTTTGTTTATGTTTAGTAAATCTAGAGAATTAAAATTTAAACGGATCTAACTTTATATTAACAGGCATTCTCCGCTACAAGGTTGACTTTCAGTCCTTGCAAGCGGATGAGCCATTGGATGATGTGAATCTTGATGATTACTAAACTAATTTACTAATCCAAGGTAGCTTTGTTCACGATTAAAGCGGTTTTTAGTGTGTGACTTAACAGCATGAGTTCATTTTTATGGAAATTATTTGTTTGTGCACGAAAACTATTATTGTTGATTTGTTTTCACTGTTTTAACTATTTTTATTTGCTAGTCGTTAATTTTATGATCAATGCTTGGTTTGAATTTCAAAAAGTTCAAAAATCACGGTCAAGTTTCCATTATTAAATAGAATAAACATAATGCCGCTAGTAAAAAATGACAGGGTTAAACATATAGTTTTTTTTTTTGATCTGATGTATTGCAATTTGATGTATTAAATTAAAAAGAAAAATTTGGTTTACCCAAATCCCGTTATAAATATGTATATACATATTAATGAGGTTATTTTTTAATTAAGTAATATAGAGTAGTTATATAATAATGTTAATAAAAATGTATGATTTTTGCTTACTCGAATTACTATAAGTTTTAAATTCGATTTACATACTTAAAAAGATGTAATCTGATGTAAGCACAAACATTTCGCAATATATTATATTTTAAATACTGAGTATTATTACACGAGTAGGTACTGACAAAAATACTACAATGTATCAATTAAAGTTTGTTCGGAAAATTATAATTTAACACTATCGTACTTAATTTGAATTAAGTTTTGGTTTTTAGCTTCGATACAAAACTGAGAAGATATTAGTTTGCTAAAAGAGAGTTATAACTTATTACGTTAATAATAGATTATGTATGACATATTAGTTGTGTATGTAAAGTAAATTTTACTTGAAATACAATTTTTTTTATTTTATAGCAACGCCATAGGTTCATGCATGTAGATTGACAATTTTTTTATGTAAACATTGCATTTTATAGTCTGTTGTTTAATAATGTTGATTGTAGATGTTTTCCATAGTCTTAGTGATATTTGTGCAATTATTATAAGTTATTGAAAATTCTTAACGTTCGTTTCAGGTTTATTACGCTACAAAGTCGATTTCCAAAGTATGCAGTGCGACGATTTGGACCCGAACGAACTGTACGATATTGACGACTATTAGGCGTTTTAAATTTAGGACACCCATTACATCATCTGGGTAACTACAAATAGGTATAATATGATTCATCATAATCATAAGCATGTTAAAAATCAAGATATGTATTAAAAACAAATTCCTTAACTCTTAAGTTGTTCGAAAGATAACGGAATTAAAATAAAACAATAATTACTCACCTGTGAATTGTAATCGTATTTTATTAAAATAATAATAATATAATGTATTACATTTTTTTTTTTTAAATAATACAATTTTAAGTGTTCTAAAGATAAAATTTGTTCACAATCACAGTAGGGGAGGTGTTACAGTGATATAATATATCAGCGCAGCAATATGAAAAATGGAACACTTGTTCTTAGAACTTCTGTGCATTTCAGAATAAATAAAAAACATATATTACGTTTACTCTATAAATGAGAGAAAAATACCATTTTTTTTTTTATAACCATACAATTTTATATCAATCTATATATATATATATATTAATTGTACTACCATTTGTAGAAAATTTCCTCCTAAGTCTGAAATAAAGTATCTTTTGTTTGGTCATCATTTGAAACCTCGTCTATTGCATTCTTATACTTTTTGGCTCTATTGATTTAAATTAAAAACAATATTTCTATACGATTAAAACGTCTTAACTATAAATGTTTTGTGTAGATATATTTTTAAATATTTTATTAAATTACCGTATAGTTAAGATTAAAAATAATTATATTTTTCTTTATTACGCTTTATAAATCTATTCTTTAGTTAAGAACTGTGTATTTAACTAAAAACTATCAATTAAATATAATTATAGTACGTAGTTATTACTTTGGCATATTTTAATTTGTTTAAATTGCTCAAGTGCTGCATAATATTATGTCGTTTTAATAAAAAAAATTAGATAATCTTTAAAAACGATTAAGTGTAAATTAAATTTTGTGGGCCAATGGAAATGTATTTTTATTTTGTTTTTTTTTTACGGCCATCTTTTCTATATCGAGAGTATTTACAATTGGTGTGTACACCAAAAACAAAACACCACTCGCCGACTAACCTTGTGGTTACAAATTAAAGTACAATTTAGAGTGAACCTTGTACAATACTGTAGTATGCAAGTATTTCAAATAAAATAATGTTTATAATTTTTAAAATATGATTTTTTTTGTGGGAATCTCCTTAGATAAAAAATACTATTTTCTTTAGCGTCATTAATATTTTTCAAAGTTTTAAAAATCGTAGAACATAAAAGTTTTGCAAGTTTAAATAAAAAAAATATACTTTATACTTATGTTTTAGTTTTTTCATGTGTATAGACAAAATTGTATAATACAAAAAAAAAAAATAAAGTTACAAGATTTCTAGAATGAATAAATTATTATTAGAAAATGATAAATAGCTGTTGTTGTTTTGTAAATAATTTTTTGTTGACGGGCGACGTTGCCGCAGAGCTGTACTATACGATATTAATACAATGGCGGCTCGATGTTTATGGAACACCGACATTTTTGAGTTGCAGTGCGTAAGTTTTAAAATAAAAACTTCAACCCAAATTACCGTTCTTCTCTGTCCATGGAAAAATGATGTAATATGATAAATATTATAGTTCAAAACGGAAATATCAATATACAATGACACAATCAATATTTCCCGTAGGAGGAGTTGGGATGATAAATACAATTAATTCGTTCCGGAAAGAAGTTTGCCGGAGACATTTTTTTTTAAATGTGTAAAACGATGTTTTAGTTATTATAATAACTACGAATTCTTGAAACACGATGTATGTGTATTAATTATTAAGACTACTGTTGAAATTCAAAGTATTAATATAGAAATATTATTAAGGGATCTGGAAATGAATAAAAGTTGACGTAATAAATTATAAATTGGCATTATATTACACAAAAAAAAAATTAACACAAAAGTACATTGTGTTCCACGTAAGGCCGAATCTTACACAATATTAAATAATCAGTGATCTCTTAACATTTGTAATCTATGATCAAGATCCATTTCTTCTTCAACTTCGAAACTGTTGTCCGGTACTTCTGGTAGATCTGTAATATCAAAATCAATATTAAAAAGAAATTTACACAAAGTCGTCTAGATGGCACACAGAGGATACGCATGATATGCTTATAGATATTTTTTTTTCTAATATTCCGCAACGTCTTAAAGCTAACAAACGTTGGTGACGTCAGTGTATAGCTTGGCCCGGATGGACTCAAACCGGTGCTCTCGCTACTGAAGCTCGACACAGACAGCGGGAATATTTGTATTAAACACATATAATATACATTATACATACCAGGAACAACACGCTTGTGTTCCGTTTGTGGTACAGTCGATTCGTCGGCGCCTAATAGATTGGCTAATTCATCCTCGAGTTCATTATCATTTTGTTTGTCGTCGACTATGTGCCGACCAAGTGCTGACTGTATGTCTTTATGTTCTTCAATTGCCTGCAAACGATAATTATGTTGTTCGTAAATTAAATAGGTCCAACTAAATTAAATGTTTAAGTAAAGTGGTGTTCAGTCAAATATGACACATTGTTGTACCTCTGCTAATTCTGCCATGGTTTCGTCGACATTGTCAATTGTTAAACCAGTATCTTTGGCTGTGAGTTTTAACGCGGCAAGTCCATTTCCATACGATTTTAATACCTGAAAGTTATATGGTATGGAGAGACTTATCATTATTCTAAATAAGTAGAACCATAATTTATGGGTAATAATGATCGAATTGATTACTTCAGAATTGTATTTCGATTCTTCTATTCTTGAAATCATGGCTTGTACATTATCGAGTGAATGTAGTTGCTTTTCTATTCGTCGTTCAATTTCTTTTTTTTTGCGTAACGATGATAGTGCCTGTACGTTTATAAATTGACTATTATTTATACTAAGGAATTATAAAAAAAATTTCAAAAAACAAGTATTAATCGATTCACTTACAATAGATTTCATATTTTTAGCAAGATACATTTTCGCTTCTTTGACAAGAGAATCTTTATCGTTGTCTAAATTGCTAATTTCACCGATTAAAATTTTTTCGGCTTCTTTCAATTTGAAAAAGTTTTTTTCTAATTCCGTAATAGGTTCAACATTCTTACCGAATCCGGGAATTTTTACCAGAGTTTTATTAGCTACTAGATGTTCTCCTCGCTCTACATAAGCTTTGTTACGGATTTCTAATGAATGTACTATTAACTCTGTGTTTCCCATTGAAATGTTAGTGTTCCACAATTGGCAAAGACGTTTTTGTATGTCGTCCATAAATAAAATTTGAGATTTCTCAGTTACTGCCAATACACTAAATAGTTCATTTGCTTGATTCTATAAAAAATTATCACATGTGTTCATTAAGTATAATATGATAGTAAAAAAAATTATAATTCCACGGCATTATGACAAAAATTATTGGCAGTCTTGGACGCAACGTCATAAAATATAATTTCTATTTGCTCTTGAAAAATGTTTTTGCCATAACATCACAGGATTATACTAGTAAACCAATATTTAAAACATTGAAGCTAAATATAATTTTTTTTTACCTCGACCAGCTGTAAACTAACATACTCGATGTTATCGTCAACAGGTCTTGTTGGTGAAATGATAGACTGTTTCACCAAACCGACAGACCATGATAGTGGGTTTTTAACCAACGTGTTAACAGCCCAATTCGACCAGGTGCTGTTGTTTTGATTTTGTATTTGTTCAAATTCAGACTTGGATTTAATTGTATTTTCCCTATTGTAAAGAAAAACAGAAATCAACACATGAGAATTAATTAGTTTCAAACAATGAATTGTTATCCCACACTATTAGTAAGTACTACGAACTACGTATAGTCAATTTTGTTTTCATATCTTTAATGTAAAATATCCAGAAGAAATTTACTAACTACTTTCATACACACACTGCACTATATTAGATTTCCAAAAAAATACATAATATAATATATAAGTACATTTTATTTCATAAGTACGTGCAAATCCAGACCACTATCTCTGACTCCCGGACTTTATTTAAAAAAAAATACCAATATAAACAGATTAGATAGAATATAAAGTAAGAATTTCAATGCTAAATAAGAAAAATGAATTAACTATTACAGTACTTATGTTTTTACCTAAACATATCTTCCAGAACATTCAGTAAGCATACTGGTGATCGTCCTTTGTAAACAAACCATGTTTTCAAATCATTTATAGAAAACGAACATCGATGTCGCCGATTGCTTTCAGTTAATATAGCGTCTTTCCAAAATCGCATCTTATTGTCGTAATTTACTTCATTTACTTCTCTATTTTTAAAAGGGGACATCAAAACAGTAAGACGCTCGTCCGAAAGACCTTCGTTCCATTTATCTGGATTATTCGATGACATGTTGACTGATGACAAAAAAAAAACAATTATTGAAAAAATAAATGAGCCGTTGTTAATTAATATAAATTATAGAACAAAAATCGTAGAACACGACTTTTGTGAAAAAATTTAATTCACTGAGTAAGAAATAATAATACCTAATAGCTGGAAGAAATTACCAAACAAATCGTAGAAAATTAAACACAGTTAAAAATTGTTTTTATCATTACTGTAAATAATATAAAATTAAGCATATATTTCTGTATTTAAAATGGTATTTCACTTGTTTATTATTCAGATTTTGGAATTAATTTAGTAGGTAACAGTCGTTCACTGTTCAGATATTGCGTACTGCACTATTACCTACAATAATTTAAAAGTTGAAATAACCATGTAATGTTTACTTTGTGGTTACTTGTACCGCGGTATTGGAAATATTATCACATCTGTTATCACATTTACAGCTTGAAACTTCTACAGAAGGTGTGGTGATAAGAAGTGATAAGAAATAAGAATCTTAAACTGCAACGTCTAGACGTTTTCGGTTTAAGTATTTTTGTTGTTCGCATATTCGGTGTATTGCCAATTTTATTGTAGTCATTTGTCAAATCTTGGCCAAGTAGTTGGTGATTTATTATTACAACAGCAAGAACGTTTACGGCTGTCGCCTGTCGACCATTCGCAACCGATGGACGTCGTTTCGAGTATGGCTGGTAAGTGTTAATTCATAATATCGTTGTGTTTTGATAACTTATAACATCAGCTTAGTCTTAAGTTTTATTACATTTTTCATAATGTATTTCAATTTAATCGGATGAATAACGTATGAACTTTGTACGGCAAGATTAAAAGTAAAATAATAGCAATAAAAACTATGAAGCTTCTTTAATTATTATTTTGACGCTCTTGAACAACATTGAGGTTCAATGAAGAGAAATCGGTTAATACAGCTATTCTTATAATATAACGGAAAGAAACGTAGGTAAATTAAACTTTATACTAGTTTTTTCTAGTACCTTATCAGTGAAGGAATATTATGCAAAGGCTTGCGTTTTAAGTCATAACATAAATCGTATGTATTATTTAGATTTTTTGAAAAAATTGTGTGAAATATTTCAACTCTACCATTAAATTAAGGGAAATTAGTTATTATTAACACTACTATTTATTGATATAGTGTTATGTTAACTGATCAGTGATCAAATAAAATAACCGTTCACCTAGGTGACTGTTTTACTTTTATAAATGGCTAAAAATCTATTGCTTTATGCCAATTTTGTCGTGTAAAATAATTATTGTTTTAGATTTTGTTAGTCCTCATTCAAGTATTAATAATGGTAAGTAAAAAATCCTAATTTTTTTATAAAACTTAATCATTTTTAAGTTATTATCCAGGTATAACCCGTCCAGTTCATCTAGACACCTAGCGACCGTTACGGTACCCCTGATTTATTCGGACTAATGACGTCACGGGTGTTCAGATGAACTGGACGGGTTATAATTTACATTTTATGTTCTTAATGGTTAACTTTTAAAATATGGCTTAACAATTTTTAAGCATTTGTTAAAATTAGGTACATGATAAACGTATAAATAATTTTGGTTTTTCTTTTCCCCTCTTTCTTTCTATGTTTATTTTCATTACCATTCTTACTGTTTCCGTTTACTCTCTCCTCATAACATGCCCAAACCCTCTCTGTCTATCTTCCCTCATTTTATCCGCTTTCGAAGTCACACCTATGCTTCCTCTTACGTAATTGTTTCTTATCTCATCTTATCTCTCGTCACACCATTCGTTCACCTAAGCATTCTCATTTCCGCTATACTCATTCTCTATTCTATTTTACTATCTACCACCCAATAGAGTTGGGTACTTTCGAAACCATACAACATAGCTAACTAGTCTCACAATACTCTTGTAAAACTTACCTTTAAGTATCATTGAAATTTTCTTGTCATACTGAACACCCGACGCTTCTTTCCACTTGATCCAACCACACATAACCTTATGTTTCACGTCCTCATTATCAAAGCCATCGTTATTTTGTACAAAAGATCCTAAATACTTAGAACTTTCAACCGCTCCTACTATGTCGCCGCTTGTTGTCAATACTCGCCTTGGTTCGTCAATCTCTTCATCGTATTCCTCCAAATTTGTACTCTTTACCTTCTGTTTTACTTCTACTATTCCTTAGCCCCTTTCCTTCAATTGCTGTTCTCCACTTTTCAAGCTCAGTAACGGAAATCAGAGGGGTAGGGGGGTTGGGATTCTAAAAACTTTGAAAACTTAAAATTAGTGCTACATTACATAGTTTTGGAAATGGGTTTACTGGTTGAGAATATATTCGGATTCAATGAATCTGTTTTTTTTTTTTTAATCTAGATTTGGAAATTTTTAGGGATTTATGTCATTATTATTTTTTTTTTTTATAAAATTGAACATGTAACTCTGTGGCCTTTAGACAATAAACGCATTCATATGTCAAGCATTTAGAGTAGATAATACAAACTTAACTTTTATGACTTTTAGTCACACTAATCTACTAAATTAAAAATAAATATTATGCAAATCCGATAAGACAGTATGAAAGTATTTTATTATTTGTAAGATACAACCTACGGATACTCATAAAATATTAAATTAATAGTAAATATTATTTACAATTCATAACACGTTAATGACTATTGACTATTAGGTACATGAGTTATTATAATACCTAAGCCATAACTGCACACGCTTATCTAACAATAATTTTTCTCGATGTATTTAAAAACCAATTAAAGAAAAAATGGGTCAATATTATACTGGAATATATTATGCTTGAAGAATTTTGATGATCTATGCCATATTTGTTTCGGTCGTTTGCGGTATTGCGTTAATTTTCTACAACTACCAATGTAATTTAGTATACCGGATACTAGGCAAATAGTTCAGATAATATAAGTAAAATAAACCCAACCTATTACCTAATTATATCTATTATACTATATAAACCTGAGCAAATGTAAATTTAAATAATATACAAGTAATAAATAGTATTCTTTAATCCGAGTCTATATTATGTTACTGTATTATGCGGCTGGGGAAAAAATATAAAGCTCATTTAATGTTGTATTTTAATGTCAATAAATTAACGAATACTTACTCGAATAGTCTTAACGGTTTGTTTCATCAATCATGACGTATACCGTTGCGGTATGACGTCAACAAAACCTTAAGTACTCTCTTACTTGTCCGTCAGTCGATTTTGTGTTAAGAGAGCGCCACACCACCCTGTGTTTTGGTCGCAAAACTCGTTGTTTGGGACATGGTTCGTAAAGGTTATTATTATTAGTTTTTTCATTTGTTTATTAAAAGTTTGTGAGTATTGATATTAAAAAAAAAAAAAAAATCCAGTACTAAAGTATTGGTATAGTGGGGATGGAGCATATTGGGGCAGGAGAGGGTACAGGTGTGAATCAATTATTACAACTGAACTCTTTAAATTTTAGGCCCAATAAAGTACGATTTCTGTTCTGTTCAGCAGTTTAGAAAATATCGAGGTTCCAGGCAAAAATAAAAAAAAAAACTACAACACAGATAAAGTATTGTCTTCTACATAATATGTACAGTGAACAAAATTGATAATTTTACTGTGAATATTGACCGCATAAGTCAGTCTCTCGCAAAGTAGTGTTGATATGGTGAAAAACAATTGTAATGTATCCCCTACAGAAACGACTGTGATAGTTGGCGAAAAAGAAATGAAAATCGATAAAGAATCCTCATTGGCGTGTACACTAAGTATACGCTGTAGAGTTCAAGTTCTAAGTTGAGATTTTGGTTTGAAAATTTCCAATACTTTACTGCTTGGAAATGGGCGGATTGGCGTGCTCACTATAAGACTTGCAATAGGCACGTTGTAAATAATATTGTCGGTTGAATAGTAGTCCGAGGTAACCGCAGTGTTGCGGATGTCGGGTATTTTTTTATTAACAGTCATTGGCAATAATACTCAGAAGCGATGCATTGGCAGACGGCAGGAGGCCCGGGTCGTGCCGGATTCCTAAAGGGCTGCCAAATAATTGCCGTAGGATTAATATAATACTTGTCTAAACCCTAAAACCGTGTAAACTTAAGACTGTCTTGGGATGTAGGTACGTGCGGGGCCAGCGTCGTCTGGAGTCGGCAGCTGTTGTCTGACGATGGTAAATTGTTTACTATAGGATATTGTTATTAATTATATATGTCCGTAATAACGTTGATAATGTAACGCGCGTTTATACAATAATAACAATAATAATATACAAGTGAACTCGACACGGTGTAAAAGATCTCGTCGTACGCGCAGCAACGTTGTCAGTGGAACGATTAAGATGAAATTCCGGTCGGCCGTTGCTCGCTTGATGACAAGCTGATGACGTCATCGTTGTTGCTGTCTTTAGTTTTCACTTAAAAGTGACCTATAGTTTAGTGATTTGTGTTGTGCACTTGTATAGTTATTATTATTTCTATGCAATATCACCAAAGGGGTGTTATTTTTTTAATTACCTAAGTTCAGAAAAACAGTCCTTTTTCAAATACTTAGTTTTTTTTAAAAAAATTTTAGTGGAAATTACCCGAGAAAACGGCTTTTTTTGGTTTTTTTTTTTTGGGTAGGGCATTTTAATGCCAAACCTGTGTTTAATGGGCGATTGGGTTTTACTGATTTTTTCTTTTAACACATACTGTTTGATATTATGTTATGGATCTATTGTACTTAAGCTATGTTAAAATTTAAATGTTGCAATGATTTTGCTTATAAAATTATAATATTTAATATGGTATACCTTGAAGGCCCAAAGCTGCCGCCATCACGAGATGATGGTTTCTAGACAAATTCGCCGTCCATGCATTTTATACATTTCTTCTTCCTAAGTAATCAACCCTTAAGGTCGGTTATACAGCATTCTTCCATACCGATACTCCCTCCACTCTTCTCTGTTACTGGCCATTCTTCTCTCTTCATGCTGTTGACTTGGAATAATAATGTGGTGGTATCCTTACACATCGCAGTTGACGAGCCAGTACTTGAAATATGTCCAAACTGCCTTCGTCAAATCCTCCCATTGCCACTACATTAGTTTTGCTGCAAAACTCGCCAATGGTCGGTAGTAGCGGTTACTGCTGCCCCCCGCTACTACCTCCTTTTAATCGCCTTTTACGATAAGCAGGTGTTACTGTGGGTCTTTTCTAATCCCCGACCCCACAGGGGCCTTTTATACATTTGTTAACGCGAAATCATACTTTTTTCGTTAACTTTAATATCATATTCTTAAAAAAAAGTATGTTTTTTTTTAAATGTATAAAAATGTAATAATTATAGATTGCCGCCACGTTTTTTTGTTGATAAGTATATCTACCGTGTTAAATTTTGAGTGTTTGAATGCTTTGATAGGTGTTTGATATTGCGATAATATAAATAAATTCGACGATTCAAGACGTTTAGTCCTAGCAAGCAGTTGCAGATATTGATTATTATCATTTGAAATTTGTCTAGTGGTCGAAACTACGTCACTGACGGGTTTCTTATTACCGTATTAATTTTTAGTCTTATAATTTTAGGAGTTATGAACTTGGTTTCGCGCGTTTCGAATAGGTCGTTAAACTCTCTGGTGTATTTATTATTATTATTAACACTACTGTTTCGTACCTATCCAAAACGATTCGACGAAGGCGAGACTTTACACAATAAAGTTACGGTCGATTTCACTAAATTACTTTTAACGTATTCAACCCGTTCTCGTTGAGTGTTGGTGTAAGTTACCAAAGTAAGTTATAACTCGACTATCCAGTTCAAGACTGCAACAACGCAAAAAAAATGAAAAATCATTTAATTACATCATAGTTTTCCTTTTATTTATGCTTGTGTGCAACACGTATGTTAAGCGCTCATATTAAAGTCTTGTCGAAGAAAAATGTCTAAATTGACTAGGATTCGATTTACTGTATAATGTATACAGATGATTCAGGCTTTTTAATAAGAAAAACAAAATACTTTACCAACCCCTCTCGTTCACTCAATAACTAGCGTGAGTATATCATTATCGAAAAAAAGTAAGCTTAAAGGTTTTTCTATTTGTATCCCCGTGATATGCACCAACGTTAGGATGTGGGGTTGTCGGTTGAGGAAGATTTGTCTATACTCTATGCCATAACTAATAGCAAAAGTCTTTTTGAAGGAGGGGGCATAAAGATGGTGTTTGGTACTGGACTTCATTTGGCTGTAGGCTCGACTTAGGTTCTCGTGTCACAGGGTAGTAATGGGGAAATCATCTAAAAATTTTCGACGATAACAAAGCATTCAGCAGTAAACTAAGAATGTTTCTTGTACATTATAAAAAAATGAGTTAAGCGTATTGGAATTGCGACGTGAATAGTAGAATAATGAAGATTATATGTTTTGATACGATTAAGGAAATGTGTAAAGTTTGATTTATTGATCTCGTTCAAGGCTTCTTCTCAGGTTGTGTGCTGGGGGGTTCGCGTGCAGAGGTGTGATTTCGAAAATGTAATTGACTTATATCGCTTTTTTAAGATACTTGTTAAAAGGAAATTTAAATCTTCAATAGTATAGTTTAACCGCGCAATGGCAGTTAAGTAGCCGATTTATTTTTCGAGTATAAACTATGTTGAACTAATTACTTATCAATATATTATAGCTGTACTTCTATTTTCTTAATCTTGGATGTCAGTAATAAAGAGGTCAGTGGTAAATTACTTTGTATTTATAACTTTTGGCGGTACTTCTGGTCTATTATTACAGTTTTATCCTGACAAGATTTTTTTATAAAACAATTTTTTTATTTTAGATGTCATCTTTTCAATTCCTTGATCAGAAAATTCCTATTTTGCTTGCTATTTTTAGGCATGTTTTGCAACATGTGCATGTTCCATGCATTGTGGGAAACTGTATTTTCGGTAGATTGGACCGAATTTCTATTTGTAACTATAAGGTATTATGTTTTTATCTGCAGAACAATCTGAGAAGGCGCAAGGGGTGAATATGTGTATTTTCAAAAAATATAATCAAATTGTGAAGGTATTATATTAAATTACTTTTGTACACTTATTAACCAATTTTAACACACGATTGTGGGATATTGAATATAATTTTTTTTTTTGAACTTGTAGAAAAGCTAGAGTCCCCCCTCTCCCCATGTGGGAATTGTTTTGAAATGTTTCCCTGGACTACCACCATAATGACATTATGTAGTTTTCTTGTCGTATTGGGGCCAGAAAAAAAAACCAATTACGTCAAAATTATTAATACTATGACTAAACACGAGCAGTTCATACGGTTGCATAGGTCATAGGTGTTATTTAGTAGTTACTGTTTACGTTAATTGCACGTCGTGCGAGAAAGTGTGTATTTTTTACACTTGGCCAGAGTGCGAGTTGAATACTACGTTTACATTTTGACCAATTCGGTTTTCTTGATTATTATTATTGTATATCCTGCGACGTCACCGGTTGTAGTTTCGTACCTACGTTATAATTATTAGGTATTATCATAATTATTACGTTCTAGACGTTTATTTCAAAAACCGGATTTGACGACCAGAATGCCACCAAGGACAGTGTATTATTGTAGATTTAATTTCGGTATTAAAATTGAAACAGTAAGTACCTACAGCCGCCTTTTGATAGGGGGCAAATGAGGGCTACGTCACTACCGCGTAATTACTTATTTTACACGTATGTGTATGCATACTAGAATTTCAGGACTTGTTTGTACCGGATTTGTCAGTGCGGACATTATTTTGCACGAGCAGAATTTGCTTCGGTACTTAAACGACGTAGCTAATTTGAATAACCACGTAAAAAAATTAAAAAAAACCAAAGCGTTAAAATGAGGGTCTATACATGAACCGTTCACCTACACTGTGTCTAGGCTTTTTAAGGTTAATTGTCTATGAACGGCATAGACAATTTTGACTGAAGTTCACATTGGTAATTTGGTAACTTTGGGTTGGCATAGAAAAGCTAAGCCCAAAAAAGCACGGGCTGTTTTTCAGGTAAAATCCTACTTAACTTTAAAAAAATATATAAGTACTTTGAAAAAGACTGTTTTTTTGTAATTACAGGTAGTTAAAAAAAAAAACATCTCTTCGGTAAAATTGCATAAAAATAATAAGTATTATACAAGTACACAACATAAATCATCAAAACTATAGGTCACTTAAGTAAAATTATAAACGATTGAAATCTATTTAAAAAAAAAACAATGTTGGGTTTTGAATGGGGTTTTTCCGATTAAACCGTCGAGGTAGTATAAAACCCATCGGGTTTCCGGGTCTATTGTGGTTTTATTATGAAAAACCCCTAATTACCCGAGTGGGTTGGGTTTTTTCTAACTCTGATTTAAATACATAAACCAATAAATTACAATAAACGGGTTTTCCACAAGTGAAATATAGCTCAAATTCTAAATTTTTTTGTTTATCTTTATTGAATATTCATCGACATATACTACGAATAGATTGGTTAAGTATTAAATTTTGAAAAAAAAATAACCCGGTTACCGAATGCTAATAGCTGTTATCAATAAATTATCTTTTCCAATGGCTTTTAACACAATTAACGATGCATTCGTAACACAAATATTATATAAATATTTATTAACGCGTTTTTTTTTTTGTTGCCATTTTAATCAATTTTTGCATGACGTATTTGTGAACAAAAGTCAAGATAAAATCATTTTTATATTCAAAATCTGCGTTATTTTCTATTGGATAATAAGCTCGAAATATCGTTAAACAATTTCTATAATAATATGCTTCACGTGAGTTTGAAATAACGTTCGATTGATTATACTCTGCTAGTCTCTTTATCATTTAACCTTCATCACATGTTCTCGTGAAGGTTATTATTAATTTTGTTCGCTTATAAATTCTAGTATTTTTGTCCACGGTGTAGGAACGACACATGTTTGCACATACCAACTACTTTGGGGTCGAGTTTACCAAAGATTTACATTCCACTCCTGCCAGTCAACTTCTTCTTAAGTTCTATACGCTCTCAACGTTAACAACATGCAACCAGTAGTTGGTTAATAATAATTTCTATGTAGGCTAATATCATAATCTATTGCTAAATAAAAAAAAAAAAATGCATAGATGTTCAAACTAGATATTAGTCAATATTCTAAGACATAATAATATATTAGTTTCTAAAAATACAGTTAAATCATATATATATATATGTATATATTAATAGTTTCTTTGAAAGTGATTTAATATTACTGACGTATGATAATTAATACATTTTTAATGAAATCAACTATGTGTGTTATCGGTACAGGTCGAAAAACTTATTAGGCTATAATATACAATTTGGCTCAAGGTAGTAGTTTATTTTGAATGTTGTTAAAGGCTTGTCAAAATATTGAATTTCCAAAACAATAATTTCGATGATTATTAGGTTTTAGCAACATGAAAAAAAAAAAAAATTTTTGATTGCATCGGATTTTTTCGCCGATTCCGCTTCGGGTCTTAAGTATAAATGTTATTTATGCGATGCAATTTTGTATTACATTAGCCGGCGCTTAATTAGGTTAAAAGAAATTTTTACATTTTTGAAAAAATAGTCTTAAAAACGTTGTTGTTGTTTACAAAATAACGCAAAGAAATAAAATAAAACTGATGTCCCGATTAAATTTGAGTTGCTTACCGCTGCATATAATATCGATTACGATATTGCATAGTATCGATTTCTAGTTGACACAAAATTGCTAACGATAGTTACTTGTGCTCGGTTATTTAAAGGAGTTTGCAAACTTGTACTGGCCATAACTAGTTGACCAAGTCTGTGGCGACGTAGGATCAAGTGCTTCAAGAGGTTTGCCGGATTGCCAGTGTTTATCGTTTGTGTGGTGATTTTGTTCGCTGAAAAATTGCAATTGTATTTGACAGTTGAATAGTTTCAGTAAGTTTTCTGAAGTTTTATTAAGTTATTTGACAATATTCATATTTTAATGGCGCTTGTATTATGTACTTAATAAAAAATTATATTAAATACTTCATACGGCGCATCATACTTAGGTTTAAGGACTTTAGGATAAATATAAATGCATATAATATAATATTCGAATACTGTATTTTTTTGTTTTCGTAGCAATATTCATTTTGCGAGTTAATAATATTTTTAATTTGTTTACTGACCGAATACCAGTTTAAAAATATACTCTTCTGTGACATAACAATAATAAGTAACTGTGTAGAAAATACACGAAATGTATTTTAGTTGCAATTTGTACTTACAAATGTTGATAGTTAGGTTTCCTATGAATACGTGATGAATGCCATTTTATAATTAGCATTTCCGTTTCACTATACATTCGTATAAGTGGCAGGTTTATGAATTTATTAAGAATCACTCGTGGAATACATCAATGCATTGCTTGTAATATTGTTCAAAATTGATGTTCAATCTTCAGAAAATTTGTATTGTAAAACAAAACAGTGACACACGTTTGGAAAACCACTGTTATTACGTGCTCAACATATTATTGTTATTAGTCTCACTTTTGTCATTTAAATTACACATTACCTAGTATTGAATACGAGGATATCATCTTAATCAGATTGGCTTCACTCATAAATGACACATTTATAATGTTTATTTAAAATATATAATAAGTTAATACTCAAATTAAATAATAATAATTATATTAAGTGTAAGAAGATTATCTTCAATGCAAGAATGCACTACAACGATGAGTTATTATTAAGGTCGAGTAACACCTGTCCTTGTTTGAATGTAGTGATAGATATCTATAGCAGCTATAGTTCTTAAAAAATAACGATTTTTTTTTTCTTGTTAAGTAAATTTTGTAAACAATTTACACACATTCTAATAAGAGCTTTTTTAAAAGTTTATTTTTAACTTTAATATTTTTATTACCGCCAAACAAGTTTAAAAAAGTTTAAATGGATTTTGAAATAGTGATCGCCCGACTTCAGTACTTGTCAACTCATTATTATTGTACTCTATATTATGCTTTACAGAGATTTGTATACTATTTTTTTTTATTCTGGTAGGAGAACTTGGCTATGAACTTGTTTTTTTTTTTTATCTTTTAACACGTTTTTTTTACGTTTACATTAATTCCACGGTGTTATTGTAATAAATAAAAATTAAGGTATAATGATGCATTATTTAATATTTAAATTCAATTGCTTATTTATTTAAATTTAAATTGCGCTATAAGTGTATTATTATTTAATTTTAATACGTACAACAAATATTATGTAAACGTTATATTAACTGTTAAATGACATTTTTAATAAATCGATAATTATAAATAACTATAAGCAAAATTATAATATAATACCTGGAGTACCTTTCCAATTGGAGCTTATTCACAGTACATTCAGGTTGTAGACTAAAAATTTGGGAAATCATGTTGATAGATAAGGTCAAAGATGTTAATGTGATTTTTTTTATTAACTTTTCACTTCTTTAAGTAATTATTGAATATATTATTTTCGCTTTATTGAATAGTCGGTATAAAAAATTGGACTACAATTGCAATAGAGATATATATTTTGATTTGATAAAAAATAAATAAACTATTATCCCACAGGTTTGATTCAATTTAAAAGAAATATTGATATACTTTCCGGTTCCAGGAAAAATCAGTTAATCTCTTGGTGTTATCTTGTCATTGACTACTATTTTATTATAGTACAAAGTTCATAGTCCTAATACTGACACGAAGAAGGTCACTGTCACTGTTTTATTAAATTTCAGGTTTATTTTCTTTCAACGTGTCGAACGTGTACGATTGTTTTAGCAGTCGTGAATAAAATCACAATTTTTTTTTCTTATAACGAGCATGGCTAATAATTTATAATAACTAGTAATGTTATCTAGACAATTGATACGGAAATATTTTGATACTCGAGTGTTATTATTTTTTTAAGTAATTGCGACCGTGATATAATATAATTAATTTAATACCCACAATAATTGTTTTGTTTTTAATATAAAGTTCAAGGCCAAACAATGTGTCTAAAAATAAAATGGGTCAGTAAATAACAACAAATTCTACTTTCGTTTAGACGTTTGGAAAAAAAACGTTTGAAAATTTTTTTTTTTTCGTTTCCAAGTAGTACACACGATACATTGAGGTCAGCAGACATTCTTAACAACACCTATAACTCTTCTGACCAATAAACACTGTCCGACTTGCGCGGTCGACGACAGGATTTTTTAAAATCAATATTATCAATATATTTTGTTAGTTATTAAATACAAAACTTAATATATCTTTGTCTTGTTGATAAAAAAAAAAACATCTCTTAAGAGGACGCCACTCCGCCCATTTTTAAGAAGTAAAGTATAGGCAATTTTTTGCAAAATCTTAATTTAAAGTTCAAACTCTGATGTGTAATAATTAGTTCAGTAATTAGGTCTCTTTTTTGGTAGTTGATTTATTTTTCTGTGTATCACAGCATCTTTGATAGCGATTTAAAAAAAAAACCCATCTAAACAGAGCTACGCATACTATTTTCTATTATCGAGTAAATAATAATCGTAGACAATTTTTTTTTAGATATATTTTAAAATAATGAGCACTTTATCACATTCACAATTTATATTTTTATTCAGACTTTTTTCTCCCCTTTTTTTGGTACTTGTATTTAGGGTAAAATTTAAATTTAAAAAGAAAACCGACCAGAGAACCTAGTTAAAGTTCTTTTCTTTTTGACCATTCCGTTTTGACCTACACATTTTTCCATCAACACTTTTTAACGATTATTTTTAAAGGGTAGACGTCCTCTTAGTAAAAAAGTAGGATTTCCCCTACATGAACAAGAAATGTCAAGTCTCCTTTTCTAGACTCCGTGTGTTATTGTTGTCGTGTATTATTATTTTGCAATAATACACGTCTGGCGTGTCCGTGAATGCTCGCGCTCGCCCTTAAGGCAATGAGCGCACCTAAATTTTTTTTTAACTTTTTTATTTTCATCCAACAATAACGTCTTGTATTAATTTTGCATAATATTTTCTCCCGTAAATTCCTATAGCCATTTGCATAACAGACTAATATACTTTTTTTTTTTTCAAGTGTGCATATTACACACACACACACACACAAGTTCCCTCTCCTCGTCGTCGCCCAAGAGTATTGTGTGTGTGTGTGTGTGTGTGTTATTGACATGCTCAAATCACACGTATTAGACGTATGTATACATACACATTACACATGCACACACACACACACACACACATGATATTTAAGTTTAGTACCTATACTGATATAAGAAGCGCGCGACCCGCAGCAGTCGTCTGATACCAGTCGGCCCGTTAAGACGCACGTGGTTTCATTGCACGGCTCGGTTTTCTTATAATGTGTCGCGCGCTCGTCCGTTGTGTGTAAATCCGTGTTAACCTCTTTTTTTTTTTTTTGAAAGATTGTTTTGTCATTTGCCTTTGTGTGTGTCCGTACAGGAGTAGATCTACACCACCGCCGCAACGATGGGCCCTTATACGTGTAAGGAGTGTTCGGCGTTACAAGTGATGGAACAGAGTTATACCACTGTGATAGCCAACGCACTGTCCAATGGCTTGTCGATGCGAAAAAGTCATTTCAACGGCAAAGTTCCGCGTAAGTAATCGCATAACAATAATAACATTATCGTCGTCTCATCAAACTATCACACAGTCATAACATTTTGATTACCACCCCTCCCCCTCCCCTGTTTATTTGCATGTGTCCCCCGTGTAGGGTTTTTTCCCCCCATCTCGGATGCCCGGTAAACGTGTTGATTTATGCTTTTGTAAGTAAGTAGTATAATATATTATACAGGAGGTACCGCTTAAGTATTCGTCGTAAAGTTACCGATTAAATAACATTAAACACGGCCTATTGCTGCACATTGTATGTATATATAATATACGTTTTATAATACAAAGCTTGTACAGAACGCATTTAAAACATCCATTATAATATATATCACTAACGTAAAGTGCATTAATTAGTACATTTCATTCGACGTTCACATGATCGATATAGGTCTGTTTAACCTTTAAGACTACATAATATCATGACCTTAGTTTTTTATACGTTTCAGTTGTTTATGTAATAGGTAACGCTAAACGTTTTTTTACATTTTTTTATTAATAATTGTTATTTTAAAAACGATTTTATAACGTTTTAAAGTTATTTTATATTTTTATAATAATTATAATTTATCGAGTCTGTTGTATTGTTATTGTTATTACTTATTAGCTAACCAGTTGTATAAAATTAATTTTCAAAATTTAATTATATCGGTTAATTAATAAATAATGTTAATAAAACAATAAAAATAATCAATTAATAGTTACAATTTGACTTTGAAAGTATCCAATTAATTTTATACAACCGGTTAGCTAATAGGTAATAGTAACAATACAACAATGAAAAGAAAACGTTTGTTTTACTTTGAAGATTTTAAAAGAAAGTAACCGACATTTGTTTAAACAATATCATTGATATTATGTTTGTTGATTATTTTCGGTAATTGGTAAACAAATATGTGAACGTTGCCATTGTTATAAATTATGGTTGTAAGTGCAGTGTGTCATTTGGTTGGGTGTTCGAGATGAACATTAGGAATGTTACCTACCTATTTGCGTTTTTCTTTATTAAACCGTAATAAAAAAAAAACTTTCTGCGTTATTGACCAGGACAAGGTAAATAATTACCAAGAGAAAGTTATTACCACTTTGGGTCTTTTAAACAACAAGTTCCGATTAATTGACGGCGTGTTTGGAATGCTTTAATAGTAGGTATATTGCCTACAGGACGTGATACTCCTTAGAAATTCTCAAAATTAAATATATATATATATGTATTTTACAAGTTATTCGTCTTAACCGTGTGCGTTGAATGTAATTGGGTTGTATTATGTGTTTGGATCACCGTATAAATGTTAATGTATTTATTGTTTGTTGAACTGCTTGTGTGGTTAGGTTGTGTCGGCTATAATATGTGAATTTATAATTAATGCATAACGATATTACGAAACCCAAAACCGGATACATAAAGATGGCGTGACGTTTAGTCAATTTGAAAGCGATCGGAAATCGAAACAGGAAACGTTTGTACTTGTTGTAATACTTGTAGTTTGAGAACCGCACAAGAATGTGAAGGAGAAAAACAATCCCACAAAACATATTTAATATCCATTTTTTTTTGTTTTTTGATTTGGTGTTGCTTGCGCTTATTAATTTTTTTTATGCATTCCCCAACGCGTGTCTTGTATTCGAAGCCATTACTGTATTATTATTGTTACAATCGTAGAGGTACAATATATTTTTAATGGTAAAACATGAGGATATTTTAAATGTATAACTGAAATATTGTAAAATTGGTAAAGCGATTCTAAGAAAAAATAGGCAATGAAATTTTGTATCCATAATCCTCACTTTTAAACGACTTTGTATTATTTAAAGTTTATTTAGTATACATGTACGTTAATACAATCAGTAAATTTGATTACAACGTTGTAAACTACCTACATAATTGGGACACCACTCGACACTGAAAGGTCTACAAAGGCCAATATCACTTTTTGTAACATTTTACTATTGTGCAATATCCACGCGACAAAACATGTAGCTTCATAATATAATATATTTTGTTATTATGTCATAACATATTATATTCAGAGCATGATTGGATTCTGACAAGAGTGCATAGACAATGTATTGTTATGGAAATGTGTATAATTACGCCAGGTCTTAATTATTGTCTTTAGTCTTTAAATATATTATGGGAAAATAATTGCCTCGTGCAAAGAAATATCGATTATGTACAACCAAGTAGAAGTAATTTTTTGTTTTTGAGTTAAATTGATCGTGAAGGGATTGTATGGATGAACAGTAAGCATTTTTAATTGCTTCCCAGATTTGAACACCGTAAGATAAGAGTCTACCAAGTGTTCTATGAATAATCCGATTTAAAATTAATTAATTTTCTTGTAAATCCTATTGGTCGAAGAAGTACTAATAGATTTTTATAATTACTATGGTCTCGGTTTTTGGTTGAGTTTTTATATTTTAAGGAACCTATGTGTGTATATTTATTTTTTAATAAAGAGTGATATTTGGGCAATTACTGATAAAAATAATTTGAATGAGTTTCGATTGTGTCAACTAAATTTCAGATTAGTCTATACAAGATTTTTGGTACCTGAAATGTTTCAAGTATTTTTTTTTTTATAGGAATTAAAGTCAGTTAAACGGTGAAACATGGCCTTGAAAATTTTTACATTTAGCTTCCAAGGATGGCAAAAAAAATGAACACCAATAATGTGTACAATCTAAACCAATTCTATGTGCTTGGAATGTGAAGTCTTTCGATTTCAAACAATTTTTTTATTTTATTTTTAAAATTCAATGCAAGTACAAGGCGTCTATCCTTTTTCTTTTCGTAAATCGTGTTTTGGAGTAAAAAAAAAACGCTATGTACTTTTTAAGTATGTTGAATAGTACTCGGTGTGATGTAATACTCGTATGATAATTATTATTATGCGTAAAATATCAAGTAGAGTGTCATGTATGTGCATATTATTATGATAATCATTGTTATTTTGTCACAAGTGGTACGTTACGAATGTGACGTTTAACCGCAGTAGTAGTAAAAAAAATAAAATAAAAGACTAACTTGATTGCAAAACAATATTTTTTTTATGTTTGCCAAGTCGTGTTGAAAGTGAAATTTTGCACGATTAGTAAACAAATTAATGAGCGGTCTTGTTGTTTTTTATATATAGATGAAGGGTCCAGGGGTAAAAGACCACTTTACAAAACTTAAATTTCCCACGGTGTAAACGCAATATGAAAGGTGTATCTCCAACGACTTGGGACAAATTATTGCATTTATATGGGTTGTACACGTTTGTTTATAGGAAATCATGGCAAATACAAATTTTTATGGTTTTACTTTAACAAATTTAAAATATATAAAAAAAAATTTGTTTACAAAAATTGCAGGAATATTGCTGTTAAGTGGTTTTACACTCTTCGTGCGCTACAACATATTTTTTTTACCTTTCGTTGTGAGGACGTACAAATATCGTATGCTAAATCATTATCGGTCATTGTTCTCTTATTTGCCAATACAATATAAATGTTGCTAATTCACATACGACGTGTATTGATATATCTGTTTTTTTTTTTACTACACGCTGAGTTCTGCACATTGTGGTGTGTGTAGGTTAAAGAACCGAAGAATTCTATTATGGGCAACTGAAGTTCACTGGAATACTCAAAATATACTATGTCAATAAACCGAATACCGACAATAAATTATAACAAATTATTCGAAAATATTCATTCATGTCTTTACACAATTATTCCTATATTCGCCATTCGTATGAAAAGTGCCAATCCGATTTTGTGCGTACAAGACCGGAAGTAGATGGAACTATACTAACTTATTATTATAGCCTGTTTTAAGTTCCCTCTCTCTCTCTCTATTATATATATGTATAATATACTATATAATCGCTAAAAATAACATGAATATTATGAAACACTATTTAAAAATAGAGGTATTCAAATATTGACTTCTTTGTTGTTTTCGCAAGGTTAAACTAAAGTAGGTATTTCTAAGAATATATAACAGTTAATAATTGTGCGATAATTTGCCCATACTGTTATCTAGATAAGTGTGTGGCGCGCTTATAATAACATTATGTTTTTCACTTGTTGTTTATGCAAATATTAATGACGTTAAATACTTTTTACGCCTCTCTTATTATATAGGTTGGTTTTAGCCCATTGCTTATGCTTATAATGTATATTATGGCCTATGGTGTTTCTAAAACGTCACAAAAATAGTACTTAAAATTAAATACTAATAAAGACCCAAACCGGATGTATTTCGACCTTGTATCGATTAAAATTAATAACGATATGTACTATAATAAATATTTATATTTTGTGTGTTTATAACCCTTATCGTGTACCGGGTTACCCGACAACCTGTTCCTGTAGTCTGTGTTCAATATATTTTGAATGTCTGGTTTAGCTTACACTTTTAAAAATACTAAAAAACGATATGAGGCTACGATTTTTTTTCTTGATCGTTGATCGTTATTGGTATATAAATCGTCTGATCGTTTTGGGGAAGTAATAATTTTGTGTCTGTATATTTTATATTTAGTCGGTGACTAACAGATTTAATTATTTATACTAGATTATTAAACTATTTCAGTATTGATTACATAAACGGTAATATTGTGTAGTTCATAGTCACAGAGATGAATTATATAATAAACTAGATTGCTAACTAGTGATAAGAATATTGAAGTCGACGTCGGCCATTTTTGCGGGACTTACGTGTGTATAAAATTAATTACAAATCTGTGATTTCGTGCTATCATCTTGACTTTTAATTATTATAAACAGTGATAACAGCTGTTATAAATATGTGATAAGGGTCTAGTTACCACAAAGATGGCGGATAACACTTGGTAACACTTGGCAATTAAGTTTATTATTATATATTATATCTGTGTTTATAGTCCATACCGGAGTACGCCGTATATTATGTTATGTTAGTTAATTTATTATTATTTTTTTAAACAAATTTCACACTTTAAAGTGCATATCGTTGTAACACAAAGTCTGATTCTGTTGTCTATATATATATATATATATATATAGGTTTCTCTCTTAGCGATTTTTTCATTTGTACCGAAGATCACTATGGTGTTGTTTCCACCGGAAATGTCGAAAACCGTTTTTCTTAGGTCTTCTGAACGGAAATGGGAAACTTAAATGAGTACACGAACCGCCAGACTACCGGCTAAGACAGCCAAAATCCTTCGCGATCCTTTACTAATGAAAACCTGTGTTAACATTTGGGGTAATGCGTTTCCTATTATTTTTTAATTTTATTTTTATGCGAAAGCTGTTTATTTTGATACGATCGCTTAAGACGTAGATGTACGTTATCAGCTTGTTTATTATATTATGTCAACAAATTCAAATTGAAATGTCTCTTAATTCGTAATATCATCATTATCATTATTGTTTTATTATAGAATTAATAGTTGTGTTTATTTTAATACACAATCGATTGTCCGTATTATCGTGTAAATATGTATTACCATTGAAACAACTGATGTCATACTAAACACACTACTTTAATGTATGAATAATTAGCACTTGGATCATTTTTGTATTGACATAACACCATTATTTCATTCTTCGTCGATTGTATCAAGTATATTGTTTGGGTTACATTGGTGGTTGGCATAAGAGTATTATTTATTTGGCTAACAGATATTTCCATTTATTATTGTTATATGGGTATAAACCAGAAATTTTAACAAATATATAAATATACTTAACAAGTCGACTGGCAAGCTATACGAGAGCTTTGGGCTTTTGAGAGTTGAATATGATAGACGACTGTCATTCGACTTGTTAAGGAAGGATTGGGTTTTTTTTTTGTTTTTTTTAAAGGAAATATTAACCGATTGTTTTTATTTTTGTTCGCTGTTCAGCTATGCCGTGGTTTGGCATGGATATAGGAGGAACACTTTCGAAACTGGTATTTTTCGAGCCAAAAGACAACGTTGTGGAAAAAACCGAAGACGAAGCTCAACTTTTATCGAACGTCACGAAATACTTGACAAAAAATTCCGCTTACGGAAAATCCGGTCACAGAGACACGCATTTACAGGTTTGCGCCAATTCTCGATTGTTATTCTGCTTGTTCTTAACAATATTCCCAAAAGGATAATATCTTATTTACTAGTGATAGTAGTAGTTAAGTTGCGAAATTTGTTTCGTTTCCAGATGGACAATGTGAAAATATGCAACAGGATAGGGACGTTACATTTCATCAGATTCCCCACTTGCGAAATGAGCAATTTCCTTGAACTAGCCAAAAGGAAAGGCATGGCGGCCAGTGTGTCTACGGTTTGCGCAACTGGCGGTGGAGCTTTCAAGTTCGAGGAACATTTCAAAAAGGTAAACGAATTCGAACCCATTCAAATTTTTCATCATTTGTTATTTTTATTATTGTGTAAGACGATTAGAGGAGTGTGATGATAAATATTAGCCAATATAAAATATATTAATTTCCAACTTATTTAGAGTTCATTACAGTGTAATACATGTATGTATATAATTTTTTTTGTGAAAACTGAAGCCACTTTTTTCGTGTACCAAGTTAACGGAATGACATTAACTAAGATTAGTAATTACACGTTTATTATGATGATGATGGAGCCCAGTTTCTATTTCTATTTCGAAGAAGTCTTTCTAATGACGGCGTGGGCAAAATGGATAAATTAATAGAGTAAAGAAGAAAACCGTGGTACTTCTATGTTTACTCATAATAATAATATCCCCTTGAATCAAGGTTATGATTTAATTATATTCAATGTAATTACCGCAGTAGTGATCAGTTTTTCAACTTTAATTGCATATACGATTATAAACTCTATTATGACTGACTGTTAGGCATAAACAATTAAATCGACAAAATGGCCGTTAACTGATTTATTTGATTCCGGTTAGTATTAGTACACTGAATTATATTATACATCTAAAAGGACAGCTTGCTTTTCACTTACATAATAATATATTACACGCATTCAAATGCCTCAGTTTAATTAAATTTATTAATAAATCGTGTTACGGATCACGTTATGGTTTAAATGGACAATTTAAATAATTATAATCCGGCTTTAGTAGTCGGTAGGTTACTTTTTTTAAATTAAATTCAACTGAACTTGAAAAATTATGAAATTTTTTTTTCATAGACCTTTATTTTGTTAATTGATTGCATTTTGCACAATTTGATCTGATAAACGATAAGGATTTTCTATAGTTCAGCTTTTGTTATTTCCAACCTTTGCATATTATATGTAATGCGCCAAACACAATAATTGGGGCCTAAAAAGCTCTTTATCTGAACTTATTAAAGATACAGCGAAAACAAGACATACCGCGTGTGTGTCTTAAACAATAATACAGTTTATGAGTTTGGTCAATGTTTTAATCGAGTAATTTTCAGTACTAGATTAAAATTTAAGTACTTGCAGTTGTAGGTTAATCATTAAAACGTATATTTTACTTAGCGCTTATGTATGGACAATGGGCCGTAGATGATACAAAATGAGTGTATATAAAGCCATAGTAGTACAACTAGAATAATATTTCCAGTTGGCCTTAACTATAGGTATGCAACTCGTTTGTTACCTGTTCAAAGCACAACGCTATCTGTGGATTATTCATCAATGCCATTGTTCTAACGGGGTTTTATTTTAAACTTATATTATTTTCCTTTCGACTACCTACTACTGACAAACCATGTAGAAAATAATAAAATAATTGTAACAAGCAGTTTCTTTGTGCACGACTAGGTGCTATTCGCTTTTTGGTCCATAAAAATTAAATTATTACTTCCTTGTTGATAAACAGCTACTCGTTAATTAATATGCATATGTTTCTAAGAACAATACTACTCTTAATCTAGAATTTTTTTTTTATTATAATATATTATGTTTAGTGTTACTTATTTTTTATAACATTGTGAGTGTATAGTTAAGATGTATTGTACCCTTATTGCTTTTCTTTGTGTGGCCTGTACTGTTGCCGTGATATTTATAAAAATGTGTACCAATTGATTTAATTATTTGTTTAATTAATAGAAAATTCTGTATAACGTTGAAAATGATAAAAACGAAATAATGTTTTATAGGTGTTGAATTTGAAATTGTGCAAATGCGATGAATTGGACAGCTTGATCCGAGGAATGTTGTTCACCGTAGCGTCGAACAACAACGAATGCTACTTTTGGTCTCATTGCACCGAAGACGAACAATGTTCAACACAAAAGTACACATTCCAGTACAACAAATACCCTTTCATTGTAAGGAGGAATTAACAACAAATATATACTTATGTTAACGATTTCTTTTATTGCCCTCAAAGGTCGTAAACATAGGGTCCGGCGTCAGCGTGCTCGCAGTATATGGACCAAATGATTTCAAAAGAATATCGGGGACCAGGTAATAATTAAAACAGTGTTACACGTGTTCCAATCGTAATAATTGTTGCTACAGTTCAATATTTATGATGTGTTCATCGCAGTATAGGAGGTGGTACGTTTTTGGGCTTGTGCAGTTTGCTGACCGGGTGCAATACTTTTGATGAGGCCATCGAACTAGCCGCCAACGGAGACAACACAAAAGTCGACAAACTAGTACGAGACATTTATGGTGGAAGTTACAGTCGATTCGGACTACCCGGAGAATTGGTCGCAAGCAGGTATGTTAAGGGTTTTTTTTTTATATTTTTATACTCTATACCGTGGTGTTAAATGTGGTTATTATTATTATTATTTTTGTTTCAAAGTTTCGGCCACATGAACTCCAAAGAGAAACAGGCAGCGGTTTCTCGAGAAGATTTAGCTAGAGCCACACTGGTTACCATTACCAACAATATAGCGTCCATTGCGAGGATGTGTGCTTTGAACGAAAGAATCGACAGGGTATTTTTTTTTCCTTATATTTTATATTTTTTATGTATTTCTAATATTATTGCTTTTTTAGGTTTGTTTTGTCGGTAACTTTTTGCGAGTCAACCCAATATCCATGAAGTTGTTGTCGCACGCAATGGACTATTGGTCGAACGGTTCACAGAAAGCTATATTCTTAAATCACGAGGTAAATTTTAAGTATTTATTATGTGCAATTACGTGTCTTAAAAGAACAAGGCCGAACATAATAGTCCTTAATTATAATAATTAATACGCGGTTAGTTTTTAATAATGTTGCAAGTTACATAATGATGTTGTATGAATGTTCGTTTGAAACATTGTGTGTTATCATTCGTGATTTTTAAATTATCCAACAAAGGAATACCACAGATAACCTTTGAGTGTGTAATTAGTGCGATTCGTAGAAGCATAATTGTGACTGTACAATTTTACGGATGTAGTTAATGTTTTGTCTTAAAAAAAGTGATGTATTTAGTCGAGGTTCAATTTAAATTATTTTTGTCCTTCAAATAATTTCAATTCCTACAAATTTTTTTACAACGTCTCGACGAAACAAAGTTGCTCTATTTGTAAACATAGCTGTTGATACAATACAGAATTTTAATATATTTTATTGTTTTTTTATTTTTAGGGTTATTTCGGCGCAATTGGTTGTTTACTGTCTTTTGACGAAAGGTACAAGTAAAGTTATCGTTGGAGTGTTCAACAACAATCCAACACATTCCACTTTTGCCAAGCTAGTTAGATTCTGTCCGGCGGTCGTCGTGTACGCGCTGCATACTTATGTTATTCACCATCGCCGCCAGTCGATGCGCAGTCCAGGATATCAATATTAATTTATTTTATTTTTAAGACAACACTGCTGTCTAATGAATCACATTGATTTTTCATTTTGGTGATGTGTTATTTTAAATTTGTATTTTGAATAATATTAGTCCGTTGATATTATTTTTAGTTACCTTTTCCACTCCACCCGAGTTTTTATTTATTATTAACTATTGAAGGATTCTAAATTTAAAAAAAAAAATTCTTCTTTCTGTTCTTTTTTTTTTTTTTTTATTTCCCCCTTAGTACGTTATAATAATATATTGTATCGTTTTTTGATATAATACTTCTGTTTTTAAAGATACGTCACACAAATTCCAAATCGTATATTTGTGATATCTTATACTATGTTGAGTTAGAGTTTTTTTCAATATATTTTTTTTTTGTTTACACACATTTATTTTTATTAAACTACTAAATTTTTATTACCTTAATTTTTGTTGTTTTAAAAAAAAAACACATTGTTGTAATAAATAATTTATAATTTAATGGGTTTTTCATGTTTTTTATTAGTTGCAATTAATTTAAATTTATATTAATCCATCTTGTTTAAACAACAAGCAGCGTCTCAAATAGACAACTGATAGAAATTTGCCGAATTTCAGGATTTCATTGTGTCAACATTTTGATGAAATCCAATAAAAGGAGCATCAAAATTAATCGACGGTAACCTTTGTATAATGTATCGATGTATTTAAAAAAGGCTATATTATATTATTGAATCTGCAATTTTACTTTATACTACACACAAGGTAGTTTTCATAAAACATGTTGTTTCCTATCAGTCATCAAATATGTTACAGCGTGCATTGTGTTTTATTCGATTAAATTATAAAATATTTATAATATCCTATTAATATATTATGCTCTACTGGTGTAAACTTTGAGCTGTTCATAAATAGAGGTCAACAAAATACATAATATTGTATGTCTGTGCTGTGTGTGTAGTGTAAATGCCTGAAAAAAAACAACTTAAATTATAATTATATATTTGTTTTATATTTAGGAAAATTGCAATTGAATTATCGCTGTTCAAGCTTAAAATAAATGTTAATATTTTTAATTTAACAGATAATACTGCAAAACTGCTTATCGACTTATGGTCATTATTTTTGATAATTAAAAAAGGTTTGTAAAAAAAATAAGTATTAATATTCATAAGATAAGTAAGTAAATTAATAAACATTACCTAAGTATAACCAAACTTGTAAACATATAATGAATTTTAAAAATAATTTCGCTGAACTTATTACCGAATGTGTTATTTGTTAGATAGGTAATGTATAATTGGATGGTAAACAAAAATAATCAGAAATACTTAGCTGTCGGTTGTTATGTTCTTACAAAACGTGTAATAAGCCTATAAACAAATACAACACATATACATTGGAAAATTGTACATGAAAGATCAAACTTCAAAGTATTATTTATGTTTTTTGTTAGTCTGTTGATTTATTCGCATTTATTATCTCATGGTTTATAAATATCACCATCAAAGTCTAATTACAAAAATACACATACACAATGACTATAAATATAAAATTAGAAATACAAATTTTTCCTTATTTTTATGTTTTTGAAACTGTATTGACACAATGTTGATATTGGGCGATTTTTACTTATTTTACCAATTGTTTAAATAACAGCCAATTCAAAAAAAAAAAAATTATGTCAGTATTAAAGTTATGTCAAGGTAATATTAAACAATTATTTTTATAACCTTTCAGAACCCCACGAGCAAAAGTTACAATGAAAAAAATAATAGGTAGATAACATTTAATTGTGTATTATGTCAACTTAAGTCTTGGTTTTATTTGTATCAGCTAAAGTCATCATTTTTAGCAACTAATTGAAATCATAAATAAGTAACACAACATAACATTGTCGTTGATACGTTTTTAACAAAACCGATCAAGTCCTCTACTTCTTAAAAAATGTAATATATCTGAATTTTTAATAAAATTTTGCTCAATTGTAAAGAAAATGGAACGTTAAAAAAAAAAAAACTTCACCAATGAAGGCGTTAATAGTATGATAACATAATCAAAAAAATTATTTTCATTGCTATTTAAAGAATAAACAATAGCTTTAAATCGAAATTCGGCAAAAAATTGTTTGTACTGAACTTTTTAACATTTACTCGACAAAGTCCAATCTTTAAATACATATTAATAACCTATTGGGTATTAAACACCACAGTATTGGACATTTAATTTAAGCTAAAACAAATAAGATCACAGAAACTAATAATAACTATATAATAATACAGAATACTACATACCTGGCATAGTGTTCTTGGTTGACACATTGGTGATGTGAATTTGTAGGCATATACAGCATACTAAGTTTTCAATACATCAGTTTTTAAACAAATTATTTCCTCCAACGACCAATGGTATACTTGTAATGGTAACCAAGGTATGTTAGTTAATCGGACAGTAACTGTACAAAAAATAACGAAATTTATAATGTAATACCAATAAAATATAACACAGTAGTTTTTGTTTATGTCGATTTTTCACGATTAAAATTAAATTATCAACGATTCGGTCAACGACGATAAAATTATATAAATGTTATTTAATATACAAATGAAGTATATATTTTGTACATAAACCGAGTTTACTTTGGGTTTCTGACCGCTGGGCAATCATAATGTCAAAAAAGTAGGTATACGAAATCGTGATTTTTTATTTTAAATTACATTTTTCTGATCTATTGTAGAAGTAATGTGTTATGTAAGTATATCAGACTAGTTCGAAATTAAGCGAGGAATATGTTAAAACTATTTTCAACCCTTAAACATAATATTTTAGGGCACTATTAAGGGTTAATTTATCAATGTTTTCATACATTTTACTTTCTAAGCAACAGAGACTTGCTCCATACTGCACCGAAAAAAAGGACACTAGATTTTAATTAAATTTAAGATTCTATAATTAATTGCCTATACCGAAACCCTTAAGACTTAAGAAACAAAGATGGCTCTCTTTAATGTTCTTCTCGTTAGTTAACGGCTTTTGTTTTGCGACTTAGGTATTTATTATTTCCTTTAATGGTCTGTTTATACGGCAGTCATTTGCGGTTTATCAGTTTGGCATTGGAGTCTTAATAGGTATAAGGAAAACCGAAAAAGCATCAGCTACTTTTTATTCCCCCTTTGACGTTAGCCGGCAAGACGGATGTGCTTAATTCTGGTCCCATTCACATGAAAATCTTACTAAATACCTGCGGTAAAGTAAAACAGGATCTCACTTTGGGACGATGTTGTTATAACATTTAAAATTTGAATCAGTAGGTGTGTAAATGATATGAATTCAAATTGATGTAATTTTATAAGTATTACAATAACTGTACATCACAACCAGACCTACTTAAGTAGTCACATTATACCAAATTTTTAAGAGAGCATAATAACGTTAATGGACAGTTTTTAAGAAGTTTAATAAAGACAATATTTCAAAAAAATGTAGTTTTAATAAAGACAAGGGTTTGTTGACCAAAAGAGGTTTTGTTAACTACCTATTTTTATTTAAAAATGATCCGTTTTTTTTTTTTTTTGTAATTAAATACATAAAGTTTATAAAACAATTTTTTAATATTAAAACGTACTTTTTTTACATAAAAAAGGGGGAAAATCCGTTTTCGACATAATCTATGTAGTAAAGCAATCAAAGAACTCCAAGATCCTAAATCAATTCGGACCATCCTAAGTAGTCAAAAACGTATAAGGCTTTTTGATTAAAAACAAACGACAGCTTCCAACCCCAATTGTACTTACCTTTGTAAGTAGTTCTATTTTATAAAAGGATAATGTTTAACGGAATTCCGATTGTAAGGCTTGAAGCAAAATCAGATTATACATGCGGAACTGAAATAACCTGAATTGTTCAAAACTAAACGCTAGTTTAGAGGTACAAATATAATACCCTGTGTTTAAATAATATTATCATAAAAACGTTGAAAATTAAAAAAATTATTTTATTTATAAAAACTTGAAAATTTACAATTGTCAATTACATTAATTGTTATTTATTACCATCATTATTATGGCCATAAATGATCAATCGATGACAAACAAACAACCACTTATTTGATGTTTTTTTTTTTATAAGCGAGTCATATCCAGGGTTGAAACACTTTTTCGCTAAAGTTGGTCACACTGTTTTATTTCAATTTGCGCGGGAATCGACCGACGGGTTTAGATTTATGATAAAGTCAATAACACTATAATCGAATTGGTTATAACCATGATTGAAATATACAAGGTAATTGCACATATCCCCCTCGGCCCTCCTTCATCAAATATTCGAATTTCGATGATAAAAACAAATATGTCAACGCACCGGACAGCCAATAAAAATCAAATATACAAGTACACGGTTAAATATTTATAGATAGTAAAGCCACAGAGTAAAAAGAAAAGAAACTATACATTTTTTACAAGGGCTCTTATGGGACGAGATAAATGTATCATGTCCGACATCTTGAAAATTATCGAGAAATGGAGTGCTGGTAGTTGTAGGGAAATTCTCATTTTTCGGTCTTTCCGGTTAAACAGTTCACTCGACAAACGGAGAAAATGGCGACGACATTTAATAAATTAACAGTGTAGCCACGAGTCACAGAAAAATTAAAAAAAAGGAAATATCTGAGTTCTGGCATCACTGGCTTAAACTCAATATGTTTGATCCGTTTTTTTAGATAAACCCTAAGATTCCCTTCTTTTTATTCTGTGGTTAAGTATAATAAATATTAAAGTAAAATTGATATCCCATTACGCTTTCATTTTGTTTCTGAAGATATGTCAACCATAATTATTCTAATATTGTATTAAATGCGGGTAGTTGAAGCCGATTTTTTTCGTCTCCTGTAAAATTGAGAAAGATGAGATACGATTTAAGATGACAAAAAATATTAAATCGTGGTTGCTTCTTGAGCGACGTTTTCTTTTGGCAGACCCGCTGGCGCCTGGCCCGGATTGCTAAGCCGCATTTCAATAATAGTTATAATACAATGGTAAACCTGTAACCATATTTTAACGACACTCGATGCCCCAAACAATATCCTTTAATCATAATAACAATATTTGGAGCGTATAATTTTCTCGGTAACTAAAATATAATAGTGCGTGTGAGAACTTGCTGTCCGTAAGCGCGTGTGACCGTAAGAACAATAATCATGTCGAAAAATAGGAGGAAAAAGAAATGTT